TTTTTTGTTTAACTAGGGATGCCTTCGAACTTACCATCGAGTTTCGACTTGAAAATTGGTGAGCTTATAGAGTTTGAGCTTGCGATTCCGATGCGCTAAAAATTTTAACAAATCGTCCATAGGCTGCTGAGATAAAAAAAGTTTAATTTTGGCAAAAATGCATGATTTTTGCGCGTTTCGTCCCCGCCGGCCCTGAACGGGGCGTGCGAAGAAGAGGCCTCTCTGGAACCCCTCCGGCATGGCAGCGTGGCCTCGAGGTAGAGCTCTCGCTTCAAAATTTTTGGTCGGGGGTTCAATTCCGACCACCACTTTTTTGGAAAAAAACTTTTTAAAGCTTTTTGCCAAATTTTTTACCTGCATTATTATTTTGTATTCTTTGTCGGAATCAAAAGATAGCGAGCGGGCTGTGAAGCTTCTCGAATCTGATAAAATGACTTGCTCTGTTCATAGAAATGCTCGAGAGCTTTTCCTGTGTTTCTTCATCCTTCGCTAAAGCATCGTAAAACAATCGCAAAAAGTTTGGCAAAAAAACTTTAAAAAGTTTTTTCAAAAAAAGTTGGTGGCTGGAATTGAACCCCCGACCAAAAGTTTTTGAAGCGAGAGCTCTACCTCGAGGCCACGCTGCCATGCCGGAGGGGTTCCAGAGAGGCCTCTTCTTCGCACGCCCCGTTCAGGGCCGGCGGGGACGAAACGCGCAAAAATCATGCATTTTTGCTAAAATTAAACTTGTTGTATCTCAGCCGCCTATGGACGATTTGTTAAAATTTTTAGCGCATCGGAATCGCAAGCTCAAACTCTATAAGCTCACCAATTTTCAAGTCGAAACTCGATGGTAAGTTCGAAGGCATCCCTAGTAAAGGCTAGACTAGAATTTACTGAATTCACTAGCCAGTCAAAGAACTCCGTTCAGCAATGATCCATTCCACACTCCCCCCCCCCTTATTTGGCCGTCCATAGGTCATGGCCGGAGGGGAAAATTGGGCATTTCCGGATTTCCCCCGGCTAGGGCACCTGGATGGGAAGCGGGCGAGCGAACGGGGTATTATTTGAAAGATTTTTCTCCTTTTCTGATACCAGATTTCTTGAGGTTGCTGCGTGTTTTTTCGAGGTGCTCTAGCGATCGGGAGAACCGTATTTTGACGATTTTAGGCACAAAGGCTTTTTTGAAAAAAATATTTGTATTTGCATTCTTTTTAGGCCTTCTAGATGACTTTAAAATTGCGAAATATTATTGCAAATATTAAAATACTTGTTATTATTGAGAAAAGTGCACAAAAAAATCAAATTTCCGTCAAAATTTTTAATTGTTGAACATTTTTGAAAGTTTCTCAATTGTTAAATTTTACTAAAAGTGCTATTAAAATACTTACCATTACGTTAGAAGGCGTTTCTGGACTTAAACGAAAATTCGGTCCCCCGATAATGCCAAAGTACCATTTTCTACGCTCTCTGCGAACCCGGTGATTTGTGCATACGTCTTGTTATGTAGTATATCTCGAAATGTTCGCCCAACTGGACGTCTAGTCCCTAGAGGCCGATGATAGCCTTGTTTTGTGACAGCAATCCCCCAGCATAGCACAGCTTCTGGTTGCGGGAAAAGCCCTTCAGGCCCATCACTCTCCCTCATCTCTCCCACCTGTCCGCCCTCCTGATGACGAGCCGTTCCTCCGGGGATCAAATTTGCATTTTCGTTGTTGCTTTCGAGAATTGGCTAGCTAACAAGCGGGTACTTTTACACTATCGGGGGGAGGGGTAACTTTTTCTTTAGTATCGAATTCTTCTAATAAAACCAGGAAGCGTTTCTAAACTGTTTTTGCCGCTTATTTCCATTTCATCAAAATATTTCGAAAAGTGCTTTTTAAATTCTAATTGTAAAATTGCTAAACACAAAAATTTTACAGCTTTTCTATTACAGGTATTAAAAATGCGCAGCTTCGACCAAACTTGACTTTTTTTTTTATAAAAATTGCGATTCAATGCCACCTTAAATTTTACGAATTTGACAAAAAATACCAAAAATTTAGACTGCAATCTGTTAGAGAGAAGTAAAAGCTATACAAATTCTGTTTTCAAATTTTTCAAAAATCATGAAAACTAGCTTTTACACCGAAATTTTTTCGAACTTCGAATTCTTTAAACGTTAATCTAAAAATCCGCTCCCCCCCCCCGTTAATGGAAAAGGGCCGCGAATCCCACTGCACTACTCGCGAATAAAATTGGCATTCCGACCCTGGCTTTGAAGCGAATGGCGCGTTTTTTAGAAAACGTTCGGTGCCGACGGGCTAATAAAATTAGGAACACCGAATTAATGGGTCCAATTGGCTTGCCGTTCGGCTTTTCGAAACGAACGGCCACTTTTTAGAATCCTTAGTTTTTTTGCGAGTTCCGACAGCTGTTTAAAATGGTTCTTCTTCGCTTTTAATGCTCCGTGGTATTATTTTCAACGATTTATCTGAATATGTTCATGATTTAGAATCCAGCGCCAATCCTGCAATGTTTGGCACGTGATGGCAGCCTGGACGAAAGTGGCCTATCTACTGCTATTTTTCGGCATTCTACTAATACAGCAGGGAAATGCTCTCATTACAGGGTCGGTGGCACGTTATTTCTGGTTTTTCATGTAAAAAAACATTTTTTATGATCATACTACGCTTGTTTACCCCTTCCAGTTGTGCGGCCAATCGATTCCGCGACGTGATCGGCACCGCCGAAAAGGACGACTACATTATCTACGGGCTCACGCAGGTCGGTGCTTAATTTTTGGCTGAAGCCCTAGCTTTAGGACTGCCAGCTCTTCTTCGTCCGGCCCTACCAGTTGGATTATTTGAGGGGGATTCAGGTGGGCTGAACAGATTTAACTTTACGATTTCACAACACTAAAAATCCTGGTTTTTACAAAGGTCGGTTCTTTTGCATTATCGGGGGTGGGGGCTTTTACTTGGTATCCACTTTTTCTAAAATAAATAGAGGAATTGTTTCTACATAGTTTTTTACACTTTTAAACGTTAAAAATACCCAAATTTGGTTAGAAATACAAAAATATAGATTTTCGCCAAAAATGACCGATTTTCGACCAGAATTTCATGCTTTGTAAGGTTTTTAGTAGTTTTTAGACTTTAATTCTAGCTAAATATATAAACTTTATTAAATACTTTGTATTACATTACTTGGCCTTTCTGGGCTGATAGGAAATCCCCCACCCCCGATAATGCGCAAGCACCAAACAAACTCTAAAATCTTAGGTTGACCCTCGAAACAGCTACTGCTCCCCGTCGGTCGTCCAGCTCCATGTCCTCTCGGCAACCACATTGTTGCTGCTCATGCGACAGGTATCAACTACAGACTACAGGTTACAGGGCTACAAACTACAAATTCAGGGCCCATCTCGCCTCTGCACGCTTGAAGTGAGCATCCCGCCTCCCGAGATCCTCTTTGGTTCTCATGTATTCAGGTATAAAAATGGGTTAAATGTGACTACGTGTACGTTTAGATACTCACTAGTCACCTCAATTCGCTTCCTCGTCTGCTCACATTCCGAGTCTTTCCGGCTCGACTCGGCGCAGACGTTCCTCGACACTGCATTCCAGGTGAGCCATTTAACTTAGGTTCCTAAAGTCGACTAAGTCCTAAAAAACGTAAATACGTTTCAGGACGTACTCTACGCCGTCGACGGCGATTCCGCCGGGCGCCAATGGACGGCCAAGCAGATCGTGTTGCGCAACGGAACGCTCCGACTGTTGAGCACCGTCAATTTTGATCACTATGCGCAAGGTGAGCTAACGCTATTTATCAGCTTTATCGCTAATTTAAACAGTCTAAGCGGTTCTAAAATAACGTCATTTTGTAGCAACTCGTATCCTTCAATTTCAGATCGAAAAGAATCAAAAGAGCCCGCCTCATCGTTCGTCATCGGCAGCGATTCGTCTCGTCACTCGCTCGTCACGGTGAATAGACAATCCAGAAGTTATACGACAGCTTGTCTCTTCGATTTGCTCTTCCGGTAAGTACAGGGCTTTTGGTACTGGGCTATTAACGGGGGGGGGGTCTTAAGCCCTATATTACAACCCCCGATAACGATCCAGCATGTTTTTTAGCCCGGAATCCGTCAAAGCCGATAGCGGCCAGTTGGAGAACCCCTTCGGCGGGGCGGCCGAGCTGAATTCGGTGGCTTCCGACGGCCCGTTGGTGCTGATCGGCGAGGAAAAGCGGGCTGTAAGTAACAAAATTCAGAACCAAACATCCGATCAGGGCCCTTTCGCAACTTCCACCTTCCTCTACGCCGTCAACAGTAGCGTGAGGAATGCGCGGATGAGCTGCATCGCCCAGCTCGACTTCGCCGCCAAGATTGGCGTCGTCCGGATATCGATCATCAAAAAGTTGACAGAAGAGCCGCTGCCAAAATTCTGTAGGTTTTGCCGGAAACGTAGCAAGGGCAGCAAAGCAAAAAAAAACATCGGAAAACAACGAGGTGGTTTCAGCACCACAACGGAAAAAGGAACACCACCCGAAGGTCAACGACGACGTCGACGAGTCGGCGTCGAACCGGGTGAATTCCGGGGCTCGTAGCACGACGGCAAGGCCGACAGCTCGGGTTTTCACCAGCACCCCGAAGCCTAGGGTCACTGATGCGCCACGAGAGGAGGTAGGTTGAAAGACGGTACTTCTCTGTTAGCAGTGGGGAACCCTGCTATTCCGTACGTCCCTAGAAACAAATAGAAATCATTTTTAAACCATTTTACGTTGCCTTTAGATTGAAAAAGTTCGTAAAGTACCTAAAATTTTCCACGTTTTGGTCAAAAGTTCATGAAAATGTTCGAAAAATTTATTTCAAAAATTTTTGAAAGGCTTTTCTAAGCTTCAATCAAACCAAACCTACTAAAGAGCCTATAAAAATCCTACATTTTATTACCGGATAGGTAATGGGTGAAAGGTAAAAATGACCTCCCCTGATAACAGAACAGCGCAAAAAGACGTACAGACTTCATCATTCCGTCTTTCAGCGGCCAGAAGATGAATTCTCGGTAAATGCGGTCGGCGTAGCGGACCAAGAGGAAGAGGATGCGCTAAACGAGACTCAAGATTCGCCTATGGACAATGAACGGTAAAGTCTATCGGAAGGTCCTTCTTTTCTTCACTTTCTAAAATCATGAAAACCCAGCGTCAAAAGCGAAGAATAGAATGTCATGTATCAAAAACCAACGTTGCAGAGCGAATCACCATCGTGAACATTTGACCACTCGAGAAGCTACAATCCCTGAAGTCGCCACACCATCCCCATCCCCATCCGATCTCCCTCAAAATGATACCCTGACCGCGTCGTCGCCGGCTCTGGGCCATTTCATTTGTGCCTGTATTGCGTGTGCTTTCAACCTCTTCCGCCTCTAGACCCCCAGAAAATATAGTCGATAAAGATAAAACTATTTTCGACCGTTATCCGCTTGCGTATTTCCTGCAAAACTTCATCATTTTCCAAAAATGCTTTATTCTATCGGCCCTTACCGAGCCGGGCAATGACTAGAAGTGAAAAACGACAAAGAAAAGCTCACGGAAGAAGCAAACTACACGCCCATAGAATTCTGAAGAAGAAAAAAACATGAAAACGGAAAAAAATTGGTGCTAGCAAAACTGGGAGGATGAGATCATGAAAACAATGAAAGGCCGAATCTGCTGGATTTCTTGGGACTGCTGGCGACCGTCTTGTTGAATGGGGCCGACGCGGTGGTGACCACCTAAAAAAGAAAATGATGACGATTTTAGGAACATTACCTCGTCATATTTTTGTTCGCGGTCCTTCAGCATCTCGGTGACGGCCTTATCTTCGATGGCTACTCGCGCTATCACGGCTTCGAATCTAGAAGAAAATATATTTTGCAGAAACGGGTCCTTGCGCGTTATCGGGAGGGGGGGGGAGGGGGGGCAATAGAACTTTCTAGTATTAATAGGAGGAGGATATTTGAAACTGTTTTTAACTAGTCCTAAACTTTAAATTCGATTTTTCCACGAAAAACGGACGGTTTTCGACCGAAATTCACCTACAAAATAAAAAACTTTGTTATTATTTTTCCGCTATGGTTAAATTTAGCACAAACACTTACTACCACGCTCAACAGAGCGAAAGAACCCAGAAACGGATTGTCAAAAACCCGAGGAATCGTTTTGAGGACCAACTTTGTTTTCGCCTCCTGGAACTGTCGATGCAGCTGCTCTAGCTCTCGTTTCTTCTCCAACAGCTTCTGCTCGACCCCGGAAATCTGCTCCATAACGGGCGCCGTCTCGTGTTGAAGCGGCAGGAAGGTTATCGTGTATCTAATCAAAAAGTTGGAAGGTTTAGATTTTCTTACTTGACGGCCCTCAGCCAATTATCGCCGTAAACACAGAGTAAATGACGGGATCCTTTATCGAGGGTCAGCGCTGGCTAAAAAAAACGCTTAAAATTTCCTAGCTCCTCCCACTCAACAAAAAAAAAACAGAACGAACCTGCGTCTCGAGCGTATCCAAATAATGAAAAACAACGGGCGTCTCCTTGTCCTCCATATGGCATTTCATCGCGTTAAATTCGCCGATATTCACGCGCTGCACGGGCGCAAAATAGAAATCGGCCTGCGTACAATTTTTCCGCTTTCGAGATTCCTAAAATTTTGATGCCGGACGAGACGTAAGATCTTACCTGTATCATCCGCACGCCACCCTCCTTATCAAAAAGGACGAGCTTGAAATTGCTATTCGACGTCGAGGTGACGAGAATCGAGACGCCGTACGCTTCTTGGGGCACGTCGATCGAGTAAAAAGCGGCTTCCTGGAAAAATTATTTACATATTTTTACTAATTGATCAAATGTTAAAATCGTTAAATTTAAAACAGTACCTGCTTCCCAACAGTTGCCGAAATAGCTTGCCCAGGAGTAAGCGGAACTTTGGTCGCGTCGTTGCACGGCGTCCCCTCTGTAAGATGGCGGGCTTGAGCCAGAACCTAAAAGATCGTATGAAAAAGAGTTCTAATTCCCTATTTTACCTTTGTTGAAATCTGGGTCGGGATCGGCACGCCCAGCGAGGAGAATAGAGCTCCGAAGACACGTTCTAGAAAGAGAAAAAGAATATACTACGAAATAAACTACGAAATACAAACTACTGCCCATGTCAATCCATCCAGAACCAAAATAAAATCACCGTACCGATTCCCCCCATCCCGGACACGTCGAAAGCCTCGAAATCAAGCTGTGAGGCGCTGGGGCCGCTGATGTCATATTGCCTAAACAGGCATAAAATAATATAGAAGAAGTCCCGTACCGTCGCTTGTTGGGGTCCGATAAAATCGCGTAGGCCAGCGACACTTTCTTGAACATTTCTTGGGCTAAACGAAAGGTAATCTCAAAAAACAGGACGAAATTACCGTGTTCATCGCCGGGGTTCCGATCCGGGTGGTATTTTAGAGCGAGTTTCCGGTAGGCGGCCTTGATCTCCACTTCGCTGGCCGTCTTTTCCACTCCGAGCATGAAATAGTAGTCGTCGGAGCTGGAGGCGGCCGGGGACAACGCCATCCTGAAAAACAGTGTTTTAAAGTATAATAGCGAAATTGAGTTATAGAGAACGGCACAAACTATAAAACTGACCGAAAAACACCGCCAAATCGTTCAATAAACATAATGAAGGTATTTTGGCTAATTTTAAATACAAATAAAGTACTTTTCGCAACGCCCCTTACTAATGACTACAGAATGGTGCAAACTGTACATTCTCGTACTCCAAGATATCACATGAATTTGATCGGTTATTCCCCGCTAAAAATTGTAACTTTCTTGAAGATGTGTTAGAATTATGTATTAGAGCGTACTATTATACTCTTTAACCTATTATTCGACACTATACTATCAAATTTTCGGTTTATTCAAAACTTATATAGTTTAATTTTTACTAATCTAGAAGGCTCGAGGCGGGCGATCGTTGAAAAACGCTGAAAAATGCTACTTGCGACAATTTCGCGAGAGTTATCCGATGATTCAGAATTTCCCAATACGATGACGTAAGCGCGCAAACAAAAAAACCCTGCGCTGGGCGCTATTTTCACGTATTGTCGGAAACCGTGAAAAATATGGATTTCTGGGCTTTGAATCAATATTTTAACCCTATTTATTTTAAAGAAAAAGCTAAGCAAACATCTAGTTACGCCAGGATAAAAGGTGGCGGGGTCAGCCCGGTCGAGCCGCCCCCCAGAGCCAGGGTCCCGCTGAGAAAGCCGGACGTCGATATCCAGCCGCGCAAACCGGGTGGGCTTCTAAAGGGCCATGGAAGCGAGGGTATTTAGCCCTATGAAAATCAGTTTATCGAACGACAAAAAATAGCGTGATTTAAGAACAATCATTGAAATTGTAACCCGAATAAGTATTTATAAAGAGTGAAAGGCCAGTAGACGATCACAGCAGTTGGATAAGTACTGGCAAATGCGTGTGGTGGGTGAGCAAGGGATGGAAAGAACGGAAAATGTGTAGGATTCGCGAAATCTAATCGAAAATGTAGCCAAAAAAACCACTTTAAAACGACAACGTATGCGTGATAAAGTGTTTGCCCTCGTGCGTCTTTAGAGCCTAAAAATCTTTTTTTTTAAACGAATCGCTCGACACTCACCTTCAACAATTTGTCGCCCAAAATCCATGCGTTTGCGGGGGTGCAGAATGGGGAGAGTACGCATTGTAAGTCGTAGCTATTTTCGGCCTAAATTTTATTGATTTCTTTAATTTAGATGTCAGGATCTTATTACTCTTTTTACATCTGTTTCTCTACATATTTACACTTTTTAAAAAGTTACTTACTTTACTTTTTAAAATTTTACATATTTTACTTACCCGAACTAGGAGGACGTCCCGTTTTCTTCGCATATAAATGACACGGGTGCCTTCGACGGATTTGAGGACACCGTATAGCCGGCCGACAGTCCTAGAATTTGTTTGAAAATTGTTACGGGATTTTAGCTGAAACAGAGAAATAGAAAGAGAGAGAGAGAGAGAGAGAGCGAGAGAGAGAGAGACCTGATGCTCACCCACCTAACAATGTGCTGCCTCTCCTCGTCGTTGGCAATCGGCGGGCGCAGTGCTGAAAGGCAAACTTGCTGCGATGAGCGGTTCTTGTACAAAAAGTTCCACATCGCGTCTGATCCGGCGCCAATCTGAACATTTTTCAAGGTTTATTTAGAACGGGGATACGTTTCTGCTTTCGCCAAAAACTTACATTTGATATCTGGAACATTTGCTGGGTGTTGATCGCCGACTCGATGCCGGGAAATAGTTTGGTGTTCGCCTAAAGGACGTTGATTTTTGCTTTATGTTTTTGGAAAAGAATGATTTTGAGCATTATCAGGGGTATTCCAATGTAAAAACTTCCAATTTAAAAAAATTTTCTAGGTTTTGTTGAGAGCTTTCCACCCGAAAAATAGCTAAATTTGGGTGTATCTGGATTTATGGGAAAAATTCCGTTCGCTTTCACCCCCGATAATGCGAAAGATCCGAAAGAACCGAGAAACCAAACTAACTTTCAGCTTCTCTGTAATGCCCTCCTTGATCGTGTTGAGCGTGTTGAAGGCATTCCGGTCGACAGACAGCAGTAGTAAGTAGGCAGCAGACCCCTCCCAAAGCGACGAAATGTAAGCGTGGAGGAAGCCGCTGTAACGGGAAAATTGATTAAATTGACGATTAAGCCGGTTTCAACCGCAAAAACACTTACTTATCGTTGAAATACGGCAGGCAGATCGGCGTCCAAATGGGGCATACCGAGATTGTGGAATTGTTGGAGACAAAGTTGATCAGGATGTGCAGATCCTAAATGATGTCCTTCCGCCAAGCTCTCAGCGCCAAACCTTTGGGTTGATGGTGTATTTCTTGTAGCGGACCATCGAGACGAGCTGCCGATGAGCCAACACGATCCCAAAGAGGACGCCCTGAAAGCGAAAACAGAATTATCGCAATTATCGTAATTAACGTGCCTCCGGAGCAGCGGCTGTGATTGTGGTGGCGATTGTTGTCGAGAGGAAATCGCGTTCGGGGGCCTGAAACATCAAATTGCTAGATTTTTTGATTTTTTCGTAGTTCCGGTGAGATTTTTCTATTGTTTTTAGCAAAATCTAGGCATTTTTGAAGTGCAAAACTTTTTATAAAACTCTAAAATGCTAAAAAATTCAAAATAATTATTTTACGACTTAGACATACTTGTTCGATTTATTAATTTTTTATCAATTCATTGAACTGCTCAAAACCCCTCTATTAAGATTCAGCAAGTTACCGGCAGCGGAAACACGCGGATGGCGCAAGATATTTGAGAGAGGTCCGTTTGCCAGCTTTCCAGACAACTATCCATATACCTAAAAGAAACCTTTTTTAGAAAACTCGAAGGTCCAACTTGTCGGTGCCCTGCAGCAATCTCCGCAGATCGTAATTGTCGCCGCGCTTCTCGTAGACGCCCTCCAGCTGCTTCCGGCTGATCGTCGAGACAATTTGATCGAAAAGGACGTCGAGCTGGGCGGCAAGTTGCTCGCGGCGCTTTGAGACTGAATAAGACTAATAAGAATAATAAGAGAAGTATCGAAATACCAAGAGGTCCATGTAAAATCGTTAATACCCAAGGCAAATTACCAACCTATACACAAAATCAGCGGTTTCCTAAAGAGGAAATGGGCATGTAAATTGCGACTGGAGATCGAGTGCAGCATGTCGCCGCTCCAGTGCCGCACCCGGTTGACAAAGATGCCGATCAGCGCAAAAAAGAGCGCATAGCTGCTCCTCCTGACCACATCTAAGTTTATGTATATAACTTCCACCTCAAGGCTCCACTTACGATACATAAATCGGCCGCCCGTACTCGGAGAGCACAAAGACTTGGTACGGGTAGTGAGCTAATCTTTCCAAGGCTGACTCTTCGATCGGCTCCGCTTCCGGGAGCTCTATCTGCAATAATAGAAGATTTATAATACAAAACGCTGCCCCACCTGTTGTATAGAAATATTATGCGGTTCCACGAGACCGGGCAAATCGCTGGTGGACGCTTCACCGGGCGCCGAGCCAAACCCCGGTGGGGCTAAAATTATCCTTGATTTTTAGCTTGGTTTTAACTTACCTAAGAACCCGCTCATTTGAAGAAATTATAATCTTCTGCGTTATTTCTGTATATTTATCAACCACCTTCAGTTTCATTATAGTTTATAGAAGGGCCATCTGCGTCTCTGCGGGGCTATTTTTACCGCGGAAAAGAGCGCCTACGGTCTCTTGTGCAACAGCGAGCACTAAAGTGAGATGCAGACTTGTCACATCTTTGATGACCCAGCTCTTATACAAAAACGCCAAAAAGTTATTACAAAATGTCTTCCCTATTTTTATGGATAGTGTAGGGGGTGGGGGGGGGCCCCCGGCCCCCCCTCCCCCCCAAAAAATAAAAAAAGACCCCCCCCCAAAAAATTTTTAAAAAGGCTCTTTCTCCCCCCCCCCCCTTAAAAAAAAAAAAAAAAAAAACCCCCCAAAAAATAAAAATAAAAATAAAATCCCCCCCCCCTTTAAATTTTCCCCCCCCCCGCCCGTTGGGGCCCCGCCCCCTCATTTTATTCCAATACTTCTCAAGGCGAGTACCTGTTTATCGCAAGTGTCTTCTACATACAACATATACAAAGTGACAAAAATAAAGGCCTCGGGCGATATAGTAGCACTTGTTCGTCGACTCTCCTACCCGTCCACAGCAAATCTGAGCAGCACGTCGAAGTGGCCTAATTCGCCGCAATTTCTTGGGATTCGGTGTTCTAAAAAACGATTTATAGGTGAGGACGAAATCAAATTTTACGTCGACTTCGAAAATTGCGAGATACCTGTAAAAGCATCAATTTCTCGGCTAACGACTCGTTGAAACGAGTGATGTGGTTGGGCGAGACGGTGTTCAGGAGTTCTCGGGCGTTTCGATAATACACCGTGTGGAGCTCGACCTAAAAATCCCTTCTAAAAATTATTCACAAATGTAAACCTTGGTATAATCGCCATTCATGCAATCAGAGTGCTCGCTGGCAACTCGCCAACCCTTCATCGTCAGCTCGAGGCAGTAGACGTGTCCTAAAAAGAGTTAATAGTTCTGCCTAGGACGTTTAAAAGGAACTCGGCTTGCAACTTTAATAACAGAAATCATAGATTGCAAATTACTGTAAACGAATAAAATAACAATTTACTTTTTAAATAGTACTTTAAACAAAACCAGAAATTTTGCAAAAATCTGATCAAACCACGTTACAGTTAGGTATGCCACAAACCTTCGTGTGTTTTCACATTGACGAAGATCAAATCGGAGGTGCGAGGGAGGATCTCGGAAACGCTGATCGCTTCGACCTAAAAAGTTACCGATCCTTTGAAAAACCATGTGCCAAAAATACCTCCAACGCCAGCTCGTGGACCGCTGCGATAGCTTCGAGTTCCAGGGCGCCAATTCCTTCCTCTTGCATCGAGCCCCCGACCTCATCATGTCGCCGCCGATTCATTTCGCCGATTTCTTCGAGATTCAGTGGGGTCCTAAATTTATTTTCACACTAAAGTGGGACGCTAACTTGACATTGCTCTGGCTGGTCTGTCGAAGGCTAGCGGCCAAGTGCTTCGGTCGTCCGAGCGGGATCTAGAATCATGGTTCTCGTAAATAAAGGGCATCCTAGGTTTCCGTGTTCACAGGGAAATGATATCACTACGGGAGTGCGCCCCCCGCTACAGCTAAAGAATAAATAGATCGAAGCGAGAGCGGAGGCTTTTGCTCCACCAGAGTCGACCACAAATTTCGTACGGCACTTTTTAAGCAAGGGAAGTAAATTATCCAAAAAAAATACCTCTGTCGGGTCAACGCCGTCGAAATCGAATTGTGCAGTGCCCGAGGTCGGTGATACACAGCGGGACGACTTGTAGACCTGAGCCGCGCTATTCCATCGCGCCGAGCTGAAAAATCACTATTGGAAAACAATCTAATCGAAATCTAAAGATTTGAACAAGACAAAACCTAAGAATACTAAAACTCACTCTTGCTGTTTATAAAGCGGGGAAACGCCCAGTGAGTCGGCTAAAGTGTTCGCGACGAGCGAGCCGACGAGGGGTACGGAAGTGCAGCCACATCTCTCGCCGGGCGACTAAAAGGAAAAATTATCGATATTAAATTAAAGACCCACCGTTTCTTCGGGAGTGTGAGGTGGGGTGGCCATGGTGAGTATCGTTAGCGGTTAGTATCTGCAAAAACTGGATCAGCCTGGGCAAAAGATGGAACTGGGGAAAGCAGAGAACAGCAGCAGGGTCCGATCAATTGGTGGCAGCCAACGCCAATGAGCACTGGGTCAACCTCCGCGAAGTTCAAAAAGAATAGGGGAAGTGGAAATCAGGAAGAAGCTTATGATAACGGTAATATGAAGGTGCCGCAACATTTTTTGCGACGTTCTGGCGTAGAAAGGCCAAGTTTGGCCTCCTATATTGCTTCCGATAAGAATTTTAGTGCTTCAAAAACAAAGCGGTTTCGATAAAGAAGAATCGTAAGGAGTCGTAAGCTGAAAAAGGAACCAGCAAGCATATTAGACCAAGACAAATCCTGTTATCAAAAGAAGTGTGCTTTCCAGCAATTTTCCAAAAGTAGAAATTGAGTATCCTATCCAAAAAACCAGAGCCCGTTACCAAAAAGACAAAACAGTCGAATACTCCCAAAATATAAGCTTCAAGGCTTCAAGATGTATAAGCTTATCATTTCGGTACGAACCCTTCTGGAAGAAAAGCGATTGCCGCCAGTTTTTGACCAGCATAAATTAAACTGCATAACTAAAAACAGTAGAAGCCAAAACTATCGAACAAGTATTTATGCTTCAAGGATTTAAGCTATGTATACAGCAGCTTTAGGCTTAAAAAAAGATAGCATTTCCTCGGAAAAGCCACATCCGGCAGTTTTTTTTTGACAAATAGAAATCGGAAAGCATGTCTAAAACAAGGAGATTCCGACAAAATCGAATTCTCCCAAGAATGTATGCTTCAAGAACCGCCACCGCAACGGCCGACAATTGGAAAATTGGGGGGCTGCCCGGGAAAGCAGTCACGGCCGTGAAGTGTGGGTCTTTTTGGGGATGAGAGTGTGGGCAAGAGATGAGAGGGGACGAGATAAGGGCGAAGAAGGTGGGCCCTCCGCGAACAGCCGGGCCACGACCTCGTGCCCCCGATCAGCCAGGTTTTGACGTAATTTTGGTCGGGCTAATGCTTCAGGGGAGCGATCTTTGAAAGAATCAAAAACTCGGTGTTTTGAAGGTCAAAGCATTGGTGGTAACGTGGAATTTTAAAGATCTAAAAGGGAAACGGGTTCTTTAGGATTCCCGGGGGGGGAAGTATTCCCGGGGGAACCCAATTTTTTTCGGTGGGTGGCCTAGTAATCAAATATAAAGTGCGAATGTTTTTGAATTGTTTTTAAGTATATTTGTGCGGAGTAACTATATTTTTAGGCGGAAAAATTTAGAAAAATTTGAAAAGTCGAAAATTTGGCCATTTTGGGCTTTTTTTCGACTTTTTTTATTCATTTTTTAAATTTTTGTGAGTTTTTATGCACAGGAATAGTTAAAAACAATTTAGAAACGCATCCGCAATTTATACAAAAATCTAGGCTTTCGCCGAAAAAAATTTGTTTTCCCCCGGAATACTTTCCCCCCCCGGGAATCCTAAAGAACCGGGAAACGAGAAAAAGAAAAAGTGAGAAACACTTTAGTTCCAATAGTGCAAAATACAGGGAGTGGCATTGTGGAGCGTCGCGTCTTCAAAGCGAGTACGGAACGCTGCCCCGTACGCGTTTATAGCTTGCGTTCGCTGCATTTCCGCCGATTGGATTTTCTTTTTGTGTATGTGGCTGTCTCTTTAGAATGATAATGTTTTGGTCAGCTCCTGAAAAATCAAGAATTCCGATAAATTGCTAATTAAATACCTCTAGAATGTTCAATATTAGGGTTTTGGCTTTGTCAAAAGTTTTAGTTGCTACGATACGGTAGAATGACAAAAAATGGCGAATCGAATAAGCTACATCGTGCGCCCGAGCGTTTATTACTGGATGAGCTTTGCCGAGGCCGTTCCAGCAAGCTTCTAACCGGAAAATGGCCCGGAAACGTTCCGGCTTCATCCCATGGACCTCATTGGTAGGGCCCATCAAGCGTTTTGCTCTTTTTTTTCTTGACTTTTCGAGGAATTTGCCTTTTCCTGAGCCAAGCTTTTGGATCCGGTTCATCCCCGGGGGCGGAGTGCAGGTTCGTTAGCCGGATGACCCGATTCACGGCCGGTTCTCATTTTCGCTTTCCGACACTCTCCATTAAACGGCCGACGATTGCCGAGATGCTCGTGGCACTTTTCATTTCTGCCGGTTTGTTACTCAGTTTTTAGGATAAAAATTAAAAAAAAACATCTGATTAACTGCACCGGGAAGTGAGAAGCTATCTCACTGCTATCTATTAGCTGTCAATAGCAACGTTATTTCCCTTTTACAAACACATTTCAATTTCATAATTTATTTTAAGGGTTATTGTATATTTCTTCTGCCGTCGAGGAGATCCCACCTTGTCCAGTTGGCTCCAGGCCGCTTTTGAGGCCGGATGGGGCCCCGCGAAAATGTCTGCCACATCAGAATTCGCTTTGCGTAAACGCTTTGCCCGACAATGTGAGTTTTACTCGTTACGTTTTTAAAAGTTTTAAAGAAGAAGAGGGGAAGGCGCAGAGACATTTCGTTTCCCGCGCGTAATCGATTGACTTATGCCGCCCCTATCCCTTTAAACCACGCCGCGATACTTTTCAACTCTGAAAACTGGGCATGTATCGTAAAATGTTTCAATTGGTCCATTTGCCAGCCGAAAGGCACTAAAATCGTTGGAATTTGAGGCAAAAAATCATTTTTTATCACGTATAATAATATCTAGGTTAAGAATCGTATCTGTACACGTATTGCTACGTTTTCTAGCCGAACGCCGATACGGTGTGCTGCTACAACAACCAGGTCGACTACTTTTGCTGCCTGGATGCGAGTGCGGACCAATGCCCCGACTATCATCAGGTTTTTTTATTATAAATAACCAGCGCCCAAAACCCGCTTCGCGGGCCTTGGGCGCTGGATTGCGGCCTCTGCATGAGAAAGTTGACTTTCCGATAGCTCGGGTCCTGCGGACCCCCCACCAACCACACGCGCGTGTGCAACTGGCAAGAATGAGGAAATTTGTATTTTTTTTACATTATGCAAATTAGCCCTCAGGGACCCCCAAAAATGAATAAAACCGGGTTTAACTTTGTAAACTTGTATTTTATCAAAATTCTGAGAACGCCATCGGAAACAGAAGGGTCGATTCCCCCAAGTGACGAAGAATTGAGGCATTTTGGACACTGGAAGGCCCTCAAATCTGGCCTCGAAACTGACATCCACACACACACACACAAAGATACACGCCAAAATTATATACGGTAGGATTATTTTATCGTTTTTTTATCTGAAAATGATAGTCTTTATTAAAGGTGTAATACAAAATCGGTGTACCAAGCTCGCGGCGGCGCAATTCGCGGCGTAAATTAATTTCCGATTTCTTATCAGCGGTCAGAAATCAAAAAAATCTGTTCTTTCTCAACTTCGACCGATGCAAGGACTAAAAATTATAAATAGCGAATTTTCAGGTGACTGCCGTCATCCAGAACAACTTCCCCCAAAATCCGTTCGCGCTAAAGTCGTACTTCTTCCGCGAGGGTTCGTTTTCCGCTTTTTGGTTGGATTTTAGACGGGCGCGACTAAACAAAATTGTTTTGAAAGTGATGTTTTCCCAAAAATCGTCTGACAGTTCCGTTAGCAAATAAGATACCTTGGCGGCTTCCCTGAAAACAAGGTCAGGGCGGAAGTATTTTTTGGCCAACAACAAAATGTATCTGGGATTGGGACTAGCGATAAGGGGTCGAGAATTTAGTTGTATTTATATTATTTATGGTACTTATATTATAGTTTTTGGTTTATGTTATTTTTAGGATATTTATAGTATATTTATCCTTTTTAAGGGATTGAGGACGAGATCGTTGACAATGGACTAGCCGAGGAAGGGCCAAACGATTCGGGGATGGCTGTCGAAAGGTATATATTTATTAAAAGTGCCTTTTTATAAATCGCGAGCTATATTTTATGATTTGCTACAAATAAAACTATTTTTTTTAATTAATGCAAAACTGCTAAATAAATACAAACAAAAATACTTTTAGAAACGGTCCCGACAGCGGCTTCATCGTGCGACACGGGTGATCAGCACGGGATAACGCCAATTTAATAATACTACCTCATAATAAATAATAAACGGTTCAATTCTACGCGATAATTATCAATTTCTTTATCGATTTACACAATTGAGCGCTCTGGACATTTTTCGAGTTCTTCGAGGGTTTTTTCGAGTTGATTTTGAAAGGCGATACGTACCACGAAATCTAGAAGTTTTTATCGAGATGATATTGGCGTGATAAGGACACTTCCGCGCCGTCCAGCCCCCAAGCGATGAATCATCCAGATATTTTATAGGGGGAGGTCAGATTTCCGGTGAGTCAGCGGGGGGTTACGGTAGATTGGGCGCCATTTAGTTATATGGAGAGGGCATTGAAATTATTATTTTCATATTTCTAAAAAATCTCGTTTTTAACTAGTACGAAACTTACCGAATTCTTGCTATAACCCGTTAATCTTGCGCTATTTAACGAGCTTTTCGATGACTCAGTGCGGGTTACGGTAGATTGGGCGTCAATTAGCCACGCTGATCAGCATACTCTTGACGAGAGTAGAAAGCCTTATTTTATTTCTCTAAACATCTTGTTTTAGCGAATGCGAAACCTGGCGAGTTGCGGCTATAACCCGTTATTCTTAGCGATACTTAACGAGCTTTTCGATGAATCAGTGCGGGTTACTGTAGATTAGGCGTCAATTAGCCGCGCTGGTCGGCAGTCGCTTTGTCAAAAATAAGTTTAAAATAGTGCAAAAAATCTGGGTTTTCGCTAGTACGGGTCTCCAAAAATCGGGGTTCTCTGCCCTACACTAAATGATGCATGAAAGGCCTTGACTCGGCAGATCTTTTGCTTCTATACCCCACTTTTCAAATTCCCAACACAGCTTTTCCCCTTATCATTCGAGGGCTTATACGCCTGACCCGCCGTTATCATAATCGTGCTTAGGGTGTACGTCGTACGCAGCTGTTTGTCGTCGTTTGTCGGTTAGTGTTCTGTGTGTAGGGCGGTTGTGGTTGGGGATGGATGGGAGTGTATGTGTATCTCTCTCTCTCTCTCTCTCTCTCTCTCTCGTGCTCTCTCGCCTCTCTCCCCCGCCCGCCCTCTCCATTTCATTGCTCCCCCCGCCTTCCCCGTCGCGGGCACACGATTTTTCCCCCGGCCAAGGTAACGCTTTTCGGGCCGGGGTGTAAAAACGCTATAATCCCCGGATTTGGCCCGTTTTTGACCTTTTAAAGATTTGTTTTGAAAGCAGAGACTTTTGCTGGCCTATTGTCAGCAAGCAAAGGCCATAAAGTCGAATGCTAATAGATTACGGCATTAAAATGCTCGGAAACTCGTCGTTTTCTCGCTTTTTTCTTATTTTTGCTCGCAGAACTAGAAGTCTTTAATCAACCATTATATTTTGTTGATTTTCTATTTTATTAGCACCCTTGAAAAGTCTCAAAATATGATTTAGCTATTTTTAGACAGCTAATTAGCCGAAGAACTCTTCATTTTCTCTCATATTTCTTGTTGTACGCCCAAAATTAAAAATTCTGGGTTAGCTCTCGTATTATTTGTATCACACTTTAAAACTAACTCACGTTAAAAAGACCATGAAACCGAATGTTAATAAATTACGGCATTAAAAGGTTAAGAAAACTCGTAGTTTTATTCATTTTTCGCGTTGTTTTAACAAAAACATACGCTACTACGCCTTTTTAGCCTCTGAACTATGTTATAAAGTTTACTACATGGATTTATGCAATTTTTGTCACTTGAAAATCTGATTATTTAATTTTTTTGGAGCATTTTGTCGTTGATTTAGCCTGATTTCCCACAGATTCCGGGTTTTTTTCTCCGATAATGTAATAAACTTAACTGCCGGAATTTTGGGTCTCTAAAAGATGTTTGTTTCATTTATTTACGCGTTTCTCGCAAATTAATTTTGATTTATTTTGATTTGTTTCAGAAGGGGCCGTGATGGCCGAGCCCCGTTCCATCACAATTCCATGGGCCATCACATTCTTTTTGAACCTGCTGTTCCTCGTAAGTGATTTCAGAGCTTATTTTATTGATTCATTTTGGAAAGGCACGTTTTCTCAATTTTTTTTACATAATTCTGCTTTTCTTAGCTTATCTATGGCAAATTACCGTCGTATTTTTTGTTTTTAGTTCTTTTCCGTATCCTTTTGCTTTCGTTGACCTTGCTGATCAATTTTCCTCTTCCGGTGTTATTTTTTGTGCGATCTGAGAATGATCTTATAAAATTACGTCATTTTTATCCGTTTTTAGAACTCTAAATCGACGTTTTTCGCAAAATTTTTTATCTGATTTTCTATTAGATTGTCCAAGTATCTTTATGCCTCATTTAAAACCAAAATTTCTCATTTTTAAAATTTTTCGGTTCCACTTTTGAACGGCTTTCCCCAAAAAATCCGTCAGCTTCTTCCTCGTCGCGCAAAAAGTTTGTGTGCCGGATCTGCGCGGGATTCGTCCCCGCCGGGCCCCCGTCAGCCATTGATTCTTTTTCTCCTTTTTCTTTTCCGTTTTTTCCCTTTTCCTTTTTCCACTATTTTCCTCGTCTCCCCCCGTCGGTCGTCATGCAGCATTTTTTTGGGGAGGCTGGTTGTTGTCGACCCTGTCACTCTGGCTGCTGCTAAACATTCGCCGCCGGGCGGAGTTGATGCAATAACGGGGGGGGGGCAGGTTTGGTTAAAAATTGTCGGTTAGGGGAAAAACTTTTTCTTAAGTTCTAATATAATACGAGGAGTGCTTTCACCTTTTTTTACTATTTCTAAACGTACAAATTTCACAAAATTTGAAGGAAAATTGAAAAATAATGGATTTTTCGACCAAAAGCGCCGAATTTTCTATTTATAATGAAAAATTTTCTGCTTTTCCAAATAGTATTTAATACTACTTAAATTTTACAAACGCATTTAAAATGGGCGGGTTGATGTACAAAAAATGGGTTTTCAACAAAAAGTGGCGATTTTCCAGGAAAATGCCCATTTTTAAACCTTTTAAAAAGTTTTCGCAATACTTTTCCGCTTGAAGATAGGTCAATTTTCTTAAAACCCATTAAATTGCTTGCTACTATTTTAATCGCTGGAAGTAGGACCCCCCCGATAACGCCAAAGAACCCGCCTGAAATTCTAAAACTCAACCCAGGCTGCCTTGGCGTCGATTGCTCTTGTCGGTCGGCCTTTTTGTGTATTTTTCGGTCTAGGTTCTGTGCCGTTTTTCGGCGCGTCGGCTATCGATCGATGGGGGAGGGCGGCCGATCATTTTGGGGGAAAGGGTGCGAATAATTCGGCACTTGCCCCATCATTCTCTCTCTCTCTCTCTCTTTCTCTCTCTCTCCTTAAAACTGGATGTCAACCCCGATGTACACATTGAGACAATCGTGTAACCTCGGTTGACTGGCCGATTCCATTTTTAGGGGTAAAACAAGAATTGCGCGTGGAAATGGAGAAAATAAAAATAATAAAATGTATTAAAATATTTAAGATGTAAACTCTATTTTTTTCAGTTCTGCTCGTTGGGGCTGCTGGGGATGGTGGTGGTGGCGGCTGTAAATCCACCGCCCGCCGATATTGCGCCCAAGCAGGTCAACGAGTACCCGCAGGTAGGAAACACTGAAAGAGAGGGTAGCTACGCAAACGTATTGTACAGATTTTTGTGTACAAAATGCTTTTTAGCTTTTTATGAAGACTAAAGGGGGTAGTTTCGACGTTGTTCATCGGTTAGCTGTCGACAGCTTCCATGGAATGTAAATTCTGTCGATTCCTAGTCCCTTTAAAAATTCCATTTACAAGCTATACACCTCTGGATTCCGGGCTATCACCTACTCCCCTACCACTTATCCTGTCACATATTTATCCACACACCCCGCCCAGCCAGTCAGTCAGTCATTCTGCAAAATGAGCGCTATGCCTTTCGGGAAGCGGATGGGGAGGAGGAGGAGGAGGCAAAATAGCAGAAGGGGAGCATGTCGTTTCGTCGCTAGCCCCGAAAAGGGGAAGGATAGGGGGTCTCGTCGAATATTCAGGCGAGAGAGAGAGAAAGAGAGAGCGAGATAGAGAGAGACGGGGAGCGAGTGCGAGAGAGAGAGGAGAGAGGGGGAGAGAGATAGCGAGAACCCCCCCCCCCCCGGGGACGGCCCATCCAACCGCGAGAAGATGAGCTACTACGGGTCATGAAGGGTCTTTTCGGGGGTTTGGGTGGATATATCCAATCTAATTTCCGGGGAAACCGGAAGATATACTGAACAGCTCGAAGTTGAGGTCGAAAATTGATCCCTACGTTGGGAAGATACATGTTCAATCGAATTTTTTTTCTCCAATTCTCCAGCAATCCTCAAGCCCGAATCGCCGGGAAGAAATACATTTTTCCGGGCGTATGTTTGCGTGTTTGTATGTATGGGGCAGGGGGTGGAAAGTTGGCGGCCTGGGGGGATGGATATTATTCAATTTGGAGGCCCCTTTCCAGCCAGTCCGTTCGAGCGGAGTGTCCCGTAGTGGCCGGCCACTAAATGAAACTCCCAGTCGCCAGTCCCCACTGAAATTAACATCCAGACTTTCGGGAAGGGAGCGTTAGAAACGCTGGAAGTATCAGGTTGGATAATAAGTTCTGTCACAGTTTTTTGGAATCGTCTGTTAACGCTGCAGACGTACCCGAATTGATAGTATAATATATAGTTTGATTGGTCTCATCGAGCTCTATTTAGGGTAGACCTTCCTAGCAGCCAAAACTGGAGGGACGCCGAGATAGAGCTTCAAGAAGTTTTCCGCAAAATCATGAAAAACCTATTTTGCAATTTATCTCTGCATAGATCAATTGGCATGCGATACCTTTACCGCGAATCGATAGCTCTCGAGGAGTAGATATCGATAGATGTTGAGATCATCAAAATCGGACATCGGATGGCCGAGATATGGCCTTTTGAAATTTGGCCCGTTTCTTAGAACTTTTCTCGAAATCCCATACATTTGATCAACCGGAGCCAAAACTGATCGCTTGATATTTGAAAGTACCGGGAGCATTTTGACCAAATGTATGGGATTTCGAGAAAAGTTCTAAGAAACGGGCCAAATTTCCGGGGACCATATCTCGGCCATCCGATGTCCGATTTTGATGATCTCAACATCTATCAGTACCTACTCTTCGAGAGCTATCGATTGACATTAAAGGTATCGCATGCAAATTGCCTCTATGCATAGATAATTTGCAAAATCCGTTTCGTATGCTTTTGCGAAAAACTTCTCGGGCCTTTATCTCGAAACCCATCAGTTTTTGGGTCAGTTGATGCTCTTCCCAGGATAGAGAGCTGCAAGACCTATCGAACCATATCTTAAACTCCAAAATTGGCAACATCTGTGATTTGAACGAGCTATTTCAAAAAATTGTGACAGAACTTATTATCCAACCTGATAATACGAAAATGTCAAAAATCGTTAAAAGTGCTATAGAATTTACGAGACAACTTTTATCATTGTTTTTGGTAAAATTTAACGACGTTCAAAGTAACAACAAACAACAAATTTTAAATTTTCAAAAATTCGTAATTTTGGTAAAAAATCTATGTTTACTCGATTACGATTTGCGCTACGGTATATGTACGGAATGCAAGATTAATAACCCACTTCCATTACAGTACCTGATGACGATCGGGCTGCTTGCCCTATTCGGCTGGAGTCTCTTCTCTCTCCATTTCCTCGGCGTCATCGCCACCTCGATCAGCAGCTCCTTTCTACTCTCAATAGTACGCAAAAATACTACTGACGTACAGTATCTAATTTTTCAGTTCATTCTGTACCAGCTTGGGCAATTGTGTGCCCAGTTTGTCATCCTGGCCTTCACGTTGACGGTTCGGACGAGGGTAGGCAAATTTTCGGCTCGTTTTGCAATCCAAGGGCCTGATAAAGCCCGATTTTTTAGGTATTTGTTCCTTAGCGGTGGGCATACTGCCCCTGTCGATATTATCCTTTTTTGAGCGCGAGAAATTACAATAAAAATGCCAAATTCTATCATTCCGCTTTCAGTTACACCGCCGACTCGAAGACGTTTACATCGGGAAAGCGCGGTGCTCGACAGGGTTCGGCTGTGAGCCGGTCAGCCGATTCCAACATTCCGAGACCCTCCTCATCGTCTTCTTCTCAGTGTGCACGTTGGCACAGGTGAGCCGAGCCAAATCCCCTGACGAAAAATCGAGAAACCAATCTTTCCCCCACCCGCTAACGAACTAGTACCAAAATTATCCGATTTCAGATCGCGCTCCTGATCGCCTCGTCGGTGCTGTGCGAGCGCATTTCCTACAAGGAACTGCTGAAAGCACAAGCGCAACGCGAGCGCGAGGAAGACGAGGATGCCCTCTTTGCTGACGATGGTCACGAGACGGCGTTGAGTACGGCTAGAACTTGACGGGTTTTCCGGCGCTCCCCAATCTCTAATTCTGCGCCCCAAAGACGGTTTTGTAGTTTGTAGCCTACGATCTTTTTCGAGACTTTCGAAACTTTGTAGTCTGCAATCCTCTTCATAAGTTCTCACTTTTTAGCCTAAAAAGTTACTCCGGTTTTGTAGTTTGTAGCCTACAAGCTAGCTCTGGTTTTGTAGTTTGTAGCCTACAAGCTAGCTCTGGTTTTGTAGTTTGTAGCCTACAATATCACGCGACAGTTTACCTGAATTTCGAAGTTTGTAGCCTATAATTCTTCCAAACGAAAGCTACAAACTACAAATTCCATCGCGAGAAACTTTCATCACCTCCTAAATTCCTCCGCCAACCCCAGGCAGCTTGCCAATTGCATGCAGCTAAACTCTAGAAAACTATCCAAATTCTGCCCTTCTTTGTACAGAATCCAGATTTTCTAAAACATTTCTATTTTTCCACGTTCTCCTAGAATTTTCAAGGGACCGGTAACCCCTCATTGGCAGCATTTTGGCCCCCCTCCCACCCGCTACGAGTACGTCCTATGCACGTTGCCTTATGTGGTTTCAGTACTACTTATTACCTGCTATAAGGTGTCACGAAAATCACTCAGCATTCGGTGCCTTCTATCGGCGATCTTGTAAAACAAAGATTATCGCTAAAAAGCAGTTTTTTGAATTTTTGGTACCGGTCTTTTAGCGGGGGGGGGCAACTTTATACCCATGTATTTTATTGCTTTTCGTAGTTAATGATTGCTAGAAAGTGATGATTTATTTAAAACGCATTGAAAAATATTACTTTTTTAGCCATTTTAAATACATTTTTGAGCAAAAAATACTGTTTTGTAAAGTTTGTACGATTTTTATGTGTTTTTTGCATCTAAAAACGGTGCAAAATGCTATGAAAACGATTTCATGACATGATTAATTTTAGTACGGCCGTAAGATTACAAAAATTCGGCTCCCCCGCTAACAGAACAGTACCAAAATTTCCGACTGAACGTCTAGAAAACGTCGAAATGCCGAATGATTTTTCGGAAGCCTATATATAATTTTTGGACCATTGCCAATTTTATAAAAAACCTGTCATTTCGCGTGCCCAGCCATCCTTCACTTCACTTATTCCCCACCACGATCGCCTCTTGTTTCGCCCCCGTACTGCCTATATATTCTATACGAAATACGCCACGCTACGAAATCACGATTATCCCACGTTTTTTTTGGATATTTTACGAACGTTTCTACCTTGATTTTTCGGATTTTTTTGTCCACCCTGCCCTCCTCCGGTGATCCCCAACAAATTTTGTGCCTTTGCCGCCTCGACTTTTCGCTTCTTGTTTTTTTTGTTTTGCTGATAAAAAGATTTCTAAAATAATAATTGGTCAATTTACATGAAAAACACACAGAAAAATCCATAAAAAATCAACAAAGTTTGAGAGGTCCTAGAGGCCCGATAGAAAGACAGCCCTTTTCTCGGCCTAGGAAAGCCGTATCGCATTGATTTTGATACCATTTTGTAGCCCGGGAAGCGGCGCTTTTTAAACACTAAATTATATAATTTCTACCTTGAATTTTGGGATTTTTTCTCCACCTTGCCCTCCTCCGGTGATCCCCAACAAATTTTGTGCCTTTGCCGCCTCGATTTTTCGCTTCTTGTTTTTTTGTTATGCTAATAAAAAGTTATTTCTACCATAATAATTGGTGAATTTACATGAAAAACACACAGAAAGATCCATAAAAAAATCAACAAAGTTTGAGAGGTCCTAGAGAAAAACAGCTTTTTTTCGGCCTCGGAAAGCCGTATCGCAATGATTTTGATACCATTTTGTAGCCCGGGAAGCGGCGCTTTTTAAACACTAAATTATATAAGTCTAAATTTAAGTTATCTGGTATAAAAGTTATCTGGCACTTTATAAAAAAGTTAGCAAACGGACATTGCTTAAAAATCTAGCCACGAAAATAAAGCGCGTGCAACACATCAAAATAGACATTAGTAATGGGGGTGGGCGATGGCGCGTCATTTGGCGTCTCGCGTTCTTTTCGAAAGATGAGGAGATGGTCAAACAGTAGATGTGGAATAAGTGACGCTCGACGCTCTCAATCAGAACCCCATAGCCCCTCTCTCTCTCTCTGTCTCTCTCTGTCTCTCTCTCTCTCCATTTATCCACCCTCACAAGATATCTGTATCCACCTCACCAGGTCCACAAACATTGATTTTCCCAAGGGGAAACATGCCTTTAACAATTTATTTATACCTATGCGTTAAATAAACAATTTTGCAGGTATAAACCTCGATACCCTGATTTTTCTATTGCCTTCATTTGTGTGTTTTTTTATTAAAGTTGCGGTACTGAACTTTTAGCGGGGGGAGGAATAAAAACTCATCGTTGAGAAAAATAATTTTTGTTTCTTGCATCCCGTACCGCTCCGAAAATAAATAAGAGACTAATTTAATAGCATTTTACACAATTTTAAATGTAAACCTACATAAAAATTTTATCAACTTTTTTTGTTTGCCTTTGTTAAAATAGCTTAACTTTTTTGATTATTGTTGTTTATAAAAATTTTGTTACCTTTCGGTATTGGACTGTTAGCGGGGGGATGCATAAAAAATGAACATAGTCAAAATTTCATTTTTAAGAATTTTTCTGCCTTCTTGGAGATCGAAAAAAATGAATAAGCATAAAAACACTATAAAAAATGAATATACTAAATAGCTTGCCCTCCCCGCCCCCCCCCCCCGCTAATAACACAGTACCAATGTTTCGCATGGAAACATACGTTTTTAAAACAACCTTACTTTGTCACTCGGCGAAAATGAACATTTATGTTTTTTTACTCGTCCAGGCATCTTAAAAATTCTTTTTTTTATTGATTTTCTGGGCTTAACAATGCTATAAAAACTGTCGGGATCGATGGATTTTTTTGTTGACCCTCAGAGATCACCTGAAGCCACTTCCGCTCCCTTTTTTCCTAAGTCTACGGGCATCACCGCCTAAAATATTTAATTTTGCCGGCACCACCAAAAAATTTGGTCCCTCGAGGATGGGTTAGAATGGCTAACAAGCCGCCATCTATCTTTCCGGTCCCTCTTTACGAATCTTGCGAATCGACGTTCGAAATTTGGGGCTTTTCATCGCGTTGAAACGGTCTTGAAAGAGGCCTTTCATTTCTTTCACTGATGCCAAATCATAGGCCCAGTCACTGAACAACGTCTCGAAAGCGGTGGAATATTTTGGGAACGGCACGCCGAACTTTTTTGAAGCTTTTCTTAGTTGATGCCTGAAATAGTGCTACAAAAAGGTTTGCGTTCTTTTGCATTATCGGGGGGGGTTTTTCTGCTTTTCCAATTTTAAGAGAAATAGATGAAGTTTGCTTTTTGCAAACGCAAAAACTTTACAAATTTGTTGAACAATACAAAAATATCGATTTTTCGCCAAATTGTCGATTTTTTGTAAACTTTATAGATAGTTTTTAGATAGTTTAGAAAGTTCTAAAATTTTTAGATAGTTTAGAAAATACAAATACCAGCGATATTTCGACCAAAATTTCGAATTTTAAAATTTACGCAATGTTTTAAATAGTTTTCCACTTTAAATAAACTTAAATTTTACAGACACTCTTAAACTACTTTACTTTACGTATACAAAAAAAAATTCCTCTGATACCCCCCGATAATGCGAAAGCACCCAATATTTCCGCGCCCAAATCCTTCCATAAACTTGACCTTCACTCGAAAAACGCAAAAGTTTATCATTTTCCCGCGCTTTTGTAGACCTTGGCCATTTACGGCTTGCCCAATTTACATAAGCAAATATTCGAAGAGGGTACTGGCAAGGTTTTTCTTGAATTTTTCTCTTCCCTAGAAATAGCCCTAGCATGGCTGGTAGAAATGGTAAAAAACATATACATTTTTGGTGCTTTTGCATTATCGGGGGTGGGTTAAATCGGTGTTTTTAAAATTGGCGGATAGAAATTATGTAGCTTTAGCATTTAGGAATAGCAAAAAAGGCATACAGCACTTTATTTATATTACAAAAAGTTGATTCATTCGGAAAATGCCCCCGATAATGCGAAAGCTCCAAATTGTCCATTTCCCTGTGTATCAGACCGTTTTGCTTTTTATACTTTTTCCCTCCACCTCGAATCATCCCATTCAACCCATCTCGATGGGCCCGCCAATTTTCTCGTCCGCCCGACACCTAACGACGATTCGTGGGCAAATTGGAGCGTCGCGGAGAGGCGTCTTTTTTCCATCGACATCGCGCTTATTTTCAGTTTTTTTTGGTTGTTTTTGTAGGGTTTAAAGGGCTCGGCAATTCAAAATGATTAATGACGCTGCGCAGCGGCCGCGTTGCGTGTCGCGGGTGCGGGAAACAATGGAAATCATTTCTGAATTACCTCGGGAAATTAGCGGATTTTTTCAACTTTTTGTTATCCGTTTTTTTGTTTACCCTGGATAATTACAGATTACACCCCAAAACGGGGATTTTTGCATTGTTTTCCCGCCGGGAGTCATTTTATCGTGAATTTCGGTGTTAAAAATCTAAAAGGCTACTTTATTTTCGTGCTTTTTTCGAATTTTAAAGAGTTTGAAAAGCCATTTTTTTAGTTTTCTGCGTTGCCCTATCTTCAATAAATACTCTTCACTTTTCCGCACCTCTTCAAATTGTTCCCAAACTGATCTCACGTCCTTTACTTCCAAAAAGCTATTTGCTAGCTTGCCCCGCGTAAGAGGTCCACTTGAATTTTCACGCCAAAAATTTTTTTAGGGTTACTGTTTGTCGTTGGCCGCATTTGGTGTGCGTTTTGGAGTGTTGAAGTGGGCATCTGGGCCCGAGTTGGAACCTGTAGAGCCGAAGGACCGCCCATACTATAGAATCTACGCACCGCGGATACAGTAGAAAAACAGCCAGAAGCGTCACAAAAAACTAAAGGTCATTTTTTTGATTGTTAGAAAATTAAATTTTTGAAAAAGCGTTTCTATAATTTTTTTTTTGCATCATTTTACACTTAGAAAATAGTAAAATGTTTATGAAAACTAAAGAAAGTAGTAAAAAATGTCTAGAATGTTCTAGTCACCGCCCCGTCGTTGAGCATGACCATCTCGTACTCGGGTAACTTCGTTCAGCTGCTCCTCCGATGGAAGGGGTCGATATTTCGGAGTGTTTGGAAGGAGCTGCTCGTTTGGGTGACGCTGTACTACCTTGTACGCGTCTCATACACGCACGCCATACCATGGGCCGATCCGAAGGGAACGCACAAGTACAGGTAAGCGTAAGATAGGGTACTTACGCGTACTCTTCACCATTTATAGGATTGTAGTGTGAGCAGGGGTAAACAGTGAAAATGCCGTCACTTAGAATGTCAGAATGCCGACACCGAATCGCGTTAATTGAATTTTCGCGCATAAGTTTGCCTTGTCGGCATTTTTTACTGTCTGTATTTTGGCTGTCGCCATATCAGGCTTGTCGGCATTTCTAATCGCGTCATTCGATCCTTGTCGGCATTTTTAGTGTCTCCATTTCGTTTATGGTGATTTCGGATGTCGGAATTCTATTTTTGTCGGTATCATCGCTGTCGGCATTCCACTCTTGTCGGCATTTAACGTCTGCATTTTTTTGCTTGTCGGAATTTCGACACTACACAATTTCCCTTGTCGGTATCTTGCTGTCTAGCTGTTTGGCTTGCAGTAATTTTGGCTCTCGGCATCCTGCGTTGTCGGCATTTTGGTTTTCGGAATTCGACCCGTGTCGGCATTTTTTTTACCAACCGAAATTTAGGGAGAACTTCATCTCGGTCTGCCAGCAGTGCAACGAGTATACAAAGTTGATACCGCTCACGTTTCTCCTCGGCTTCTACGTGTCGAATGTGGTGTCGAGGTGCGTTTTCTTGGTTTAGCACCCAAATGCCGACAAAATGCCGAAATTTATAATATCGAACCACTAGCCTTGCCTCGCTCGTCCCTTTAAATTGACGGTTCCAGATGGTGGCGCCAATTCGAGTGCCTATGCTGGCCGGAAGACTTGCTGTCATTGTTGTGCTTCGTCGTGCCGGCCGACGACATGAAGCAGGCCAGGGTCCGGCATCGCGTTGCCAGATATCTGAATTTGACGTGCGCCCTCGCGTGGTGCGTCATTTTCTGTGGTTTATAGCCGTTTGCAGGCGAGAAATCTCGTCAAAAATTCGTCTCCGCTTCCCCACGCTACGCCATATCATCGACAGCGGTCTGTTGACGGAGACGGAATATGAGCAGTTGATTGATATTGCGGTTAGTGTATAATATATACATCATCACTTACAAGGAATTCAATTTATGTAACGCTTAACAATTTTGAATAGTTTTTAAAGATTTAAAACCTTCAAAATGTTGAATTTAAAGTAGTTTTTAATGTTCTATTCGATTTTTGCGTGAAGTTTTTAATTTCCACATTAAATATAGTCATATTATAGCTAAAAACAAAATTAAAATACTTACTATTACGGTAATAGGTAATTTTCGCCTTTTGCAACCCCCCTAAAATGCTAAAAGCACCGAAAAACGGCGAGTTCTTGGATAAGCCGCCGCCGTAACCGTCGTAAAATAAGCCAATCGATTACGACATGTTATTAAAGGATACCGTATCCTAAAATAATAAGTTCCCTGTTGCGATTACGCCATTTAATCAAAAGTATGATTACGCCATGTAATTAAAAATTGATTTAAAGATTAATTTATAATTATTTTCAGAAAATCAGCCAAGGCTGCGTGTGGCTAACCCCCCTACACTGGGTCCAACAGATCGTCTCGGAAACGGTGGCCGAAAGCGGTGCCCTGCCCGCCTACGTCAACAATTTCAACCAGGTACGCTACGCTACGCAAGCGTACGCAAACGTGCGTAAACAGTACACCCCTGTACTCACGAAACCCCGCCCCCCTTTTTTCGTTACCATTGCAGGAAGTGGTCTTTGACACGCTCTACCTTATAACAACCGTAAGTACCGCAAGCATCCGCGTAACAGGGAATTAACTAATCGGTTCTTTTGCATTATCGGGGGGGGGGGACTTTTTAAAAGATCTGATTTTTGGTATAACGCGTCTATTGACCGATTTCGACTATTCCAAACGTAAAAACACCGACAAATTTTCAGTAAAACCACAAAAATGTCGCTTTTGCGACCAGAAATGGCCGATTTTCGACAAAAATCTCGACAAAAAATTTTTCTAAATTTTTAATAATTTTATCATAGCTAACTTTTAATAAAAGTGCTATTACAGTATTTATCTTTCTGCTAAGTTTTTTGAACTCATGGAAAAACATCCCCCCGATATTGCCAAAGCACCAACTAAAGATATCTAAATTTTTATGGCCAATTTTTTAGGGCATTAATCCCCCAGTAATGTATTTTTGCAACAATTTTAATAGCATCCACATTATCATGTAAACGACCGAAAAACGCTAACAACCTTTTCTAGGAGCTCAAATCGTTCCGCATCAGCTTCCGGCGGCTGTTCTGTCACGATTGGGTGTGTGTGCCGTTGGTCTATACGCAAGTAGGTGCCTAAACCTTGCTTCAATTGGCCTTAAAAATTATCAAACGCCGCACGTGGGACCTGAACGCGTTGCCAAACCCCTGTTTTAGGTAGCTGCTCTAGCTACATATGCCTTTTTCTTCTTCTGTCTCTTTGGCCGGCAGACGATCGTCGAGTCGGAGCTGCGCGCAAAGCATGGTATCGGTACCAGCAATTTAACGATTTCTTTAGGCCTGGAAACCGTGGATTTTCGGTTTCCGATCTTCACCGTCGTGCAATTTCTCTTCTTCGTTGGGTGGTTCAAGGTATTTGATTGAGGCCTGCTTAAGTTCCGTATCAGGCCTGGGCTTAGCTTAGGCTTAGGCTTGGCTTAGGCTAGGCTTAGGCTTGTCTTAGGCTTGGCTTAGGCTTGGCTTAGGCTTGGCCTTGGTTTAAGTGCGTTGAGACTTGGGCTAGGTTTAGACGTTGACCTGTCTTTCTACGTTTCGATGACGTCTACGTTTATAGGTGGGCCAAGATCTGATGCGACCATTCGGGCTCGACGATGATGACATTGAATTGTCCTACATTCTCGACCGCAACATCTTGACGTCATTTACGATAGCTAACACGTTGCAGACGAGGTCACCACGTGGGTTTTATCGAGGAAAAAAATGGAACTCGCGCACTGTAGGCTAGGAAAGCGTAAAATAGCGACTGCTAAGTCCCTTTAAAGCTACGAAGCAGTCAAATAGACAGAGAAAGAGGGTACAAAACACTCCAATTAACGTTGCCGTACGCAACGCTCCAGCTATAGTACGTAACACTCCCTCAAACTACAGTACGCCAGACCCCAGAACACCGCGCTTACGCTACGCAACACTCCAATACACCCTACAGTACGATACTGCTATTGACGTGCCGTTTTTTCAGCCCCATTTGAAGAAGATCCCTACTGGAAGGCGCGCCACGACCCGAACGTCGCCGATTCTTCATTAAAGTATGTGTCCGTGGATCGTATCGAATTTTTCGAGCTTTAGGTACGGGCGAATTGACTTGAGTCGCGCGAATCACAAGCATCCGCCCAAACTCCATATGCTCGCCGACCTGAAGACGGTCGATAAGCAATTTGTGGTAATGTTTCCTCTCTCTCTCGCTCTCTCTCACTCTCACTCGCGCTCTCTCTCTCTCTTGCTCTCTCTCGCTCTCCCTCTCGTTCACGCTCTCTCGCTATAGAAATATTTTCCAGCAACACCAAGTCGAAAACGGATGTGCTCTGCACGACAAGATGGATATGGTGGAGGAGAGGAAGTAAGTGGAGTGGATAGAGAGAGAGAGAGAGAGAGAGAGAGAGACAGACAGAACGAGAGAGCGAGAGAGATATTCGAATTTCAGGCTGCTGTTCTGGTGACGTCTTCACTGCCGCTGATTAACCCACAAAAATGGTCTCAATTCTGGGTGGAAGTGCTTGGAAAAAATTTCTGCGATAAATTATGCAAACTGTGATTTTGTGCGCACTACGAGAGAGAGAGAGAGAGAGCGAGAGAAACAGACAGACATACCGACAAACGTTCCCGTTCGCCTCATCCCCCTCCTCATCTGGGGGTCAGTTTAAGGGCTAGTTTGCTAGCCACTGTGGGTATATGTCACTCTCCTCTGTCTGTCTGTCTGTCAGTTTGTGTGAATGTGAGAAAAGGGGATGGATTGAGAGTCAATTAAAGGGATGGGCAATCGACAGCCCTCCTCCTCCTCATACCCCTTTTGTCGCCAATTGCCACCACCCACCCCAAAGGATTTTCCTTTAGAGACTGGGTATGTGCCATCGCTTCAACCACCCGCTGACCACCCTGCCGTTCCTTCTTTCCCCTTCACAAAATCGATGTTGTTCAATTTTTTTTGCTTATTGTTAGTATTTTTTAGAGATAAGCCGAAGCCTTAGCTTAAGCCTAAGCCTAAGCTTAAACCCAGGCTTAGCCTAAACCTAAGCCTAAGCCTGAGCCTAAGCCTGAACCTAAGCCTAAGCCTAAACCGAAGCCTAACTTGCGCATAGCCGTAAGCCCAAGCCTAAGCCTCTGCCTGAGCCTGAACGTGAACCTAAGCCTAGGCCTATGCCTATGCCTAAGCCCAAACGTAAGCCTAAACCTAAGCCTGGGTTATGCCTAAACCCAAGCCTAGGCTTAAATACAAGCCTAAGCCTAAGCATATCTCATCTACGCCTAAACGTAAGCCCAAGCCTAAGCCTATGCCTGAGCCTGAACGTGCACCTAAGCCTAAGCCTAAGCCTAAACCTATGTCTATGCCTATGCCTAAGCCCAAACGTAAGCTTAAGCCCAAGCCTAAGCTAAGCTTAAACCCAAGACTACGCTTAAGCCTAAGCTTAGGTACAAGTCTAGGCCTAAGCCTAAGCTAAGCCTGAAACAACGCTAGATCTCAATTTAAGCTTCTCAACTTTGATATACCATGACGTTGCTATGAGATAAACATGGCGTAATCGACTTTGAGTGACACTACGTTCAACCCCCGGTAAAAATTCAGTTGCCTAAACGATGATTGCCAGCTTCCTGATCCCTTTAAATACGTAGAACAGAATTTCGGGGCGTAATTGGTTCGAGATGTCCGTAAAACGACTAATTTCATGCCAGAACGTGCTGATCCGTAAAATGCGGAACAGCGGATTCCTGTTAGCGCACCTCAGCCTTCCTCCCTTTTTTATGTCAATCCGCTGGGGGGTGTGAGGCTGTCCCCCACTGGCAAACTGTCATTTGGGAGTGGCGCGTAGTCGCTCTCTCTCTCTCTCTCTCTCTCTTCCGAACTTATCACCCTGTCCCCCCTGTTTTCGGGTATGCTTTTGGACTGAATTCTGCCGCCTCAAGCAGCCATCACCAACCCATCCTCACAGCCATGGCAAAGAAAAGTGAATTTCCAGCCGCCATCCATATCCACATCCCCCTATCAGCCATGCATAGTAGCTAGTCGGAATTTCCGGCGGGATTAGTATCGATTTGGTTAATAAATCTGGCTTCCTGGTATCTTGAAAATTATTAATCCGCGTGTTTTAACGATATTTCAGTTTCCCAACACCTTTAAACTTGCTTTCGGACCAGAATTTCCGAGCGTAATCAGTTAAAGGTATCTAATATGCCTGGCTTGCCGGTCCCTTTAAGCTAATGTTCACAGAATTTAATGGCGTAATCAATTACGTCCGTGATAAAATTGGTTACTTCCGGGTCCCGCTAAAATTGATTTAGTGACGTAAACGATTAAGGAAAGTAGCGTAGAAGTAATTGACTTATCGATCCTTTAATGTTTTTAGCTAGAATTTCATCGCGTAATTGATTAGATTCGGTGCACAATCCCTTTAAAATCACACACAATCAGCCGGAACGATACCTGCTGTCTCGCCTAATTAATCGCTCTACGGCGGGAATGGAAAGTAGGTGATAGCCGGGCGAAAGTTCTTTCTCCCCGCCTAGTCGCATACTTTGGGTTTGAATCCATCAAAATTAGCGAGTTTGTCGGCATTATAATTTTCCGACTATGAATTTCGGCAATATGACATTTCCATATTAGTAATTTCGACATCACAATAGCTTTTTTTCTGGCATCTAGCCATTGATTCAAAGATCTACCACCCCGCGCCAGCCAGTAGAAAATGCCGATCACCCCCCAAAACAGGGCTGCCATTCCGAGGCTCAACCCGCATTTCACCCCCGGCGGCTTTGTTTCTCTCTCGCTCGCTCTCTCTCTCTCTTTCTCTCTCTCTCTCTCTCTCTCTCTCTCTCTATATCTCGCTCTCTATCTCTATCTCTCTCTCTATCTCTCTCTCACTCTCTCTCCACCCCTTTCCCTTGATAGCGCGAGCTGACTGTAAGAACCGGAACATCGCCTAAATTTTTTGCACGTCATGAAAACATTCTTTTCCGGATTTCGGTAAGAGTTTACTTTACCCCCCCCCCCCACAGCCGAAGGGTCCCACAGGTGTCGGTATTTTCGCTTATTTTTTCGGGATTTTCGCAACGCCATTCGATAGAGCGTCGAAAAATATACTAAGAGTTTTAATTTGAGCCTACAATAATGTAAAATAAAAAAGTTATAGCCAAAAACTTCCGGCTGGGGGTGTAAAGTAAACCGTAGCCCGGATTTCCCTATCGTATCCATTTTGTTTTTACCCTTTTTCTAGCTTTTCACCTTTAAAATTAACGTATTTGCGTTTTTGATTAGAGCCAGTGAATGCCTAATCGGATACTGGTGATCGGGCTGCTAGCCGGCTTCTTGCCAGGTATGCTACGCTTTTTTATGGAATTTAAAGAGACTTGGAATGCAAAAAAGGTAAAATATCAGGAGATTCGCTTACCAGTCTCTTCAAAAGCTCTAAAAATTTCCGATATCTCCACCCCTACGCTCCACTCATCTTTACATTACAGCGGCCCTCGGCTGTATGGCCGGCTACGAGGACGAGCGGGATCGTCTGCGGGAACATCTCGGAATCGAGTGGCTGCCGCACGGGTTGGATAAAACTGGTACTGTAACGTGATGTAGTCAAAAGTTGTAGTTTGGAGTTTAAAATAATTTTTCACGATCACCAGGCTCAATTGAATCAAATTTTCAGCCGTTAGCGACAAGACGATCCGCCGGTCGACAGATTTGAATTGTGACTTTAGCAGCCCAAAGGAGTGCCGGTAATTGGAGTGTGGCGGCATTCGAAAAGCTCGCTTTCAGGTGGAAAAATATGGAGGCGAGGCACGAGATGGATTCGCTGGATTTTCATCTTTTTGAAAAGGTGATTGCGACCGTCTCTATCTCTCACTCTCTCCCACTCTCTCCTCTCTTTTTTCTCCGACTCTTGCTCTCTCTCTCTCTCTCTCTCTATCAATCTCTCGCACTCACAACACTTCTTGCTCTCTCTCACTCTCTCACACTCTCGCTCTAACTCTCTCACTCTTTCTCTCTCGCTGTTGCTCTCTCTAGATCTCGTACTCACCGTATATCTCTCATTCACTCTCTCGCACTCACAACACACTGTCTCGCCTTCTCGCGCTCTTACTCGCTCTCGCTCTCTCTCTCTCTCTCTCTCTCTCTCTCCCTCCCCTATATATATTTAGAAAAATCAAGAAAAACTAGAAAATGTCAGGTGGACTGGACGGAATTCCCAGCTCTGCAAGTCAGACCCGGCCCCAGCAAAGTGGCCCAGGGCGATAAGATGATCTTCACTGGCGATAGGGTAAGCTAGCGCTCTGCGAGAACCTTGTCTTTTTCCAGAAAAGAGAAGAACAATCTGCCATTTACTACAGCTCTCCCATCGGCTGCCAGAATGCCACCGGGAATTTGACGTTTACGTACGTTTTCTAAAGCCTACCACGGCACCGGGTTTGGAGAGAGAGAGAGAGCGAGAGAGAGAGAGAGAGAGAGGGAGAGAGACAGAGAGAGAGAGAGTGTGTGAGAGAAAGCGAGAGAGAGAGGCGGGGGAGAGAGGGAGAGAGCGAGAGTTAGGCGGGAGAGAGAGAACGCTTGCCTCTTTCTGAAAAAAATTTCTTATGCTATTTTTCAGCTTCTGGGTGTACAATGATGCCCGGGTGGAGGTGCTGCTCCTCGAGGATCGGCCGGGCGGCAAGCTGAAGGAGCTGGCCGAGAAGCCGTATGTTGATTGCGGTACGCTTGCCGAGGCCTTTAAAATGGAATCCATTTTCTTTCAGGGACAATCAGTCTGAACACCGAGTGCCACGCCGACATCCCAGCTCGGCAGACGCCCTTCCGGTTGGCCATCCGGGCCTATGATATTGCCAATAAGGTACGGGAGAGAGTTTAAAAGGCCGTTCGCGAGAGACCCGAACAGACCCCATTATGGCTTGGCACAGTTTTTTTCGACCCTGTTTTTTTGACGCCATCTGAAAGAACATAGTCGAATTAGTAGGGTGGGATGATTTTTAAAGTTTAACAAGTTTAATTTTGGGGTTAAAATGGGCCTCAAAGTCGCCAACACCGAAAAATTATCTCGAAAACTACTGAACCGATTTTACTGAAATTTTGCGACAAACCATAATTTGGAACGGGGATCATTTCTCTAATACATTGCAACACTTGAAAATGGCAGGAACATAGGTATACCGCGTAGTGCAAACAGTTTTTGCGGAATTAGTAGTTTTACGGGTCCCCAGAGCGCTTAGCCACTAATGTTAAAAGATGCGCGCGAAATTTCTGCATAAAATGGTGTATCTTCTAGAGCGCTCCGCGCGCCCGTAAAAAGCGAAAAATCGAGTTTAGTGTGGCGCCAACGCACCAAATTCGGCTATTTTCTTTCATAAGACAGGCGAGAGGAGGCGAGATAGTGGGGAAAAGAGAGAGAGTGGCCTCCGGGGGCCGATTTGGCTGCAGGCCTGTTCGGCTGTCGCTGTGGTGCATTGGTAGTGGGTCGGGATCCTTGCGCTGGGGCGGCTCTAGATCAATCCCAGCCTACCTTTAGAAAGCGAATTTCTTTTTGCTCTTTTTTGCAAGTTTCCTGACTTGGGCTCCTGAGGTATATCCATGCTGCCCCCGCAAAAATTTGCCGAATTTGGTGCGTTGGCGCCACATTAAACTCGATTTTTCGCTTTTTACGGGCGCGCGTAGCGCTCCAGAAGATATACCATTTTATGCAGAAATTTCGCGCGCATCTTTTAACATGAGTGGCTAAGCGCTCTGGGGACCCGTAAAACTACTAATTCCGCAAAACTGTTTGCACTACGCGGTATACCTATGTTCCTGCCATTTTCAAGTGTTGCAATGTATTAGAGAAATGATCCCCGTTCCAAATTATGGTTTGTCGCAAAATTTCAGTAAAATCGGTTCAGTAGTTTTCGAGATAATTTTTCGGTGTCGGCGACTTTGAGGCCCATTTTAACCCCAAAATTAAACTTTTTAAACTTTAAAAATCCTCCCACCCTACTAATTCGACTATGCTCTTTCAGATGGCGTCAAAAAAAACAGGGTCGAAAAAAACTGTGCCAAGCCATAATGGGGTCTGTTCGGGTGACTCGCGGACGGCCTTTTAAAGGGAGTGTGACATGCTGTGTGTGTCAGTGGTAAAGACGGAACTTACTATGAAAATTAGCTTCCCTTGCTAAAAATTTCCCCCACTGCTAACAGCCCAGCACCAAAACTCTAAAGCCTCTGGCTTCCCGGTCCCTTTAATCTGAATTCATACATTCTGGATCTCCTCAATTTAGGAAGGCTCCTTCGTGATGGTCGACCAAATCATGTACTCGGCACCGTTGTGTAATGTTGGAGGTAGGCTAACCAGCAGAAATCATTTTTTGAAAAATTTCAAAAAAGCGAGAATTCTATGTTTCAGTCGATCTCGGCGACAACTTCTCGACAAAGCCGCTGATCACAGCAGCTATGGGCAAGGTGAGGGCTCCTAGATTCACCCTTCAACGGCCCTTTAGGACATCTCTCTTGCAAGCCAGCTCGACTGCGCCGATTTCGACGAGAAATGCCGGTGGAGGAGTGGCGGCCAGTCAGATAAGGTGAGTGAACGCGTTGCGGGTGCATCGCTGATGAATTCTGGTGTCGCTGTCCCTTTAAAACAGCTTTTTAGATGTGGCGTCGGTCAACCTCGCCTCTACCTCGAGAATTCCTTTACAATACTACTGGCAGTTATATGGGTAAGAGAGGGAGAGATAGGGAGAGAGAGAGAGCGAGAGAGAGCGAGAGATAGAGAGAGAGACTAGTGAAAAATCTTCCATTTTCAGGTCCATCGGGAGCCTATGCTGTTCTTTACATCGATCAGGGCTCCAAGAGACCCCTCGACGTCCTAAAAGCCGACCCGATCCCGTGCCAAAGCCAGACCGAGAACAAGCTATCATTCAGGTCAGTTTTATAAGTTGTTCAGAGAATTCAGGAGAGAGTGAGAGAGAGAGAGAGTGAGAGAGCGATAGAGAGAGTGAGATGTACTGTAGGGTTACTGTAGATGGTGGGCAACCCGGGACGTCCGTCTCGAGGTGTGTGCCGTAGGGCCGCCGGGTACCCCCGAGGAATGCCGTTCTTTGCCCGCCGAAACGAGCCCCGCACCGGCCGAAGTATCGTTCCGGACCGCGTCCACGCAGTTTACGGTGGGTATTACGCTAAAATAATTGTTTACGGTTAAACCGGTATTGCATCAATTATATGGTATCATGTGCCGCAAGTTACCGTACGACAAAGTTATGATGAGGAAATTGGCTGTGATAAAAACAGCATACGTTAGCTTACGCGGCATATTAGTACGGTATACTATAAACCGTATGAAGCTGTCTGCCGTAAGTTGTACGGCCTAGTACAGGATAGTACGTTTTATACGTTTGTTACGCGCAACACCCAGTCTTGAGTACGCTATGCTACGCATAGTACACAACATCAAAATCCGGTAAAAAAGCTAAAATGATAAACTCTGAATTTTGCAGATCCAAATCCGTGTGGCGAGCTTCAGTCCAGATTTCGACAGCGTCGTAATCATTGACGATTTGACGTACAGGTGCGTGGATGGGGCTACGGTAGATTCCATAATTCCAGGGCGACGCTATGTACGGACCCGTTGTCTGTGTTTGACCTCGGCGAACACTTTGTTTCGACCCCAATGCTGTCTCTACTTCTCCATCGCCACGTCAATTCTGGGAAGGTACGGTAGAAGGGTCGGGATTTAGGATTTCATAGTTTTCACTTTTGTTTAAGAGCTAAAATTTCAGGAATTGTCCTGCGACTTCTCGAAACGAGCAGCCGATTGCGTCTGGGGGTCGACGGAATATAACAATGTTGAGGACAGGTACGGTAGTAGTAATTTGGAAAGTGGCGTACTCTGCAAGTAAACCGTAATTTGTGCGTTTTCGAAATGCCGAAATAGGGTGAATTTTTAAGATGTCGTAATCAGACAAATACGGTATTCCTGAAAATTCTAACTTAAGTCACGTTAATTACCTAACTACCGTAATCTCATGAATTTTTGAGACATCGTAAGCAAATAGATAGCGTAAATTAGGGCCCAATAATTTGTGGAATCTTACAATTTTGTAGCTTTCCGTAATCAGTTATATACAATTTTTTGAGGATTTGTATGGTAAAGTAACCACGTAAATACCGTAATTTAAGCAAATTAATCTGTCCTGCACCCTTTAAAGTCGAAATGATGCATAAATGATAAGTATATTAGTGCCAAAAACAAAGTAAAAAATGCTAAAAATGATAAAATATAAGTATTTTTCAGTGAACTTGTTCCTGACGTCTGGCAGGTGGGCCATGGTCCGCTAAATGAGGAGAAGCTGTACTCGTTGAGTGGCCAGACCCGGACTCCAGGTCTCGATAATTTCTAGGTCTTTTTAAAGCTTCATTCAGATGGCGAGTTCGCGGTGGCCAAGTTCGAGACGGGCGGCTCGTCGCTGTTGCTCTCGGAGGTTCCTATTTTTTTAATATATATTTTCGGTATTCTGCACCAATTTGGTGCACCTGAACTTGTTGCTGCCGCGTTCCGCTCTTTTTAGGCCAATTTTCCAGGTGATCCGCTGCGTGCTGGACGACGTCTCGATCTCGTTCAACATGTGGGCCACGGGGACGGCGTCGTTGCAGGTGGCTTGTCCGGTTACGCTATGAAACAGGGGGTGTTTAGGTGTGTCTGGTGGAAGAATCGTCGCCATCGCTGCTCGATTGCCAGCCGGCCGCCTCGGGACCGGTGGTCGTCGACTTGCCGCCCATCAAGAAGCCGTTCAGGTCATTAATTTCCGATTTTTATAATGATGATACGGAGCGTAATCGAATAGTCATTTTACTGCCTAAAATTAGGTATCGTAATGGAAAATAAACTCTATTTCCGCTTTTTACCGCTTACATTACGTCATGTAATGGTTAAGGCACTTTTTGCCACCTTTTCTGTTGTAGAATACGTCATTTAATGACGAAAATTTCCTTTAACCCTTCATTAATTATAGTACGTCAACAATTGGTCCATTTCCGCTATTTCCTGATTACATTACGCTATGCAATCTATAAAACCCACCCTCCTTCAGAATAGCTCTTCGCGCCGACGCCGAAGACCAGGGTCTCCTTATTGTCGACGACATTGACGTGCAGGTATCGTTGCGTAGTCTAGGGAATTAAAGGGGTTAGAAAACCCAAAATGTCGACTAGGTATCGACAGATACCCGTAACTTCGCGCGCCGCGTAGTTGTCGAGACCCATGGGCTCGATTCTGACCTTCCCAGCCCCATTAAAACGTTTTTCAGGGCTCCGTCTGCCCGGCCTTCGCACGCCAATTCGCCTCCAAACATTTCAGGTACAACCACGTAACGCTCCTCCCTACCTCCCCACTTTTCAGCCCAGCCGTCGAGCACCCGGACCCGAACGTGTGCCGCCTGTTGTCCTGCGACTTCTCCCATGGCCACGCCTGTCTCTATACGCACAATACCGTACCCGGATCGGCTCCGTTCAGGGTATTGTTTCGTAGTCATTGTATTAAAGGGGCGGGAAAGGCTCAAGAATGTCATGTTCTGAAGCGAAGCCTAAGGCTGAGCTTAAGCTTAATCGAATCCTAAGCCAGACCTAAGCCAAGCCTAAATCCGCCTAAAGCTAAGCCAAGTCTAAGCCAAACTTAAACCTAAGGCCAAGCTTGAGCGAAGCCTAAGTGAAGCATAAGCCGCATATAAACCAAGCATAAGCCAAGCCTAAGACAAGCCTAAACCTATCCTAACCTAAGCCTGTAAGCATAAGCCTAAGCCAAGCCTAAGCCAAGCCTAAGCCAAGCCTAAGCCAAGCCTAAGCCAAGCCTAAGCCAAGCCTAAGCCAAGCCTAAGCCAAGCCTAAGCCAAGCCTAAGCCAAGCCTAAGCCAAGCCTAAGCCAAGCCTAAGCCAAGCCTAAGCCAAGCCTAAGCCAAGCCTAAGCCAAGCCTAAGCCAAGCCTAAGCCAAGCCTAAGCCAAGCCTAAGCCAAGCCTAAGCCAAGCCTAAGCCAAGCCTAAGCCAAGCCTAAGCCAAGCCTAAGCCAAGCCTAAGCCAAGCCTAAGCCAAGCCTAAGCCAAGCCTAAGCCAAGCCTAAGCCAAGCCTAAGCCAAGCCTAAGCCAAGCCTAAGCCAAGCCTAAGCCAAGCCTAAGCCAAGCCTAAGCCAAGCCTAAGCCAAGCCTAAGTCAATCATAAGTCGGATAAGTTTAAGCCAGTCTAAGCCAAGCTTAAGTCGAAACCTAAGCTTGAAGCGCTGTTTCTCGCGAGCTGTTCAAATCCTTAAAAAATCCGTGCCTTACCGATCCCTTTAATTGAATCCAGGTAACCAATGCCGGTGCTCGAGCCACGATCTCAAAAGGGCGCCCGGTAGCCGTCCTCGAGTCGGTCCCATTCCGCCTGAATACCATTGGACGGTTGCACTTTACGTATGCCACTACGGTAACATTTTATTTTTTGCCTTTTTCTAAGTGTAATTTAGGGCGATGCTTCGCTGTATGTGTGCAATGACAGTGTGAAAAAGGAGCTGGAGAGTTGCTTCAAGGTAATTAACCGTAAAAATACCCTAAAACTTTAAAAATTCAAAAAAGACTAAAAATTTGCAGGTGGAAGGCTCGGATGGAGAAGATTACATCGAGCTGCTGCCGAGTGATACAAAGGTGAATTATCGAGCGATACTTTGGGCTACCGTAGCGTACTGTAACCTAGCGTATTGTAACGTAGCGTACCGTATCGTAGCGTAGCGTACTGTTGTGGTAGGTACATCGAGTATCTAGCCGTAGCTTACTGTAACGTGTACCGTCCCGTAGCGTACTGTAGTGGCGCGTACCGTGGCGTATAGCGTACTGTAACAACAAAGCGTAACAAAGCGTGCCGTACCGTAGCTTACTGTACTGTAACGTAGTGTAGCGTACCGTAGTGTGGCGTAGCCTATTCTGGCACATTGGTCTAAAGCAATAAATATAATTTACCTATATTAATTAAGCACCAACTTCAATATTTGAGGTGTACTTGATCGGCCGCCTCTCCGAGCATTCACTCGACTTGGGCTCGTTGCGGATCATGAACTTGACGCTGACCGATACCATCGACGAGCCGGCATGCTAAATCAACAGATTTTAGCACTAACAATTGTGTTTTGCTATTTTGAGGGGGACGTTATTTGGAGTCGGTCGGAAAACCGGAAAACACCGATTTTCACTTGTATTTTGTAGCTGCGGCTCGCTGATTATTGCAATAACAGCGAGTTCAAGCTAAAATCACTTGCTCGCTCTCTCTCTCTCTATCCCTCGCTCTCTCTCTCTCACTTTCTCTCTCTCTCTCTCTCTCTCTCTCTCTTTCCCTCTCTCCTTGTTGATTTTGTCGATCTCTATGTTGTGATATATCGCCGTGTCAATTCACTGTGCCAGGCAATAGCGGAAGCGATAAATTGTATTTTATGGAGGTATCAAATGTATAAATTATTTTTCCGTTCAGCCACTGTAGATTATGGCAGCTCCTTGACACGGTCCTTCAACCCGAGCAGCGCCAACTGCATCCGGGTCTGCTCGCAAAAGTCGCCATACAGTTGCTCCCAAGCCACGCGCGCTTCCTCCTACAAATTTCGGATTAAAGGGCCAGACAAGTCATGGCTATGGATTTTCTAGGATATGGATTTTGTGCTACCGGTCCCACCCAACGCAAAAATTTCGCACGGAAAGCGTCAGTTTTCATTTTCTGCTTGTGACTCCGCAATTATTCCACAAAAAAAAGTGTGCTTAAAGCAAAGAGTTCTCTCTTCTCTCTCCCCCCTCTCTCTCGCTCTCTCGCTCTCTCGCTCTCTCTCGCTCTCTCGCTCTCCCTCTGTCTCTCTCGCTCTCTCTCTCTCGCTCTCTCACACCCTCACTCGCCCTCTCTGTCGCTATCACTCGCTCTCTCTCGCTATCTCTTTCGCCCGCTCTCTCGCTCTCTCTATTTCTCTTTGGCGCTTTCGCAAGCGGCGCGCGCGTTATGCAACAAAACTCGGCTTTTATCGGTTTTCGTGGCGCGCAATGCGATGAGCGATTTTCCGCTTCTTCCGCGCGTTGCGTCAAAATCGTAAAAAACCACAGTCATGCCCGTTACTTTATAACTCTCCATGTCATTTGGAGCCTACCGTACCTCAACCACCGTATTTGCAAAGACAAAATCGCGAAAATGCCGGGCAAACTCGTCGAAATGGCCGGAAGTGAGGTGGTACTTCTCGTGCCGGGCCATCACCTCGAACACGAAACTGTGCCATCTGAAGCGCCCATTAAATTAGATAAGCTTGCTCGTCTTCGGTTACCGATTCTCGTTTGAATAGTTCTCGACGAGCTGCGCGAATTCGGACACCACCTTTGCGCCCAGGGTCAGGAATCTGAAGATTTTTGGGTGAAATAATTAGTTAAATCAGAGTAAAATATAATAGAAAACAAAAATAAATTAATAGATACAATTTCTTATGCAGACCGTGTACGAAAGGGAACAATAAACGCCGGAAAACTTACCGCGTACTCGTTTCGATATCCTTTTCCTGGAATGCGGCCACCCCTGACAACGCCTGCTTATACTCTGGGCTTTTCGAGATGATGCTGAAAGAGAGTTGCTTTTTTTGGGGTCCGAAACGTCTGAATTTCGTGAAATAGGACAACGCTACGCTACTCTGCACACGTTCATAATATGCGCTTATTGCATTTCTTGCAATAAATTCCGGTAAACGCGCCATCTGCTAAAAAATAAAACCAGAAATGCTTCGAGAGCATTAGGTAAAATGGTACCGTGGAGCGTCGCGTTTCCGTAAACTCGACTACGGGACACTCCACTACACATTTTCGTCCTATGCGCACGTTGCATCCCTGCGTCTATTTACTTTTTTGGTACGAGTTTCGCATATTTTGTTTTCATAACAAAGCGATATTCAGAATACCGGCATTTCTCCATGTCCAAACTCAGAATATCGACGCTTCTCCGGGTCGAAATTCATAATATCGAAAATCGTACTTTCGAATCTTCATAATGTCGAAATTTCAGAATATCGACATACAAAATTGTTGAAATTTCAATATGTCGAAATTTGAAAATTTGTAAAATAAAAATAATTTGGGGGTGTTTTCCGGGAGATTTGCTTTTTTTTCGGCATTCTGAAATGTCGGTATTCTGAAATTTTCGACATTTTGAAAGCAACCCTCAGCCCAAATATTCCGCATAGCCGCGCTAAAACCATGGCGTAGAAATGTTAGATCAATTCAAAGACGTCAATGGATTTTCAATCTTGATTCTTGATTTTTGCATGTTATCAATGTCCCCCTGGGGAGAATTGGTCATCTACCAGCCTTTAAAGATTTCTGCAAAACCCTAAACCCCCGCCAAATTACCAAAATTCATGACGCAGGAGTTTCTCCACACCCCCCAAAAGTCCACCACGCCCGTTGGGATTGTCTAGATTGTCTTGATGCGCCCCCCAAAAAAAGAAAGGAAAAAGACAAAGCCCCGAATTACGCGGCGCCCTTTCCTTTGGTGATTGCGTAGTGGGTGGCTGACTTCTATTTGAGGCCCTCAATAATGAAAATTGCTGGGTTGTGCCGAGGAAAATGCGTAGTTTTTCCCAACGCCCAATCAGCGCCCGCGTCGCAAAAACGAGCTAGAAGTTTGTGGGCCAGAGAAATGGACGCCGGAAAACAATAAGATACGTAAAATCATTTTAAAAGGATGATTTTAGAAATAAAATACAACACTAGGAATATAAAAAACTGTGAAAAACCCACTACGCGATCAATTTTGCCGAATCCTTGATGTTCTCGTCGTCGCTGCCCGGGTGGACGTGGAACACGGCTTCCAGCGTCTTCAGCACGCTCTTTGAAACAATTTCGCGATTCATCTAAGAAAAATCACGGGGTTTTGAGGGTTTGAGCAAATACAACTCTAAAAGGTGAAAAATTCGAAAATTCGTGCTTTGAAATAGAAAAACCGGGTTCGTTTGCAATATCGGGGGGATTTTCCTAGATCTTGCGTAAAAACGGGCAAAAATGCTCTAAAAAATAAACTGGATTTCGTTATAAGGCCGCACGTTACTTCGAAAAATTGCTTGTTAAGTGCTAACTCCCCCCCGCTAACAGTCCAGTACCACAATTTATCTCCCCCGATAATGCCACAGAACCAAGATCGATTGTCGGCGGAAATGCTGTTGCTAGTTGCTAGTTGCTAGAAGGAGTAAGAAGCTGAATTTCCAAGGGTATTGAAGCTTGGGGCGGATGTGTGGACACTAAAAAGTGGCCATAAAACGCCCCGACTACAACAATTAGACCGTGAACCCCACCAAAAAACTTTGCCAACATCCCGTGATGGGCCGTGGGGAGCTCGAGCCCGGCCCGTCCGGCCAAGCCGAAATGGGCAACACCCACCTTGTGGGGGGAGAACCTGCTGTTGCCACTGACGACGAGACAGGATTTGTGAAGGAAGGTAAGGGGCCCGATGAAAGGGAAGGCCCCCTAATCACTTCTTCTAGCCCCCCACCCGGCACAAGGTCAAATCGAAAAGCCGGCTATTGCTCAGTATCGGAGGGGGAAATCGAATTTTTGGCTTGAAATCGATATTTCAAACCGCGACGGGTGAGCATGAGTTTAAAAATCAAGGAGGAGAACCTCAGAGCGAGAGAGAGAGGGAGTGAGAGCGAGAAGGAGTGAGCGAGAGCGAGAGCAAAGAGAGCCAGAGAGAGAGAGAGAGCGCGCGAGAGAGAGCGAGAGAGAGAGAGAGAGAGAGAGAGAGAGAGAGCTACAACTAGAGAGAGCGAGCGAGAGATCGCGAGAGAGGGAGCGTGAGGGAGAGCAATTGTTTTATCCGTGTTTAGAACAGGCCTTTTGAGAATGGGAAGTGGCCGTGCCCCCCCCCCCGCTAACGAAACAGAACTGAAAATTGTACAGTTTTGCTTTCAATGGGTGAAAAAAAACGAAAACTATTGAAAAACGTCGAGATTTTCAAAATTGACCAGGGTTGAAAAGCCGCTACGCGGCTTTTCACCCCTGGCCTTTGCGCGGGGATCTTAAGACGCTGGGCACTTTGCATAATTCTAGCGAATTAGTGCCAACCTCTCAACCTTAACAATCACAAAAGCGACCGACTCGGAGCGTGACAAAATCGAAAATGAGCCTCCTAGCGCCTCGTATGCAAATGAGGGCATTTCCATATGTTTTTAAAACACTAAAATAAAGTATAAATCGTCATTTTCTTAAAAATCTGATAAGCGTGCAGTAATCTACGCCCTCGAATACCCCAAAATACCTTTAGACTGGGCCCGAAAAACCTTCCCCCTTCGCGATATCTTGGTAACCCGGTTTTTTCGAGTCATTTATGCAAAGTGTCCACAGACACACACACAGACACTACTTTTTTATATATAGTAGGATCCTTTCGGTCGAAAAATCCGTATTTTGTTAATTTTTACCAGTATTTGTATAATCTTCATACGACGGTTGCTAAAAACGATACATTACCCCGTTGAATCATAAATCTGTGGATCGGAAGAAAAGGTTTGTTTCCCCCTGGCCGATAATGAGAAATGGTCGCCGTTTATTGGATCTAGCCCGGGAGGTTTTCGATTGCAACGTTCCCGAAAATAGGGTACAGAATTTGGGAGCTCTGGCTGGAGATTTGGGCAGGTGTTTTCGGTAATTGGCCACGGGAAAGGCCAAAATCAGGGAATGTAGAGGCCCATATCGACAGACGGACATGAATACAAGCTGAAAAAGTACGGCTTTACAAATTCAACGTTTTAAACATTTAAATTAGCTGGGAAAAACAAGGAAATTTCAAGGGTTGAGTCCCGAAACGAACGCACGGAGCAAAGCTGCGTGAAGGAGCTCCGCGTATTTGACGACACGAAAACGCGGCGCCCCACTGCACATTTTTATCTAAAGCGCACTGGATATCGCGAGGAACTGGATTTTTTGCACGCGCGACACGCAACGGAACCGTTACGCCTGACCTCGACGACGACCACGCGAGCCTGCGCCGCGCGTTGTTTATCGCGACTCGAGGCGCTGTAACCCTAGAGCAATCCATAGTCGACTGAAACCCAATTTTTCCGAAAAAAAAACGCTAGACTCGGTCGGGATTTGGTCGCGTGGCGGAACTTCCCTTTTATCCATCGGCACCCACCCGGAAAGACGTCTTAGCCGCCCGTGGGAATCGCCGTAATAAAGGCCGAAAAAACTAGCCTGCCTGCCGACATTCAAACTTCTGAAGCGTCTGTGGTGAGCAATCGAAAGAAAAATAATTTTGGCACGTCTTTGTAGTTCGGCATCCGGAAAAATACGACTCACACGCGCGAAAACTCAAAACAAGAGTCTAGCAGTGGTCACAACTGTTGAAAATTGCGATAAAATTGGGCAATTAGCAAATACCCACGCGCCGCGCTTTTTGTAAGGCATTAATTTTAAGTATTTAGACCCTGAAACAGATTGTTAAAGTTTTTTTTGCATGTTTTAAGGCAGTATATAAAGTATGCACTTTGCTACTACCATGAAATTTGTACAGTTTTTTTAATTTAATGGCCGTTAATACACAAAATCTACGTACAGAAAAAGCAAAAAAAAAACGTACGACATCTTTTAATTGCCCGAAAATTTGCTCCGATAAGCCGAATGAGCAATTGAGAAGAGTCTAGGGCCATATCCGCTTTTTCATCGGCATCAAGCTTCACGTTTCTGGCCTCCACGAGCCTGGGTAGTAATCAGATTGCGCATTTTCAAGTACCTACCCACATTCCCTAATTTCCTATGCTGGCCAAAAGCCAGCCCCGTTCGCGTCGACTTTTTGCTGCAAAAGTTCGTGGACAAAGAACGCCATACAACTTGAACAAATTAGCAGGGAAGCTATGGAAAAACCGGAACAAAAACATTTTGCATAGGTTTCCGGAGTATGGAGCGTTCATGAAACTCAAAAAATTAGCATATTACGTATGATTTCCCCGAAAAAAGTTTTTACATCCGTTCGGATCTTGAAAAACATCGTGAAAAACCAAATTAGCCAGCATCAAAATGATGGTCGCCTTGGAAAAAGGTTTGGCATTTATTTTCGAGTTTGAAAACAGCTTCGGAGAATTGATTTGCATAATAAATCGTTTTCTGCCGGAAAAAAAACACGTTTTACCTTGGTTTACGGGTTTAAATTGCTTGGCTAACCGCCCTAAAACGTCATTGCCACGTTTGGCCGCCGATTTCGGTCAGTTTTGTTGTTGGCTAGTACGTACGTTGTTGCTCCTTGGAATCACCCGATTTTTACAGGCCAAATGAGCGGCCGCGAGAGCAAGATGGCGCCCCCGCCATCAGCTGCCCCGACGACGCCCACCCGGAGCACCGACCTGGAGAGCAAGCCATGGTATCACGGGATGAGGCCGAGGAAGGAGTGCGAGTACGTTACATTACATTATTGAAAGAAATGTGCTTATTCTCACAATTGCGGTTTTTATTGGGCAAATCATCGCCCAGCCTGCGCCAGAGCTTTTGTAACTCGGCTCAGAGTTGTCTATCGGGGTAGTAAATTATACCAAAATGTTTGCCTTAGTTTGGCGAGTATTTTGGTATACTTTACGTCCCTTTAGCCCAACAGGCAGTCGAGACAGAGAGCACGACAGCCTGCGCTAAGGAGCACATGCTTCGCGGGCGCCGATTTACGACTGCGTGTCGTTCGCTACGTAAATAGGCGTCCACGTAGCTCTTGCGTCGCTGCGCTTTCAACGATAACCCACCTTTTTATCCGATTTTTAGGGCGCTGCTGGTCGACAAGGGCGACTGGCTCGTCCGCGCCACCGACAACGACAAGGACGGCCGACTGTTAATCATCCTGAGTATCGTCGACCCGAAGCGCGTGGCCAAACATCTAACAATCGCGTACGTTGCCCAGCTTTGCTTGGTAAACGGCCATCCTTTTTAGCAAGGACGACAAGGGCCGCTTTTTCGTGTCGGCGCTCAAGGAGAAGGACCGGATCCCGTTCCCCTCCGTCGTCGAGCTCATGGAGCACTACACGGTTCATTTCAACTCTGCTATCGGACCCTAGATTTTCCAGAAAAAGGGTGGCATCGGTGCGCTGAAGCTAGGCCAAAGCAAGAATCGCCCCAATTGGATGCTCAAGCACGAGCAGGTCAACTTTGACGAGGCAAAGGTATTTTTCTCGCTAATACTATTTTTGGTGCTGGATTGTTCGCGGGGATGCCAAATTTTTCCCCGTAATTCCGTATCGCCGTTTGAAAATTCTGGGACAACTTTATGGCATTTTAAACGTTTTATTAGATGCTATCTAGATATCAAAGGCTCATAACTCTGACTCTGATTCTTTTACGTTGCTTGCCAACGGCGCTCCTCGCGCCATGATAAATTAAAAATAACAAAATTTAATGAAATTTAGAAGATTTTGATTTTTTGAAGAAAAATTTGTGAAAATGTCCAAAAAGGGTTAAAAAATTGAAAGTATTTTTTAGCGATCAAAAACTACGAAAAACTATTACAATTCAAAATAGTACCCTACGTGATAGATTAAAACCGGTAGTTATCGTAGAAAAAAAACAGAAATCAGTTCCCTCCCCCGCTAACACTCCAGCACCCTATGCTTTTACACCTAACAAACCTTGCAGGATCGCCTGGGAAGCGGCAACTACTGTGTCGTCTACAAGGGCATTTTCCGCGATGAGACCCGGGCGCATACTGTGGCGGTGAAGGTGTGTTTCGCCTTGTTAACGCTAATGCTTCTTCCGGCTTTAGGTGGCCCTCCCGCTGGCCGAGGAGCGAACGCCGGAGCAGATCACGAGGGAGCGGCAGAGCATGCTCAGGGAGGCCGAGCTGATCGCCTCCTACTCGCACCCCAATGTCATTCGGGTAATTTTCGGCGCGGATAGCGAACCGTTATTTCTTTGCTTAATTTTAAAAGACTAAAGCCTTGGAAACAAGCTAAGTACGCAAAAATAAAACTAAACTAACCACCAGAAAAGATACAGAGAGTATAGGCCTAAAACATACAACTAAATTTCAGCTGTTCGGTGTTGCCGCCGATCACCCGCCAGTGCAGATCGTGCTCGAGTACTGCCCGGGCGGAAGTCTCGACCGTCATCTCCAGGAATACAGGGATCGTATTGAGTCTACCGAGCGTGTCGTCTACATGATGGATGTGAGGCGCTGCTTCTTCAGCTTCTTCGTTCTCCCTATGATCATCACCAAAAGCAAAATTCTAGGCGGCAGACGGGATGCAATACCTGCACGGCCAGAACTGCATCCACCGCGACATTGCCGCCCGTAACTGCCTGATCGCCGAGACGGGCTGGATCAAGATCTCCGACTTTGGCTTGTCTAAGAACTGCGGCAAGGACGAGACGAAGGAGAAGGACATCGAGGCCGACATGGGCCTTCCCATCCGGTAAGCGTCAAAAAGCTTGTCCGACCACTCCATTTTTCGCTATAAATCCTTTTTATAGGAGACGGAGAAAAAATATATCCCTTTGCCTTTTTTCCTAAGAACGCCGTTTAGCTATAAAAACTCATAAGAAATATAAAACCTTAAAAATCAACGTCCTATCCAGTTGGATGGCACCGGAAGCGCTGCAGAAGAACCGCACCTACTCGAAGAAGTCTGATGTGTGGAGCCTGGGCGTGGTGGGTCACATTGTCAACTCGATTCCTTATAATACGTGAGATAAAAACAGGGTTTTCACAACCGGAAATTGCAGATGATCTGGGAGACGTTCAACAACGGGATCAAGCCGTGGCCCGACTGGGAGACGAAAAAGATTGCCACCTACATCCGCAAGGGAAAAATGCCCGAATTCCCCGAGAGCACCCCGGCAAAGCTGAAGGAATTCGTCCAAACCCGTGTCTGGTGAGTAGCTCACCCTCGCCAATTACCACGTTGCAGGGTGGTCGACCCCGAGAATCGCGCCGACATGAAGGAGGTGTTCGACCAGTTGAAAGCAATCGTCAAGGCCCCCAAGCGCCCCGTTATCAATCGCCTGAAGCCGAGCAAGGTGTGCACGACACGACGATGGTCACAACAGTTCACTTTCAGTCTTACTGCTCGGAGGAGGAGAAAGGCTTGTCTTCTTGATTGCTTCGTGATTGGCTACTTGGCCGGACCCCACCGCCCGTCCTCGCCTTCCCCTTCAAACTGCGTGGCCCCGACAAGCTCAACCCACTCGCCTAACCGTTAACATGAATTGTGTCTGCTTTATCGCTTAAACATTACATTTCTGGGAATAAAGAATTGCTTGCACGGTTGTATGATGAAGTTTACTTTTGTAAAAGTTGGTTGATTCCGGATCATCGACTGCTAAGGTACATGTTTTTACAAATGACGTGTTATGTAAAGGACGGATTGCATGTACAGATAATTGTATTTTGGGAAGGACTTTGCGCACTTTTCAACTTTTTATAAACAGGACTTGTGTAGTACGTATTTTTACAAAACGTGCTTACGATTACATGTGTACAATTGACGTATTGCGTAAGGACGGATTCTCCGTACAGAACAATACCTTCCGGAAAATTAGAATTTTTCGCGCGGGTTTGAGATAACAAATTTAGAAAGTAGGACTCGTGAAGTACAACTTGATTTTTATACAAGTTTTTACGATAACAGTTGTGCAAATGAGATACTATTTGTACGGACGGACAGCGTGTACGGGGCATAATAATTTTTCGCACGGTTTTGAAAACTATAAAGATGACCTGTAAAATGCGTCTTTTAATAGGTTTACTATTGTACAATTTTTATTACTATTACTCGCACTTCAAAAACTCCAAGCCCGGATCATACGCTGCAACCCTCGCCCCGTTGCGCACTCTATAAAGCACTACTCGCCTTGTTCCCTCCACCCCTTTCCCCTTCCTTCGTTTCACTTATTGAACGCCTCCAATTAATTATGTTGTCCGCTCGCGGCTTTCCGAAACGTTGCTCCCACATGTTTTCAGCTGGCATTGGGGGATCGGCTGCTGCTACTTTGGCTGTTGGGTGAGGGCGCAATCGATTCACGCCATGACGCCCCTGTGGTGCTGGCGTAGCCCGTGACCATTCAGCCCCTGTCCACACCGAAAATTTACGCCGCGAAATTGAGCACGAATTGACCGCCCGAAATGGGGGTCATCGACGGGGAAAAGCCGGACGTAATGGGCACCCACTATTTCCTTTGATTTCTTGAAAAAAGCTTGGCAATTAGATAGCTACTTGTGTTTTGAAAACTTTCGAAGTATTGCACGTTTTTATGAATGCCCCTCGTGACCCGTAGTTTTTTGAAAAGTTTATAGTCGGCCCGATTAATTTGAAGCTTTTTAGTCATGCCGGCTTCGTTTACGACCTATTGCGCTTAGGTTTTATGATATTTGTTCGAATCTAACCGATAGTCCCCCCTTTCGCGCGTTTTCCGCTGATGATATCTTTTCACGCTTCAACTGCACGTTTGCAAGCCTGAAAGCTTCACAGTTCTTGCTCCATTTCTCTGAACGAGGCTTTTGAGCACCAGCAAATTTCTCGGTTTTTAGGTAGAATTTTGTACCGTCCAATCCTCAAGCGCAATGGCGGAAGACGAGAAAAAGAAACTTCCCGCTAAACCTATGGTCAGTTTTTCACGGCGCACCTCCTCGAAATACCTTTCTTTGAAGCTTCTTCTGACAGTGTTGCTAATTTTCTTAGTAAATAGAAGATAAATCTAAAGCTTATGGGAACACTGAATTGCTTTGCTCCTGTAGTTATATCACATCATAGGTCTTAACGAATTTAACGAATTTATCTTCTGACAATCGGTGATCTTCTAATTTTCAACTCCATTTTTGCAGAGCCAAATGCTCGACTTGGCCGCGCGACTGGACGTGCCTCAGGGCAAGGATTCGGCCTCCCTCCCCGGCGAGTCGCCGCTTTCGTCGGCTTCTCGTGCCCGACGTCTACGCAACGACGCCAATCCCTACGCCTGCCTTCTCCGCGCCCCGCAGGGTGGCGTCACCAAGGCGGTCAGTTTCATTTTGGTCTTTTGCCTATGCTCCAGGCCGTGGGAATACTTCATGGAGCCAAAAATATGACTCGAGCTAATGCATGCTTTTCAGCACGTGATGAAGTGCCTGGACCCTTTCCGTCGTCTGCTGCCCCCGTTGAACGTCGATCCGGCGCGCCTCCTTCAACTTCTCCATGCTCTCATGGCGGCTGGCCTCAAGGTAAAATAATTTTTAGCGCTTTACATCATTTCTACAGGCCAAGCGACTCCTGGATAACTTTGAGGAGGGCCTTGCTCAAGGAGACTTTGCCGACCTCGACCTTCATCAACTGGTAATTTTGACTAGGCTTCAAACCTTCTGTGTAGATGATGTCGGCTGATCTCCCACCGTTGCCGGAGAAGAGCCCCGGATCGGGCGACGGCCCTGATCTGCTGCAACCGCTCGACGCTGCCGAGTACCTGATCGTGCTCAACCAACGCTCTTTGCTGTTGGTTTTTCGTGAAGTTTCGAATAACTCCTTCTTTCAGTGGCTCCCATGCGCAACGGTGCGAAAATTTGATGGCGTCCGGCCAGGACCCAAACGACAACCAAGCTTCCGAGGCGAGTTTTTCAAAGTTTTCTGAACTAATTTCTGTGTTTTTATCTATTTGAAAAATCTAACTTGGCATCGAATTCATGCGCTTTTCTCGGCTAATCAAACGCTCCGTTTTAGACGGAGGGCGAAGGTGGCTCCGACGAAGACTCCCTCGACCCTGACGAGCCGCTGATAACCCAGGACGACCATTTTTTTGGTGCCGCCTGCATGGCCGGCTACGCGGATTTGGTGGCCCTGCTTTGCGAACTGCGTGGGAGCGCCGAATACGAAGCCCCAAACGAATACACCCCCCTGATGGAAGCCTGTGCCGGTGGCAAGGCGGATGTCGGTGAGTGTTTTTTAAATAAATTTCGTTTTGTTTTGTCGTCAGTTTCTAACGATTGTTGCTTTTTGAGAAGTTCTTCTCTCAATTTGTTTTAGCAGAATAAAAAAGAGCGGAAACTAATTTTGATATTAGCGCGAAGTTTTCGCTACGGCAATTCTTTTCAAAAACATATTTAATAACATAGACCCTAATTAGGCTTTAAAATTCCTTCAGATAAGTAAATGTTAAAAATAATTTGTTTGGCAATCAAGCAATATAATTTTCTTCCAGTCGAAGCCCTGCTGCAGCATAACGCCGAGGTCAACACCCTGTCCGAGGCCAAGAACAGCGCCCTGGTTTTTGCAGCCGCTAGCGGACACCTTGAGGTTTGACCTTTCCTTTCTTTCAAAGATTGCCCAATTTCAGTGCCTGAAAGCCCTCCTTGCCTCCAAGAAATGCGACCTGACGATCCGCAACGCGAACGGCCACTGCGCCCTCATGCAAGCCGCCAACGCCGGCTGTCTGGAGAGCGTCAAGGAGTTGGTCAAGTACGGCGCCCGTAGCGAGTACGTCAACACGACCAGCGAGTTCAAGGTAGTTTTTCCTAATTTTTTTAACTAGAAGCTTAGGAATCCCCTTTGACGCTTGCTTCGTACAAGGGCTACGTGGATATGGTCGAGTTTTTGCTCTCCATCGAAAAGGGCCCGGACCACGAGGAAGAACTTCACACGGCTCTCATGGAGTCTTGTATGGACGGTCATTCTCAGGTATGATTAGCACTTAAAAATGAAGGATTTAATTTATTTTATTAGGCTTTATTTTACAGCTCTTGGAATTGGACGATGCTTCTTTCAGGTTACCAAGCTCCTCCTCGACCACAAGGCTCCGGTCAACATGGCGTCTGAAGCGTTCGAAAGCCCGCTGACCCTCGCTTGCTGCGGTGGACATATGGAAATTGTAAATTTTATGTGTTGGGGTGTCTCGTCGCAAACTTAAAATTGACATTGCATAAAATAAATCGACTTATTCGTTATTATCGAAATTTCATCAGCCACGAATAAACTTTTCCTTCAGGTCGAGATGCTCGTGGAAGCCGGGGCTTCACTCGAAGAACCTAACGATGAGGGCTATACCCCATTGATGGAGGCAAGCCGCGAAGGTCACGCTGACATCGTCAAGTTCCTCATCGAAAACAAGGCCAACGTGAACGCGACGACCGAAGACCACGGCGAGACGGCGATGACGTTGGCGGCGTGCAGTGGCCATCGGTATACCATAATTCATAGTACGAGTCCTTGAATTTAGGGAGATTTTCGAGATCCTCGCGGATGCTGGTGGCGATGTGACGCTGGGAACGCAAACGCCGTTGATGGAGGCTAGCCAGGAAGGCCATTTCGATATTGCGAAGATGGTGGTTGATCGGGCCACGAAGGAGGTCTGCAGTATTTCTATATTCCAAAACCAGGATGTTTTAGCAAAAGGAGTCCATCGACTACAAGCAAAAGTTGAACACGTCGTTGGCGATAGCTGCCGAGAGCGGACATGTCGATGTTGTCGAGCTTTTGATGAAGCACGGCGCCGATCCGGTATTTTGCTAATGTCTGTGCTTACCCCATTGCTTTAGAACACCGAGGTCGATCACCGCACGGCGTTGATGAAGGCGTGCAAGCACGGATTTCGGGACGTTGCTGCATATCTTATGGAACACGGGGCTGACGTGAACCGCCTCTCCTCCAACAACGACATGACTGCCCTGATATTGGCGAGTGGCGGCGGCTTCAAGGAAATCGTCGAGCTGCTGCTGAAACACGGCGCCAATCCGGGCGTTATTGTCAAGGTGGTTCTTTTTCCTGCTGCCTTTTTTAGTAGTAGTTCTTTCGTATGAAAATTTAAGCAACCGAGCTTCTTTCAGGACGGCTACACCTGCATCATGGAAGCGGCCAAGAATGGGCATGCCGAGATACTGGAGATACTGCTCGACCACGAGTCTACCATTGTCAACGCCAGCTCTGCTACTGACGCCACGGGCAACCCACAATCACCACTTCCTCCCCTCCCTGGCAGCAACGTTGCCGGGCCCATTCGATCGACAGCTGTAAGTTTTGATAAACACTTTTTGGGACAGATAGGCGGAAATATTCGACCTAGGCGCGAATAAAATTTCAAGCCCTGCCATTAATGCGACACATTTAGCCCTGGGGGTATCTTAACTCTTATTTTCAGCGCCGAAAGAAGGTGCTGGTGACCAATCCCCTTGCCGCCCCACCCTCCCTTGTCAAAGCCAACCAGACAGCCGATGCGACCACCCGTCGTACCCTCTTGCAGCAGCACATGCTCAGCGGCATCAGCATCGATCCATTGGTGAGAACATTACCACCCTACAATTGATCCCAGGTTCAGAAGGAGGGCGAGACGGACCCGAACGACGCGTTCTTCGACCTGGAGAGTCTGCTCAGCAACGGTGAAAACCTGCCCGACATCTTGGCCAAATACTTTGCGAGTAAGGGCTTGTGAGAGTTGGGCGTTGGGCGCAGCTCGTGCTCTTTGGATTCATTGTGATTAGCTTTAGCAGTAGGCGAGATCTCCCGGAACCCGGACCTGCTCACCGACAGCTCGATGATAGACAAGGTGATTCAGCACTGGATGCCCTACCTCAGAAGCGTGCCGCCGGAAGCACATCATGGTGGAGGTCAGTTATTGCTAAGACATGATACCTATCGTAATATCGAACTTGACAAATTCAACATTGCCAAAATTTTGATTTTCTGATTCTCGAAGGTCCGACAGCTTCCAAAATGCAACATCCTACCTTCAATCCTAATTTTCAGCTCGCAACCCAACCACTCAGTACGGAATGCACATGCAAAGCACCACCACGACCACCCGGACCCCCGCCGACCCACCCCTCCCCTCCAACACGCCATCCAGCTACTTTCACACGGCCTACGAGAACCTGAAGCGCAGCTTCTCCGGCCTGCCGATTGGCCGAACACCGGTTAGTTTAACCTCCTATCGCCAATCACTTTTTCTAGGACCCCAAAACCGCCGAGCGTAAGGATTCCGTTGGCAAGAAGCCCGATGTCAAAGACGCCAAGAATCAGCCTGGACCCTCCAAGACAAAGCCACCTCCCACCGCCGACAAGCTTCCGGAGGGCGTTTCCGTCACCACGGCCGCGATGGTCGACAAAAGTGAGTGGTTGTCGGCTGTATCAATAAAGGATTATCGTTTTGCCGAACGCTGTCAAATTTAAACAGACCTTTTTAGGATTTTTCGTAAGGTTTTTGAAATTTTAGTAGGTCGAAATTTTCGATGTGAAAATCTCCGCGTAATCCCCCAAATAACATGCCAGAAATGTCGGCATTCCAAATTTTCAGGATTACGAAATTTCGGCATTCGCAAAATCCGCCTCTTTTTAGTGATGGCACGCCTCAGCCCGGCCCAAATTAAACGTGTCCACGAAACCGTCTTCCTTGGTGCCGCCCGCGACGAAAGTCTCCACCATTCTGACATCAAGACATTGCTCGTTAGCCACCCCGAATGCCGCCTGGCCATCAAGGGATACTGCGACAATTTGGATCTCATTCGGGTAGGTATCTCGTACTTTTTTGCGATGTAAATTTTTTTTGCAGGGCTACGACCAACGGCGAACCCAAAGCGAAAGCGACGTCACGGCGCCCAGCGAAGATTTCAACGCCATCGACGAGGCCGATGCCTCGCTTTTCGAGTCTGCCATCACCCAAATCAAGGAATACCTCCTCCGGTAGATTACCGTTCACTTGCGGATTCATTAGTTTAGCTTCCGTAAAATCGACAAAGCGGCAAAGGCGGCGGCGGCTCGAGAAGCGTCAAATGGCGGCAAGATGGGCGTGGACATGATGACCGAGTCGAACCAGGACACTGCCCTTTCCTTCGCCTGTCAGCACGGCTCGGTCGAGACTGTGTTGGCTTTGCTCAAGAGGGGCGCCAACCTCGAACATCGCGACAAAAAGGTAAATTTAAAATAACAGTTTTTCATTACTTCTTTTAGGGCTTCACCCCTCTCATCATGGCTGCGTCGCACGGACATGCGCTTTTGTGTGACGAACTGCTGAATGCTGGTGCTGAACTCGAAGCGCAGAGCGAACGGACCAAGGACACTGCCCTGTCGCTGGCCTGTTCAAGCGGCCGCAAGGAGACTGTCGACTTCTTGTTGCGAAAAGGCGCCGATAAAGAACACCGAAACGTCAGTGACTACACCCCGCTATCCCTCGCTGCCAGCGGTGGATATGTGGATATCGTGACGACGCTGCTCGATGCTGGCGCGGAGATCAACTCGAGGACAGGGAGCAAGCTCGGCATTTCTCCGCTCATGCTGGCTGCGATGAACGGCCACAGCGAAGCCACCAAAGTGTTGCTCGAACGCGGATCCGACATTAACGCCCAGATCGAGACAAACCGAAACACCGCGCTGACCCTCGCCTGTTTCCAGGGAAGGACTGAGGTTGTCCGTCTCCTCTTGCAGTTCAACGCCAACGTCGAGCATCGCGCCAAAACTGGCCTCACACCCCTGATGGAGGCTGCCAATGGTGGCTACACAGAAGTGGGCGAATTGCTGCTGGAGGACGGTGCTGATCCGAACACTGGGCCCGTGCCATCTTCTCGAGACACCGCTCTGACGATTGCTGCCGACAAGGGCCACGACAAGTTCGTCGAAATGCTCGTGATGCGCAACGCCCAAATTGATGCGCGGAACAAGAAGGGATGTACGGCTCTGTGGCTGGCCTGCAACAGTGGACACACAGAGACCGTCAAAATACTCGTCGAACACGGCGCCGATGTCGAAATTCCGGACAACCGGAAGAGCACCCCCTTGATGGTGGCTTTCCGCAAAGGGCATTCGCCGGTGGTCAAGTACATGGTCTGTCATGTCACCCAGTTCCCATCTGATCAGGATCTGGATCGATACCTCACAACCATCGTCGGCGACAAGGAGTTGCACCCGAAATGCAACGAGTGCCGTCAAGAGATCCTCGCCGCCAAGGAAAAGCAGGCCAAAGAAGCCGCTAAGGCCGCTGAGGCCCTGCTGCAGATGCTCGAGGAGGAGGAGGAACAGATTCGCAGCAAAAAACAGGCCAAGCAACGCAAGAATGAGAAAAAGAAGGCCAAGAAGCAGGCGGCAACCAAAAAGCCTGAGGAGAAAGCTGGTGAATCGGATGTTGAGAAGGAGGAGGAAAAAACCGAGGAGCTGAAGGCCGAGCCCGAGCCCGAGCCTGATGATCCGACACCCAGCCTTGAACGTGCGTCTTCCCCACAAGAAGTCATCGAAGAACGGGTACCTGTCCTCCCTACAACGACCACCTTGGAGTCTGCATCCCCTCCGTCTTCCGGCAGCGATCAAGCTACGGGTGAATTTTAATTACGCTTGACCTCGCGCGTCACAGATATTTTTCTGGGGACCATGACAGTTGCGCAACGACGTTTGAGCAACTCGGGGAAAACGACATTTGAGCAACAATGATTTCTTAGTAAACGCGGGAAAACGGGGTTGCTCAAACGTCGTTTTTGCCCCAGTTGCGTAACTGGCATGGTCCCTTTTTCTGCCATCTTTCACCATCTTTTTTGTTCTCCGTAATTTTTATAATCTTGAATTTTCAGCAGGCGGCGCGCAATCCGAGAAGCAGCGCAATAAGAGATCGGATAAGAAGGAGTCGCAACGTGACCGCCGTCGTCAGGAGAGTGGCAAACACCCGCTCACCACAATCGTGCCTGCAACAGCCACTATGCCAAGTCAGAAGAGCCCACTGGGATTGACGGCTGCTCAGAATGAGGAATGGGTGAAGGCGAATGCTAAGAAGACCAAGGTAAGATCTATTTCCAATCTGGGACCAACTAGGTAGTCAATTTTCGACATTTAAAAAAGTTCTATTCAGTAGAACGTCGAAAATGTACTTGAAGCCGTTTTATAGGCAGAACAATCCTATTTAAAACTATGTCATTGTTATAAAGATACTTTCCGTAACATAAACCTTTTTTCTAGGGTCGACTTGCCGCGGGAATCACGGCAAAGCAGGCTGGCGGGCCACTAGACCGCCCCGATTTCTACCAAGACGAAGCGGGGATCTACTCGGGATGGAAAGACGTTGAAGTGGTATGCGATTTCCTGTTTCCACACTTTTGCTGATTTAGACACGCCGCAAAGCCACCGTGATGACGCTCTCCTCAAACGCGATCGCGCGCGTCATCGGCCGCGGTGGCGCTAACATCAACGCCATCCGCGAAGCCACGCAAGCGTCCATCGAGGTGGAGAAGCAGAACACGAAGCGCGAGCAGACCGAACGCCAAATCACCATCCGCGGCACGGCCGATACTGTCAGGTATGGGCCTTTTTTGGGGAATGTTGTCCTGAATTTCTCCGGCCGCATGCCACCGCTGAAAGTTATCGCGCAACGTAGTGGCCAGGGAACGTTCGTGCAACTCACCCGCGGCTTTGAAAGAGTGCAATTTGGGACTTCTTCTCCCCGACTGGGCATTAGAGAGCCGGCCAGCGCGAAAAGGGGGCAAAGAAGAAGCAGAAGACGTTCCTTCCGCACGAAAAGCAGGCTGCTCTCTGCCCGTCGTTCTATGCGCGTTCCCATCGATTCTCCACTTAGAGTCAGTCACCCGCTCTCATCTTTATCCAAAAATTTTTTGCGAGACTGGGTTTAATTTTTATTAGCTGGCATTGTTAAAGATTATGGCTTATTTTTCGAGAAGCAGAATTTTAAGACTATCTATATTTAACCTTTAGAAATGCGATTCAAATGATCAACGGACTGGTGATCGACCAGGAATCATCAGTCGGCGACATCATCCGCCAGGTCATGCGCAGCGGCTCGGTCTCCACCGGATCGGCCGATTCCTCCGAGGGCAACAGGTCGCAGGCCGACTTCAAGGTGATTGTCTAGAAATGAATGCTCACCACTCGTTTTTAGAAGAGCCCCAGCCTCGGCCGCAAGCACCACGACCCTGCCACGGCCACAGCGCCCACCACCAACATTTGGCAGCAACGAATGGCAGCGGCGATGGCTAAAGGTAGGGGTTTCGGTTCTCGTTCGTTAGCGGCAGGATTTTGTCGATGGTTCTTTTTCCTCACGCTATTTAGTTTGGATTATTTTAGCTATATTCAAACCCCTTTTTTGATGATCAGTTGTAATGCGTTCACAGAGTAAAAAAAATGCATTTTCTGAGGCTCCTTCAAAAACTCGATCTTTAGAAGCGGAAGCGGCTGCCCACTCCACATCACCCACCCTCGAGCACCGGCGGCAGATGCTTCATTCGGCGAAGGCGCAAGGACCGGCTTCAAGACCGTCGGCCATGTCACGCTTCCACGGCGAACACTTGGAGGAATCTTGCGGCAGCTCTTCATTGACCACACCCTCCCCTCCAGTTTCACCGCCTGTCGAGACGCCAGGTATGTCAAGCACTTTAAGATTTGAGTTTGGGAGCGAACTTTCCGCGTATGTAACGCAAGCTGAAACAATTTCATTTATCTTAGCCGAGAAACCAGCTCCACAACCTGTCGTCACCGCCATTGCGCGACCTGTGCGACAGGAGCCAGCTGCCGTTCCTTCAGCCGATCTTCCAGCCACTACCGTGCCTGAGCGTCAAGAAATTCCCAACGTGTCTGCCAACATCTTCTCGACCTCGGTCGCGCCCACTTCCCAGCCAGAAGGCGTCAAGTCGCACCACCTGCCGGCCCTCGGGGAATTGCCAATGATCGGTGAGAAGAGTTTTTTATTGTTTTTAGCCTTTGGCGATAGCTAAGACGTGATAAAGCATTTTGAATAAAACTTACATTTTTGATGATTTTCGAACATTTTTCGACCAAAAGTCTGCTAAATTTAGGCCCCTTGAAAGCGCTGAAATTTTTTATATAATGGCACTTTTCAGATAACGCTCCGGTCTCTCCCGGCTCATTCGACTATTTGACGCAATTCGACAAGGTCACCCTGCCCGAGCTCAACTTGGCCGCCAGCTTTGCCAACTTCACAACCCCAACGTCGTCTGCGCTGGAGCCCATGAACCCCGCCACGTCGTTCCTCCCAGGCCCCAGTCGGCCCCGTGAAGAACCCAGCAACGGCGGCGCCACGGCATTTCCGGGGCTCTCGATTTCCAACATCTGGGGCAGCCTGCCCGGTATCGGCGAACACTGGGGCAACAAGCCGGTGAACAACGGATTCGGGGCTATGAAGTATCCAGCCGAGGTCCGGAATTTTTCCTTTGCTTTATAATAGTTATTTTTGCAGAGCCACATCCAAGACTGGGGCGCGGCGGCCGCCGTCGACCCACAGCTCGCCTTCACGCAGCAAAAGAACCAGGCGCCAAGCCAGTCGAGCTCGCTCGCTGAAACTTCCACCACGGCTTCCAAGACTTTTTCGACGCCCAGCGCTTCGAATGGATCGCTGCTGAATCGATCGCGGGAGCCGGCCTTGCCTTCGGGCTCGAATGGATGGACTGTGCCGGCGAAGGTATCCTTTCGGGTGTCTTTTTTTTGGAGAAAAAAACCTCCCAAAAATTATGCTAACTTCCGAAAGTTCACTTTTTTTTGTCAGAATTGTACAAAATAGCGGTTTTTATGGTATTGGATAGATTTTTTTTCTCTTTCTTTTTCTGCATAAGTATCGACTAAAAACTATAAAAATCATTTATTTTATTGCATTGAAGGTTTGGCTGAATACGAGAGTGCCGCCACCAACGACCGTACCAATCCCCTTTTTTCAGCCAACACCATCAATGCCGCAGCAACAGCAACAACCCACCACGAGCAGCTTCGCGCGCCCCGGCCCCTCGGCGACGAACAGCAACAACGTTATCGGCAACCTAGCTGCATCACTGGCCCAGGCGCGCACCTTCCAGCCGGCTGCCCAGCCTGCCCGCGAGGCCCGCCCGCAGCCCCCGATGCCCGAACAATTCTATTCGGTTTGTTCTCGCTTCATCATTGCAATTCCCACCCTTTAGTTGGCTGCCCAGATCGCCGCGGCCCAGAAGCCGCCCGTCCGCCCCGCCGAACGCCCCCAGCCTCCCGTGGTGCCCAGCTACAATCAGCAAACTGCTGTCAACAAGGCTGCGCCCAAACACTTCAACACCTATCAGGTATTTTGTGCTGTTTTTGTGGATCACTTTTTTCTAGGCTTCCCAGCAGGAGTTCGACCCGCTGACCCATGTGCTGCCCACCTACACGAGCACACATCACCAGCAGACCATTGTCAACGGCGCCGATTTCCAGGTGCGTCGAAAATTTGGCTTTACTGCATCTTGGATCGATATTTCGATGTAGCGGATGTCGGCTCGCTGAAAATTTTTTACGTTACGATTTTCGGCATAGCATTAGTAGTTCTTCGCCAAGTACAGCTTTTGCCAGTTGGCTGCTTATCCAGCTTTTTTAGGGCAATCGTCACCCAAGGCCCACCGGCTACGGCGGCTACCCGGGTGCTCCACCAGGCTTCGGCCCCGGCAGACCTGAAAACGGCCCAACGAGTCAACAAATGCGCGGCTACGGTTATCCGCAACCGCCCGCCTCCAACAACCCCCCGATGCCGTCGTCGCAGATGCATCCGGTGTATTCGATTTACAATGGGTGAGTTTTCTAAATTTTTTTGACTGCAAAGTGGCTTCTGGGCTCTGGTTTATCAATTTTGAACGTTTTTTTCAGCCCATCGGCACCATCGGGCCCGACGTGGAACAAGCCTCCGGCGTCCACCCCGCAGCCGCCGCCCGGCTCGCCGTGGGGCGGATGGAACTGATCCATTTCAACGTTCAAGTTCGACACGTTCAACCCCCCGGTCGTCTTTCGTTTCACCCCATCGTCTCCGAACACCCACACATACACCGTTGTACAACATTATGGGTAACCGAATCGCCTTATCTATTTCCTCCTTTCCGCCACCCGAAATTATCCCCTTGACTTTGCCGCTTTTTTTGATGTGTGTCCTGTTGCCATTTACTGTTGTCGTTTGTTTGCTGAGGTGCGTTGTGTCGTGTCTTCCACATCCGAGTATATATCCCGAGACCCTGATCTACCGCTTGCATCAACTTTCATGCGTGTGCCCCCCATATCTTTGTATTCTCCACTAACACGCGATACTTTTTGTGTCGTGTTGTCATCACACCTCCTCCCCGGGGTTCGCCCATGATTTTCTATATACTTGTGGTTTTTGACACAGATCTGGCTTTGGAAGTGGGGAGCTGAGAGAGCTTCGTTGCGAACACCCCGATCATCCGTCCCGAAGCCAGAATGTGTCGTCCTCCATTCTTCCTCGATTTCGCTCAACCTTGTGATATGACCATTCTCACGTGGCCGACGGTGATGATCTTTGTTATGCTTTCCGCTCTTCCGCCTCCCCCAGGGTTGCATCGGCCTTTCCCTCCAATGAGCAAGCAGCCTTTCTCGTCTCCCTAGTTCACGGACGGCTCCTTCCTTTCCCAGGCCTTTAGCACTGCCCCACCAACACTTCCGAATCCGCCCCTCAACGTTCTTCCACACTACTCAATTCCACAGCGTGTACAAACGGTCATTTATGCCCCCAAGCCACATCAATCCCTCCCCGCCCCCCGTCCCTTATCCACCTCCCCTACATGGCCTCAGATTTCGTTGTACCCTGGTTCTTTTTAAATGTTCTCCGGTCTTTTCGCCCTCCTCCTTCCCCCTACCCTACCTGCCCCTTATTCCCATATTCATTCCCCGGCCACTTTGATCTTATTTGGCCCTTCCGATTTAGTCAGAGTTCATGTCATCGTTTCTTCCCTGGTTCCCCATGTTGCGAACGTTGAGCGCGCTGCATGCGCTCGCAATATATTTATTTTCATAATATAAAGATTTTATCCGTTGCGCGTTGTACGCTACACTCGAATATGCTCGGTACGATGCAATCACGTATTTACCGGATTTTATCGTAGACACAATAGGATCTGGCAGGAAAACTGAGGTTTATTGTTTTCAGATGCTCAGTTCGGTGGTTCGTGGCTTGGCCCGGGTCCGGCCTGGGTCCTCCTCCTCAATTCTAACATCAATCAGTAGGCATCTTGCGAATTCAAGGATTATCTCCGTGTTTAGCTCGACGCAACATGTATATCCAAGTCCAGGACACGCCCAACCCGCTGACACTGAAATTCCTACCCGGCCAAACATTAATAAAGTGAGTTGCTTTGTTTTACCAGAAATCCCGCTTTAGTGAAGAGAATCGCACCTACGAATTTGCAAATGTTTCCGCGGCAAAGGCCAGCCCTTTGGCGTTACAATTGTTCCGGTAAGATTTACTAGAGCTAATATTTATTTGTTTTTAGAATCGATGGTGTCAAATCCGTGTTCTTTGGGCAAGATTTTGTCACGATCACAAAGGTGCGTACTTTTTATCGTAGAAAAGTAACTGGAGAAGTTTTTCTATCTCTTTTAGCCGCTAGATTTACGCGTTTTACCTGAGTCATTTAGAAAAACGAAGAAACCGAATGGGGCCTGATGCGTCCACACATTTTTGCCACCATTGCCGACTACATCCAGAGCGGGAAGCCGTTGATTACGGAAGGACAAGTGCCCGAGTATTCCGATACAGGTTAGAAGACTTGATGATGTCAAAATGGTATTTTGCAGCAATTCTCGACACTGACGACGACACAGTGGCAATGATCAAAGAGCTCCTCGAGTCTCGAGTCCGCCCAATGGTGCAGGAGGTATTTTATGCGCGCTTTTTAGAAAAAAAAAATGGTATTTTAGGACGGCGGTGACATTACGTACGTCGGCTTTGACGATGGAGTGGTGAAGCTTAAACTCAAGGTATTTATAAAGATCGTGTGCATAAACTTTTTGCAGGGATCCTGTACCGGTTGCCCATCATCTTCCGTGACGTTGAAGAACGGGATCCAGAACATGTTGCAATTCTACGTGCCGGAAGTCAAGGTATTTTGTAAAATTCTGATTTTTATCGAAATTGACATTTAGGATGTGATCGAGGTGAAGGACGCCGAAGACGCCATCATCGAGGACCAGCTGAAGCGCATCGAGAAGAAGCTGGGCATCGAATGAGGGGGCCCTGGGCAATGTGTTGTGTACAGTGTAAACTCGTTTTCTCATTTCCGTTTTCATTAGTGCTGGTAGTCGTCGTTAGTTAGAATAATAAATTTTTTTGATTGTAAGGTTTACATCCCGAGAAAAAGGACAGTGCATTGGGGTATTTAGAGGTTCGGGTTGCCTAACGGAATCTCGATTTTCTAGATCTTGCATTTTCAGAATCGCAAATGTCGAGATTCGGAAAATTCTAGATCCCTATTCTCCGTATTTTGATTACCGAAGCAGCTACAGCCTACCGAAGCACGGAAAACCCTGAAACTTACCCCCACAAAACTGTCGCACCAAATTTGTCACCCCACTCCGCCCGGCGCCCCGCAAATAACTGAGCTTTTCGGGGGATAGTTGTGGCTCCCCCTCCTCGCACCGGTAGAGGCATATGGAAAGGGGTACGGGAGGTGGGTGGTGGTGCGTTTGAATGGGTGGAAATTGCTCCCTCCGGGCGCCGAGCCAATTGCCCGGCTCGTCCAACTGGACACATCGAAAAAGACCGTCCCCCCCTTCTAGTCACAGCATAACCAGATCCACAACCAACCGCCCCCACATTGGCCGGGATGAGCATAGGCCGAGCCGCTCCGGAAACTAACTCGCTGGCTGCTCGCCCGCGAAATTGCCCTGATTTTAGGGCATTTTTGTTTTTGCTTTCATGCTCTCGGTTTCTCTTTTCCGACTTTTCCTTTAGTACGGAGTTCTGGTTTTCACGCTTTCGGGGGCTTTTAGTTCTTCAAGCTGTAGGAAATTCGACGTGCTATCGTTTAAAGATACTATTTTTGTAGTGGTTTGTTTCGTACATTTTTTATTTCCTAAATTCTGGTTAACCTTAATTGGAGTGTGGGGTGGGCGTGCGTTTTTTGAAAGTTTTTGCGCCTCGTGGATTCTGTTGAGGGTCGATTAACTCAAAAAATGCCTAATTGTCGCTTAACTCAAAAATACACAATGTTTTTGACTTTATCTTTTTGGCCACTCTTTTAGACCTACAAGGACTAGCGTAGATTCCTCCAATTAACCGATTTTTCATTTATCGCCTCGTTAAGCTGGGCCTAGTAGTTCTACCGAAGCGGACGTTCTTAGCGTAGGATCGTCGAAAAATCGAAATTGCCGCTAAAAACGGATAATATGAATGAGAAATACGAACGTCGCTTTTACCCTACAAAAATACCACTCATCGAAAGCCTTGCCCGGCAATTATCGGAATTTCCGATGCTTCTCATGCCGTAGAAGCACTTGAACTCTCCCCCCTTTTGCCAGCTTCTCCCTGCCCTCCTTCACGAACGTCAATAGTATTGTGGTGGTTGTCTGCCTTTTTCGGAGGGCCTCTGCAATAAGGGCGAGTGAGTGAGTGAGGGCTGGTCCCCCCGGGCTACCGTACCCGAGCGATCTCGGGGGCAGCCAACCTCTCTGCCTCCTCCTCCTCCCCCTCGATGGCATTCTGCCGCCCGAAACGCTCCAATGACTACGGATCGGTGCCGCACGCCCACAAATCTAGTCCATATCTGCTTTCCATTTCGACGCCCCGCGCTGACAACCTAACTTTCGATTCCGAAATCCAGTTGTATTGGGGGCCCGAGCCGCCGGGGGTGACGAGCTTGTGGAAACAGTCTATTCAACGAGTACCCCGGCTTTTACTTGTAGTCCTCGCGTAGTCGCGCGTCGTAGTCTGCTTCAGATTTTCGAAGCTTTAAAGGCACCTGGAAGCTCTGGAATATCTATATCCAAATATCTAGCTATTAATTTTTCCCGGTTTTCCGATATGGGCCACCAAGCTCATTCTAACAATTCTTGCCAAAAATCTCCGAAGACATTGGTCCCAAATATCGGCTTTAAAGGAGCTTGCAAGCGCCGTAACCGGCATCTCAAGAACTAGTCTTTTTTTCAGTTTCAATTTTTCACATTTTTGACCAGAAAATTAGCCCTAAACATTGATGATTTTCACTTCATAGAAGTCTTAAACAGTTCTTTCTGGTGTCCTCCTGCGTTCTTTTCCCGGTCTCCTTTCCCCTTGAATTCAGATTCCTCAACAATCTTTGCAAGCCTATCCTAGAATTTTTGGGAACGAAGTCAGCCCTCCGCAGTTGTCAAATTTTCATCTTTCTGACGTCTGTCGAGCTTCTTTTTACACCCCATAGCGTATTTGCTCATCTAAAAACTTTTCCTCCAGGCCCGACCCTCCTGAAAACCCGCAAAAATGCGACGACGCCGCGGCGTCCCGTTTCGTGCCGGCGAGCTGCTGCCGTTTTTCCTTGTAGCCCTCGTCGGGCTAGCCGGCACATGCGCACCGCCCGGCTTTGTCCAGAGCAACGATCCAGGTTTGTCTCCAAAAGATTCAGGTACCCAACCCCTATTTTTAGCTTTTGTAAACGCACGATGTTCCGATTTGATCCTCTATCCAGTATCTGCCGTTGACCAAAGCGATCAATACCGGTGAGTTTTTATGCAAATCAAGAATAACGCCGAATTTTGCTAAAATTACGCTTAATTTTATTTCTATTTTAGCTTTGACTATTCGGACGTGAGCTTCGGCAACACGCACGCGCAGGGCGCGACGGTGGCCATCACGTGCACGACGGGAGGGCAAACGGCGACGGTAGAAGGATATGATCAGGTTGGTGACCACAACTTGTTCGTATCTGGCCAATTTTTATATGTTTCCAACATCCGTCGGAGTATCGTTGAAAGTAGCATTTCGTACAGCTGGCCCGGGGGCCTTGCCCTCTAAAGAACCCATTCTGGTCGACGATCTCCATGGAGGCGCGCCAACAACATTGCATTTGTTCGCCCTAAAATAGGGGGGGGCGCGCAACGAAAAAAAACGTACTAGGCGGCCGGGTGCAGAACAAAACGGTTCGAGAAACTTAGAAATTAAAGCTTAAAAACTATAAAAAGAATTCAATATCGATGGACTAAAATCGCAACATTCTCGCAAGTCGTAAGCCTTTTGGAAAACTGGGCACCCATCTGAAAAAAAAACGTGATAGCTAGAATTTTTTTGTTGACAAAATAAATTATGACAAAAATTTTACTCTAATAAATCTCGAAATACAAACTTTTCCTATAAACACAATTTATATTTCAATTTTATAGCAACGAGCCTCGATCTCTGCGGCGCCATCCCTGCTCGCCACCTGCACAAACGTCGGCGGCTCGCAGTACACGTGGACAATCCTCGGCCGCATCCTCCAGTTCGTCGATTGTCGATTCTAAAATACGACCCGAAACTCCCCAAAAATCATCTGTACGTTCAAATTTATCTAAAACCATCGGAAACCCTAAAAAAGCTTCGTTTAAAAATGTCCTCGAAAACGCAAGCAGTATCCACACTTCCTGCTCCTCCTTTCAAACTCGAAAATGGCTTCAAACACCTATTAATGCCTTCCAATTTGCCTACAACCAATACAACCTCGCCGCAACCCTGCCCTAGTCCTTTTTCATCCCTAAAACCCCACCCGAACCCCGTCGTCTTTCAAATTCCCCCTACTAAATCTCAACCCACGAATCGATCTGTGTCGTGCAATTAACGAGCTTTTCCCGTTTTCCGTTCGTCCATAAATTATTTAACGCCACAAACGGGGGGAGGAGAGTGCACGAAAATTGCAGGCAACCGGAATAAATATGAAAAAACAAGCACACAACATTATTTTTGTCTTTGGTTTGTTTGCTCAAGCCTCTTGTGGGATCAGATAGGTGATGTCGTGCCGTTTCACCTCGGAGGCCTAAATATTGTTTTTTTCTCTGAGGTATCGCGTTGACTTACCCTCGCCAATTCTTCGTCATCTTCAGCGCCATCGCCTTGTCCGCCTTCTACGGCGGCTAGAAATTATGTAAGTGAATTAGAAGGATTTATTTTTGAAATTCCTAAATTTAATAATGGTGAGATTTTTGTCGTCAATTTAAGAATTCCTTCTCATAATAAACTTCGATTTCTTTCTCATGATAAATTTCGATTTCTTAGCAAATAACCTAGCGTTAGTTATGCTTTCAGAGTTGGTAAATCTCGAAATAATGCCATTTTAAACTTACCAGACTCGGAATCTTCCTCTTCGGGGCTTTCCGTAACCGCCTCTTCAGTGGCCGTTTCCTGCAAAAAAAATTGAGCATCGAACATAAAGGGTGAACAAACCTCTGAGCTATCTTCCTTGGCTTCGGTAGTGGCTTCAGTAACAGCTTCTGTCGTCGTGGCTTCGGTAGTGGTTTCAGTGGCAGCTTCTGTAGTCGTGGCTTCGGTGGTGGCTTCTTCGGTCGTCTCCACCGCCACAATCGTCTTTGGCGTCTTCGTGTAAGTTGTCGGCAGATCGAACACCTCGATGATGCGCCCCGGGGCTTTTGGCCTGGATTTGCTTCGTTAAAAAACAATGTGAATAAAGTCATAACTAAAGCTGCAAAAATTACTTTGCTGTCGAATCGGCAACTGGCTTCTTTGCCACTGTCGTTTCCGCTTCTTTAACTTCCGCTGTAGTGGTCGTAGCGGAGGTGATGGCCTCGGTTGTTTTTGGTGCCTCAGTTTCAACAGTTGGTGGTGCCGTCGTGGTTTCAGCGGTGGTTTCCTTGATGTCTGGTCAGTACTTAGACGGCCTCTCACCTTTGCTTCAGCCTCTACAGTGACAGGCTTAGTCACTTCCGGGGCGCCGGTGGTTAGAAGGGTAGCGAGCGTCACCTGCAACTCCTTATCCACCTTCTTCTGAGCCTCCTTCAACGCAGCAGCTGCTTGCGACTCCTGGGCAGCGAACGTGTCTTCCTCGACGAGATCGTAGAGGTCCTAAAAACCATTTTGAGCGGCGACGATTTTGATACCTTGATAAGCATCACGCGTGGCGTCAACTTCTGTCGAATCAGAGCCATTTCGACGAACACCGGGATGTAAACGTCATCGTGGCGAGTGGAGTTGCGGCCTGGAAACGAATTATAAGATGCAATTATCCCTTTCACTTACTAACAAACATTCGTATGTACTTGAAGCGCAAATCCTCCAAGAAGTTCATCACTTCCTCCTCCAAATTCTCGGCGATGGGCTGATTGTTCTGAAAAAAATGTTGGGATGTCGAGGCTGGCCTACCTTTGCTCGGTACTCCTTGGCGTACGGGATGATGGAATTGTGAAACTTCTCCTTGACGTCGTCAATATTGCGGTACGTAATTTCCTAAAATCAATCCGAGACCACCCGAAGCCCAACCCTCCAATGGTGTTTCACGACTTTGTCGATCTCATATCGCGTGTCCCTCACTTTTTCAGTTCGAAACTCGGCGTCATCATCGTAGTTCGCGGCAAACTAAAATAAACTAGATGGCACCTTCCGGGTTTCCCCCACGTAGTATGGTGCCATCTCAGAGGCGAACTCCACAATGTGCTCGGAAATATTCTTGTGCGGCTCCCATTCTTCTACGAAAGTCTCGCCTACATCCCGAATGTTAGGCTCCAAACAGTCCTCACCCAAGACAATATCCTTGTAAACTTTGATACAACCAACGGTAGAATAAAGGAATAGGGTCAACAACAACCTCATTGCGCTTGGTAGAGTAGGGTCGAAGGAGATGCCAAGGTTCGGGAGCACGCCAACTCATCAGCAGGCGGACGGCAACGCGGAACGGAACTCGCAGAAAAAGCCGGGGGCGAAGGGCAACGAAAGCATCAGAGCCGAATCAGTGCTATGAAGACTGCCGAGTGAAACCGAACTTCAAAAGAAGCGAATGTGTCCCCTTTACCATGCGCTTACACAATCCGGTGCTTTTAACGATGTTTTTTAACAAAATGTAATTTTTATCAATCTAATTGATGCCATCTGGCATATGCTCAAACAAAACAACATAACAATAAAGGTTTATGACAGGCGGTAACAAAGAGATCGAGTCGGTTTACTTAATTTTGTGAGTCGCTCGTGCAATCGCGTGAGATGTGGCCGACTTCTTGGCACTTGTAGCATTTCTTGTCCTGCACGCTTCCGTTCTCCTGGCATTCGCGAGAGATGTGACCAGGCTAAAAGCAAAATAATTGATGGAAAACACTAAGAATTATTACCTTTCCGCAGTTGTAGCACCTAGGTCCGCCTCCTCCTCCGCGTCCACCGCCGTAGCTGCCACCACCGCGGCTTCCATCTCCAGCCTGAGTGCACTCGCGAGCGAAGTGGCCAGACTGTCCGCATTGGTAGCATTCGCGACCGCCGCCGCCGCCACCACGTCCACCGTATCCGCCGCCGCGGCCGCCACCATCTCCCTTCGTGCATTCGCGAGCAAAGTGGCCAGATTCACCACATTGGTAGCACGAACCTAGAAAGTCACGATGAATAAATCAACAATACTAAAAGGCCAAAACCCATCCAGTGCAAACCGCCCAGGATTTACCTTTTGGCCTACACTCCCCCAACCATTAGTGAATATGGCTAATAACCTCCGCCGCCGCCACCGCGCCGGGGGCCGTCATCCCCATTCGAATTCGGGCATTCGCGAGCAAAATGGCCCGGCTCGTTGCACTTGTAGCACGCTCGCTCCGACATGCCTGGAAAAAGAAAATGTAGGTGGTCGGGGGTCAGGGAACGGAGAATGGAAATGAGAATGACTGTCGGTAACTGAAATAGAAAGGCGCAATTTGATTAGTATAGTTGCCGGAAAGCTTGAAAAGAAAGAAAGTTGCGAAAGTTATGAGAGCAACGCGATCCAGAAAAGCACGTGGGATGGTTGAAATAAAATCAGCTGCGTGAAATTTGGGGCCGGCACCCGCCCTGAATATCAGGCCGTGGCGGGAGTTCGAATCGGGGACCTACGGTAGTAGTTAGTAGTCTGGCGGAAAAGTATTGTCAGCCTCTCGCCGGCGGCTTCAAAACTGAAAAGTCTCTTTTATCAAACTTTCTCAAGTTTTTTTGTTATAAACTGTCGAAAATTATCATTTTATTTTTAGAAGATGGATACGATGCGCGAGGATCTTGTCAAGGCCGTCCCGGCCCTTGGGCATTACCCCCAAGAACCGATCAGCACTGGTGTAAGTTTCTTTTTTTATTTTAGACAATTAGAAAATGTGTATCGCTTCGAACAGTATCTTTTCCCGAATTAGGCTATTCATTAATGGTGATTGAGGGCGTCACGCCATCGTTTATCGTGAAAATAGGCCATATTTGGTTCCAAATACGGATACTTTCGGACATTACTATATCGCGTGAAACGGCGAGATTTGCTAGGCAACCAGTTTTTTTATTAGATTCTGCTCTGCTTTACGTATACTTGTTTTTTTTAGACCACTCTCATCGCCATGGAATACGAGGGCGGCGTTGTCGTGGGCACGGATTCACGTACTTCCGCAGGGTAAATTTCATTTTAATTTTTCATTGTTTTTTTAGCTCTTTCATCTCGTCGCGCGTCACCAACAAAATCACCCCTGTGACTGATCACTTGGTTGTCTGCCGGTAAGCTAAACATTTCCAAGCTCCAAACATTCTTTTTGTTTAGTTCTGGAAATGCGGCCGATACGCAGACGATTGCCGATATCGTCAAGTATCACCTGGAAGTCTATAGGTATTACGGCACTTCTTCGCTTGATTTATTAACTGTTTAGCATGCTGGAGAACGACAAGATCTCCATCTACCGTGCCACGCAGATCTTCCGTCAGTTCCTGTACAGCTACCGCGACCAGTTGAGCGCATCGGTGTTGGTGGCTGGTTGGGATGAGAAGCTCGGAGGCCAGGTATATTTGCAATGTGGACGTTTTTGCAATGTAGCTTGGGCTTTTGACTTCCGTGTATGATACGCTTTTTCCAGCTCTATGCTTTGCCCATTGGCGGCTTCGTCACACGTCAAAAGTCCACAGCTTCTGGATCCGGGTCAACATTTGTCAGCGGATACCTTGACCGGTAATTGCATTTTTTTCGTGTGGATCAACCTATGCTTCTAGCATGTGGAAGCCGAACATGACCAAGGAGGAGTGCATCAAAGTGGTGAAGGAGGCTGTCGGACTCGCCACGTTCCGTGATGGGTACGTGCAAAGTTTCGCCTGATTTTATTGGGATTTCAGTTCTTCCGGTGGTGTCATTCGTATTGGTGTTGTCGACAAGGACGGGACCAACATCACGTTGTATCGCCCGGACGGAGCCGATTTCCCGAAGGTAGCCTTGCAACAAATTTTCATAAATTATCATTTTAGATCCGTCCCCCGGCCGCCTATCCCAGCTGGCCCGCTCACGTCGAGGCCAAGAACAATGCATAAAACAATTGTCACTTTTGCAACCGGCTCGCGTGTTATTTATTAAAATGAGCAGAAATTGATTTCCTATCTCCATTTTTACGGTGAATTTGACGTGTTTTCGTGATAAATCTCTTTAATTGTATCTTCTGGGGGAAGCGCTTTGTGCCAGGTCCGGGCTCAGCAGAAGATGGGAGGCTATTTGCCGTTTGCCAGATTGGGTCGTCATGACAACGGGCCTTGGAAAGTCGGCCGTCGGCGCAAAATGTCAATGCCGGGCAACCTAATTTCAGTTTTACGATTAATTAAGTGGGTTTCAACGTGTCGCTGTTGGATAACTTCAGAACGCGCATACAGATTCTCTTACTAGGCTGCTACGACAGATTTACCCTGATTTTAAGGCGCCACTAGTTAGCTGCGGCCTGGCATGCCTGCATGGATGTGCTGTTCATCGATGAAGGGAGCAAGGAACAACCGCGAGGACGCCTACAAGGTGATCTATAGGCTCTCTACCCGCAAAACAAAGGCTTTTAGATAGCAGCTGACGAGCCGAGTCCCGGGGATCAAGCAAGTACTACACCTACCGTTCAAAAGTACACTTGGTAAGCGCACAGCGTCAAAGACGCCGCTAGATAGCAATGAGGCCTGGACCCCATGCGATAAAATCCAGGAGAAGACATCACCTAGGAGAAGATGCAGCGTTTTCGAATCCGATAAACATGCGCCCGCCGCTGAACTGGTTTCCAAATAGCACGTTTAAAATTCTCAGCCTAAAAAGGCTGATTGCTGACGTAGGGGGGAGCGTCTCCGTGCCGCGGGAGATAAATGAGGGCCCAATTTGGGCCCTTTCCGTTTCTATTTCGATCGTCAGGGGAATATTTCATGACTATTTGGGTCGCCGTTTCCCGGGTAGCCGAAAGCTTGAAAAGACTTGCCGTGTCACGTATCCTTGAGACCCAGACTGGCTGTAATGACCTGGGATTCGTGGTAAGTCCGTAGTGGCAAATAGCTCTTTTTATGGTTTTATTAGCGGCCAATTTTTGTGACGTCTGATTATTATAAAAAGCGGTAAAATCTAGATTTTGCGGTTCGTTATCACCCAAAATGATTTAGGGAAAAGCGAGCCGAAATCGATTTGTCAAAGTACAAAGTGGCCCAGGTCGACGGGGCCCTCGAAAAACGCACCGACATCAAGGGCCAACAGTTTTTGATCGAAAACTGCAAAGTGAGAAATTTTCAAATGTTTTTAGCTTTTTTTTAGAACAGCGTCATCCTGCTGCTCGATAATTCTGCAACAGTAACCGTGGACGACTGTGAGAATTGTCTGATCGTGATTGGGCCGTGTGCAGGGAGGTAAGAAAACGAGATGAGTTTCGTATCCTTTTCAGCGTATTCATCCGCGACACGAACAAGTGCAGCGTGTGGGCGGTTTGCCAGCAATTGCGTACGCGGGATTGCCACGATCTGAAGTTGGCGCTGCACTGCGCCACGCAGCCGATCATTGAGAATACGCGGCTCGTCGTATTTCACCCGCTGGCGCTGAATTATTCTGGGATTCGAGGTATGTGTAAAAATAGACTTCCTAGGCTTACTGTAAAGTGTTTTTTTACTCAACTTGGAGTTTCGATTCGGGACCAAGTGCATCTTGTACAGAATTTTTCGCTGATTCCGAATATGTTTTCCAAATTTGCTACGGACTTTTATTTAAAAAATCATTTTTGGTAACAATTAGGCCGAAAAATTCCAAAAATTCAGACGCTGGCCCACTATTCCGTGTTTGGGACTATGGTTCCTAGGGGCCCTGAAGTACCCTCTGACAGCACCCTACCCAGTTGGCACCATGGTGCATTGGCAAAGTACTCGCTTGCCAAGCGCAGGGCGGCGGTTCGAACCCCCGCCGTGCATCATTGCTTTTGCTTTTTGCATAAAAATCTCATTTTTTATTTAAAATGCTTGTTTTGAGCTGTAGGATGCTTGTCGAGCCAACGTCTAGTCAATTTTGACGTTGAAATTAATGAAGAAAATCGAAAACTATAACGATACCTGCATTTTGGTGAAAACTAGGGTCATAATTGCCGTATAACTTTCAGAATAACGGTCCGTAGCAAATTTGGAAAACATATTCGGAATCAGCGAAAAATTCTGCACAAGATGCGCTTGGTCCCGAATCGAAACTCCAAGTTGAGTAAAAACACTTTACAGTTAGAACTTGACATACGACTCGGGCTTTAATTACAAAACTTTAGAAAATCTAATCGCCGCCCGATTGTCACCATTTTTGAACAACGCGCACTCGGTGCACGATTTTACGCCCGACAAATATACGCCGAATTATACGCTTTCTAAAAAGATGCTGCTACCGGTAAGTGATAATAAACTTACATAATAAATAAATCCCCCTCCCCAACAGCAGTAACGAATCCACTATTTTTTGCAGCAACAACCCTTGAGCCTTCTGCTCAGCCCGCAGCAGACGGACGTTTCGTTCCAGTCGAATTCGTCCTTTTTCATCGCGACCCCGCGGGAAGATGGAGCGGCCGGCGGCCCCACGGAGGTACCCGCATTTTGAAGCGCGTGAAAATGGTTTCGTTTTTTAGACCCTGACGATCTATGTGACGCAGAGTGAGGGGGAAACGGTAGAGGTAAGGAGGAAAGGAACGGGGGTTTTGGGCTTGGAATTAGGGACAAGCGCTCTAATACCAATCAATATTTTCTAAAGTAATCCCATGAAAATCTGAATTATCCTCTACAAAAACGTGTCCCGCCGCGAGTCCACGAGGATACACAAATTTTAGGCTTTCTTCACGCGCTGCCTCCCGGGCCTGGCCGACCTGCGAATTGACGGGGTCAGCTGCACGGCTACTCGTGATGTGCTCGCCACTAAAAACGACCTCATCCATTGTATGGATTCATGCCCGGAATTTACATCTGGTCAGTTTCACGTCTCGCCTGATAAGTAGTGTGAAAAGTATGAAAAATTGCCAAAAAGGCTAAAATTCTCGAATTTTCAAAAATGTTTAAAAGATTTTTCCAAGTTTCTAACAATCAAAAACGACGAAAAACTATAAAAATGATTATAAACAGGTAGGTATAGACAGAATTGATTTTTTTTTCCTGTTACCGTCCCCCCCCCCCCCGCTAACAGCCCAGTACCGGATTCGTTAAATTCTAAGCGTTTTCACAATAACTACCCAGTCGAGGCAGCTCATAAAAAACTAGCCATTGTGTTTACTATCACCTCCTCCCGGTGTTCGACTACAATCTACGGGATCTTTGGAACGGCTGGTCATCCCTTCGCTGGCATTGCCGATTTCGATTTATCATAATCCCCGTCAGGATTCTCGGTGCGCGCGCTGCTGCTGCCAGCCATCTCCTCCTCCTCCTCCTCCCTTCGGAGCCAATGAGCCAGAAAAAGACCATCGGTTCGCCTTCGGTCAAAGGAGATACCTCCCCGCCGTTCTTTTCCCTCCTTTTTTTGCCTCTCATTTCACCTTCTTTCTTTCTTGACTGCCGGGGCCCGTAGTAGACAACCCAGATCTCGGCGCTTGTTTGGGCCCGAAAACAAGAATGGGTTCAAGGGTAACGCGAAGTGAGTGGTCCGAGACGCGGAACCATCAAAATCCCCCTCCCTAAACTTGGGAATCCAAGGTTGGCCGCCTAAATGGCGGTGCCCCCGTGAAAAGTGCGAAATTCGACCCTTTCCAGGACATATCGTCGCCCTCTACCTGGACTGTGAGGCCGAGAAACGGGAAGAGGTGCCCGGAAAATTGTCGGCCGATTGGAAATGCGTGCCGGAGAGTCTGGACGACACCTTCCGGATCACGATCGACCGCCTGAATCTCTCGTCGTTGTCCGTATAGCCGGCCACGCAAGCAGCCAAAGTAAATTTGATCTCATGAATTAAATGTTTGAATAAAGTGTAATTTTGCTGAAAACTTTGTTCGAAACGAGCGACAAGTTAAAGCAAAATTTCTTCTAGCGCGGAGCCAGCATATCTCGTGCAGAATTTTACGCTGATTCCGTATGTTTCCCAATTGTGCGGAATCGCGATTTTCCGAAAGTTATGAACGAAAGCGAAAACGAGATTCCGAAAAACGCGCAAGACGAACCACTTTCTATGGTTTTCCTGACTAAAATCGACTTTCTGTGGTTCATAACTTTCGGAAAATCCCGATTCCGCAAATTTGGTTAATATATTCGGAATCAGCTTAAAATTCTGGACAACTTATTCTTGGTCCAACTTGAAGCTCGACGACACTAAAAAACGTCTCCTCGCTAGTAAGACGGCGTTTCTAAAAAGTCTCATAAAAATCAAAACTACAACAACGATCATTTACCGCCAGACTACATTCTCACTATCAACTCTTAGTTCAGCTCACACAAACACCCGGGGAAACGAGTTTTCCGGAAAAACTCTCCGGCCGCCCCGATACCATCTAGACCCGCGCCAAAAATGCGAGCACACACACAAAAAAGTAAAGCACGCACGGCCCATGCTCATTCGCCGAAAAAGCCGCGCGGCCCCGCCGGAGATGGAATCTTCGCCGGGGTATCAGGCGATCCGTTTTTCTGCCCAAGCCCACCGGCCCGCTTCGATGAGAGGGCTAGCAATGGCTGTTCAAGGTCACCCCCGGGGAGCCCCCCCAGGTAGTACGAGCTGCGAACGGGGGATTGACGTCAAGCCGCAATCAGCTCGAGGATTATCAACCCCGGAATGGGCAGGGTTTATGTTTGATCGCCTAGCTCTCGAGCTGGTATCTGGGCGACCGGTACTCGGCCAACGGCATGTGCTAGGATGATCGAAAAAGCGATGGCTGGGTATCGAAAATCTGGAAGTGATAAGCATCGCCAAAAAGTTGTGGAAAGTGGCTACTTCACTAGAGTAATCACTTATTTTAAGTGCATAGACAGTGCAAGCTGGATCTTTCGCATTATCGGGGGGGGGGGGGCTTTTTCTTAGGCTTCGATTTTACAAAAATATGGCGGAAATGTTCCTAAACTGTTTTCCACTACTCTTAAACGCAAAAACTTTACAAATCTACACAAAAAAATTCGATTTGAGGTTTTAAATAGTTTTGCTAATTGAAATATGGGTATCTTTTACCAGACTCACTAATAAAATCCTTCCTATTACGTACCTAAAATACCTTTTGTTAAGAATGACTGAATGACTGGACCAAAGTTTCTTTTTACGTTTTTCACCTCACCTGGTATCATCGGTGCCAATAGGTCAATTTCGCACAACATCCACGCCTGACACTCAAAACCGGATCTTGGCCGCTGAAAGTGAATGACCCCTGCTTGGCTAAGAAAAAAAGAAATTATACACGGTCATTGTTGTGAACAGAACAATTTTTCAGTCATCCTTCTTGTCTGATTATTTAGGTCAAGCTCAGTTGGCTTCTTCCGGGAGCACTCACAAACAACAACCAGCGTTATTTTGTGCTTGGGTGATGTTTTGTCGGGCTCCAGGCGAACGGCGCCTGGCTATCGAAAGTGGGGCAGCTTTGCCCGGTGGCCTTGCCCTAAAAATGGCGAGCGCTAGCCGTTTGCTTTGGTGGCTTATCTAATTACCCGTATCAGAAACCCCCGGGAAAAAACCATCATCGAATGCTCATGGCCAGTCGAGACGCTGACTCCGCCCCTCCATCCTCCCTCGATGGCAGCGAGAAGAGGACAAGACGAAGGGCATCTATTTAAGCCGCTCGATGGTCACTAACAGAGAGTCTATCGGCTGCCATGAAGGTCCTCGCCGTCTTCCTCGCGCTCTGCGCTGTCGCCGCCTCTCGCCACCGTAAGTTAGCTTGCTTTACCCTTTAGTTCACGCCTTTCGTAAAAGATCAACGCTTAATTTTATTCTATTGGCCCAGAAAACGTATCCTTTAGGTTTAATAGCTTTTTCGACTTATTATCATCCAAATCACAATATAGCTTTTGAGCATGACCTTGTTGTTCGAACCTATCCCGCCGCCCTGAGCTTTCAGTGCGCATTCCATTATTGCTCCAATGATTCTTTATAGTCGTCAAGCGAGGAAACTCGTATGGAGATGAGGCCGTGACGCCCGCGCCCGCCGCCACCCCGGCCGAGACCCCCGCCCCTGCTCCCGCACCCGCTGAGGAGGCCCCCAAGGCCGCTGAGCAACCTGCTCCTTGCGGAGAGGCCAAGACCGAGGCTTCTGGATACCGCGCCAAGAGGAGCAACAGCTATGGAGATGAGGCCGTCACCCCTGCCCCCGCTGCTACTCCCGCCGAGACTCCTGCCCCTGCTCCCGCCCCGGCCGAGGAGGCCCCTAAGGCCGCTGAGCAGCCCGCTCCCTGCGGAGAGGCCAAGACCGAGGCTTCTGGATACCGTGCCAAGAGGAGCAACAGCTACGGAGACGAGGCCGTGACTCCCGCTCCTGCCGCCACCCCGGCCGAGACCCCCGCCCCTGCTCCCGCACCCGCCGAGGAGGCCCCCAAGGCCGCTGAGCAGCCGGCTCCATGCGGAGAGGCCAAGACTGAGGCTTCCGGATACCGCGCCAAGAGGAGCAACAGCTATGGAGATGAGGCCGTCACCCCTGCTGCCGCCCCTGCCGAGACTCCCGCTCCCGCTCCTGCCCCGGCTGAGGAGGCCCCCAAGGCCGCTGAGCAGCCTGCCCCCTGCGGAGAGGCCAAGACTGAGGCTTCTGGATACCGTGCCAAGAGGAGCAACAGCTACGGAGATGAAGCTGTGACCCCCGCTCCCGCTGCTACTCCCGCCGAGACCCCCGCCCCTGCTCCCGCCCCCGCTGAGGAGGCCCCTAAGGCCGCTGAGCAGCCCGCTCCCTGCGGAGAGGCCAAGACCGAGGCTTCCGGATACCGTGCCAAGAGGAGCAACAGCTACGGAGACGAGGCCGTCACTCCTGCTCCTGCTGCCACCCCTGCCGAGACTCCCGCTCCCGCCCCTGCCCCAGCCGAGGAGGCCCCCAAGGCCGCCGAGCAGCCCGCCCCCTGCGGAGAGGCCAAGACCGAGGCTTCCGGCTACCGCGCTTAGGAATGCAAAAAATCCCCACAAAAACATTGGTCTCGATTTGATCACAGGTGCTCACCAATAAAAACTGCCTAATCACTCTATCAACACGAAAATCACAGCAATGAGACAGTTTAAAACTGCAATTCCAAATGATACATTAAAAAACAGGAAAAGAGCTGATAAAGCTAAAAAGGAATTCAGTTTTGTAAAGGGCTACGCTGTTATACGGTGAAACTGGTTTCTAACAGCTCTCGATGCACTCCATTAATTTGGAGAAATAGTTTCAATTGAAATGAACAAAAATGTTTTTGTTTCCGGACGGTATTTTTATGTTTTTAGCGCCGAAATCTCGGGGTGTAAGGGCTAGGCAACGAAGCATTCCGTTCGTCAAGAGAATGTATCGGGACAAAACGCCTAAGCCTTCGAACTTTGAAACTAAGGCGAATCTTCAAAGGACATTTGTGGGACTGGGTAGAAAGGAAGGTGGCGATTATAATGATACCAAGCACTAATAAAAATGTATTTAGAAAGTATGCTAACGAAGGCGCTTTTGCTTGGCGACTTTGTCAAACGTGGTTTTTCGGAGGGCTAAATTGCTGTCTTTGGTATCGTTCGAGACGTAAAATTCTACTCTGCAATAATTGATATTGGGTTTTCAATATGAAGTCGGTTTGAAAAAGTTTAAGAGCTTAAACGTTTTGAGGCGCGCTACGCCCGGCTCCTATGGGCGCTTTGCCCCTCCCGGATAATTCCGTTTTGGCCGTGTAAGAACAACGCGTATTCGATTCGGATTTTCAGCCGTACTCGAGCAAAAGCCGCTAAATACTAAACATTATTTTTAGATTTACATAAAAAATAGTAGAATAAAGGCAATGTCAATTAACATGGCTTTTCGCAAGTATAAAAATGCGGCTCTACCCCAAGAGGTTATTCATTCGACATTCGACAACGACTAACCTCCGCTACTAACCGCAAAATGGTGAGCTTGATTTTTTGGTCGAAACTTTGTTTTAGACCCTCACTAACCTCCGTCTTGCCGCGCAGCAGAAGAAGGCCAATCGCCGCAGGGCCGTGCCCGCCTTCAGCCCCGCCAGGCTGCCATGGGCCCAGATCATCGCCGGATACAAAGCTGCCAACAAACCGGTGCCGCCCGTCAGCTCGGTCGAGCTGCCGACGATCAACGCTCCTCAGCTGGCCATCACCTGGCCATATGGTAAGCGCACTTTTTTTGCGTGTTTTCTGCTTTCTGAAGCCGCGTTTGCATTCGATTTTTTTTCAGAGCTGCCGAACCCCCGTGCCGACCTCCGTCTGAATGACCACCTCTGCGCGCCAACCCCGGCCCACGTTGTGGACACCGTCGGCCTGCCGCTCGACATGAAGCTGATCTCAGCCCTTCCCCATCTCCGCCAGCCGCTTCTTGCCATCTGTGGTTTGTATTTGATTTACTTCCGTTAACCTTTTTTACAGCTCCTCCGGCACCGCCAGTGTTGAAGGGTGGCGCTGACTTTGCCGTGCTGATGGGCAGCCGCTACTTCGACCAGTTCCGCAACGCTCCAGCCGGTATTATTAGTACTTTAATTATTCGAATTTTTACAGCTGATGACTCTGCATCCACGACTTCAACTGTCTCTTGCCGCCACTTCTTCAGCAGCGCCTCAACGATCTCGGTCGACTCTGATGACGGCTACGTGGCCGATTTGGAGTCGTCGATCGGCTCGGTGCAGTTCGAATCGCAGGCCCACTTCTACGAGTACGACGCTGAGACGACTGAGGATTCGGAGCCAAGCACGCACTCATCGGCCGGCCGTACGCCAATCCCAACCCCGATCGAGTCGCAGGCCTCGCAGACCATTTCCAACGCGTCGCTGATTGGCACCAGCTTTTATCCGAATGAGGTCGATGGCTGCGACTGCTCGGCTTGCTGCCGTGTCATGTAGGCACCGGTTTGCCTTTAGATTCTAATCTCTTTCAGCTTGTCGATGGCCGCTTGCCCGCTGGCGATGCAGCAGCTGATGGCTCGCAGCAGCAACTCTAGCATCACCACAGCGGCCACTTCCATCTCGTCGCTGCTGCTTGACTTCTACGCCGATGGTGTCGAGGGATGTCACTGCAAGGCCTGCAGTGATGCCATGTAAAATATCTGGATTTAATTTTCTATTTTTTTGTTTGCAGGAAAGTGCTGGCCTCGTGCCCGATCGCTCAGCAGAAGCTCCTCCGCCAGAACAGCAACACGTCGAGCTCCACGGAATCGACCTCGGATCTCGGCACCAAATACAGCTACACTCGCTCCGTGTCCTCGGCGTTCTTCACAATCCCCGTACGCGGCCATTTTCTGCTCTAACGTTTTTTTAGGCACCCGTGTCGTCTGATTTGGCGCCGGAGCCTGTGGTGGATGCTGAGATGAACCCTTGGGCCGGGCTCCCGCTGCCAATGCCACGAACCCGTGAGGTCATCCAGCAATCGGTAATGATTTCGGGGCTTTTGCAAATTGATTTTTCCTTTAGTTGGACTATTGGGAGAAGTGCCAGCTGATCTGCGCGGAGCGGGTGCGCTCGGCTACCGCGACGTTGGCCCGCCTCAACACTGACGGCTGAGCGGCATTGACTCGAATTGATCTTTGACCTGTTTATATTTGTGAATGTGAATAAAATTTTCCGACTGATTTCCTCTCCTGAATTTTGCAGAGACTAACGTTAAAGCGCGGTTATCAACCAGTTGACGATGCCGGTATTTTTAATTGGCACTATCCGGGTTACCGCTCCGAAACTATCCATTTAATTTTCGATCTCCTGATCCCGATTTTCAAATGAGCGTTTATTTAAAAAAAAAAAAATTTTTTTTATTTTTTTTTTTTTTTTTTTTTTTTTTTTTTTTTTTAATTTTTTTAAAAAAAAAAAAAATAAATATTTTTTTTTTTTTTTTTTTTTTTTTTTTTACAGTTTTTATAGTAGCCTGGTTTTCAACCGTGCGGGATTTCGCCGTGTTGTGACTTGCATTTTTAGCCGGTTAAGTCAAGCATTTCTGTCAGACATCGAATTTTCCATTTATGAAGGTTGGAATTTTGGTATTATGGCGGAAATGGCGGTAAGTCCATTTGGCGACGCACTGCGTCCGAAAACCAGCGAACCAAACCTTCTTCATAAGACGATTGACGGAAAGCGATCCGGTTTTGGCCAAATCCGCGGGGGTGCGGTGCGGAAAACAGCGTATTTGTACATAGTTTCCGGGATGTACATACATGCGTGCGGATCGGAAGGAGGACGGACAAACAAATCGGCCTTTAGGACGGGGGCCCGGCCATTCTATGATCCACATGGGCGGCCAGTTCCACCCACTACAATCATTCCATCGCCATCTAAAGGAATGGACCGGAATGGGCGGGCCAAGGACCCTGGCCACGGCATCACATAACAACAGCCGTTCCCTCGGCATCTTCACATCACTTCGCATCAGCACTTCACTGCAACACCATGTACGCGATCCGCATCGCCCCGCTCGTTTGCCTCGTTGGGTTGGCTGGTGGGTTTTTAGACGCCTACGAATATTACGGATAGAACTTTTAGTCGCCACCCGTGACACCGAGCCGTGCAACAAGGCCATTTGCCCCAGTGGATACAGCTGCCGAAAGGAGGACAAAACGTGCATCGGCATTGCTGGGAAGACGCGTGAGTGCTTGTTTTTTATAAAAACTCATTTGAAAAAATAGATAGTCTTTTTGTATCTAAAACTTTTCCTATGTGTCCTGATATGTATCGTAGCGTCAAAAGAAGAATTTTAATCGACTTTTTAGTAAAGTTTATTTCGATTTCAAGCGGAAAAACTAATTAAAACCTTAGAAAATTCGAAAATTTCGAATTTTGCGTGAGAGCTTGGTCGAAAGGAGGAAACTTTTTACTTTTAATCGGTTTTGTAAGGTTTATTACGAAATTTGTAAGGGTTTTTTGTAAGTATTCTCTAATTATGTTAAAAAATTTGGAAAGCCCGGGTTCCAGAAAATACTAAAAAGCCGCCCTTTTTGCCCTATTTTTGGAAAGATGTTTATGCTGCGTTTTAGTGGAGATTGTCGGCGAGTGCGTCAACCTGCTGTGCCCCGAGTCTTACTCGTGCGTCGAAGATGCCTGCATCCGGCCACCCCGTAAGTATCGGCTACAGAAAAGCGGGGGGGAAACGTCGTTAATTTACAATTATAATTTACCTAAAAGACAATGTTTTGCAGAGATTCGCCTGAAGGGCGCCGAGGCCATCGGCCCATGCGTGAACCTGAAGTGCCCGGCCAGCCACGTCTGCGAGGAGGCCGAGAACAAGTGCTACCCGATCGACAAGGAGGCCTCCACCTACAAGCCATGAAGCCGCTGACACCCACGGAATACTGCTCGACAATTACGCTTGCCATATTTATTGCATTAATAAAAGTTATTAAAATTAGAAGCTTCGCACACTCATTAGTTGAGGATTTCGGCAAACTACAGTCAAACAATGTAAACAATTTTCAGAACTTTTTTGTCGATTAAAAATGAATTATATTAGGTGTAAGTGCTCGTCAAGTGCCGTTTTTGTGTTCTGTACCCGCCCTTTTTCTGCTACTTTGTGCTCGCAGGCGAATTATTTGCTGCCCGTCTCCAACCACGGCTTTTCTGTCCATTGATCGCCCACACCGCCGGCGTAATGGGCGCGTTTTAGTGTACACTACCTTCGCGCTAGCTTCGAAAATACGAAATTTTTCGCTGCTTTCGAATTTGTCCCGTCGAGTGTATAAATACCGGCTCCCCTTTTTCTCAGAACTTTTTTGCCATATTACAGAAACCTAAAACTCCCTAGGATGCCCCAGTACAAACTGCACTATTTCAACCTCTACGGTAGAGCCGAGCCCATCCGGATGCTCTTCTTTTTGGCCGACCAACCCTACGAGGATCGCCGTTGGGAGATCCCCGAGTGGCCGGAAGTCAAGAAAGGTCTGTAAAGTGCATTTTATTTTTATAGCAACCTTATTGAAACAAAATTCGGTTTTTAAAGTGTATTTTATGTTATAATACCTTTATAATTTAAATAAAATTCAGATCCCGTCTTCGTGTTTGGTCAGGCGCCGGTGTTGGAGGTGGATGGAAAGCCGTTGCCCCAAACGCTGGCCATTACGCGATACCTGGCCCGAAAATTTGGTAGCCCGAATTAACGTAAGGTCACTAAAACGAGTCTAGGCTACTCGGCCAGCGACGAATTTGACAACGCTCGAATGGACGCGATTTGCGACTCGTACACGGTTTGATTTTGGGTGTAAAATGTTTAGAAAATCCTGAGAAATTAATTAAGCAAATTTTTTGGCGTGAACTAGCAAAAAACTAGAAAAATAGATAAAGTTTATAAAATATAAAAGCTAAAACCCGTCAAAATTTTCACCCGAAACTGGCTAAATGCTGGTTTTAAACGTAATTTTGAATAGATGCCTATAAAATAGTAGAAAAAATACAAACCTTGTTTTTTGTAAAGTTTGTAGGTTCTAAAACCTATTTTCTATGAATCTGCTTTTTTATATATACCAAACATGTATAACTTTCTATAAAACTATTCAACTCACCCCCAGAGCGCTCCTGACGAGAGTGAAGAGAGCGCTGACCACCAGGCTGACCGAGCCGTGTTCGGGGATTGCGTCAGCCCGCCCGTTCCCCTCACCCCTGGGGACAAGAGGCCCCCCCCGCTCGCCCCTCTCCCACCCGGGGGTATAGCTCAGTGGTAGAGCAATCGGCTGCAGTCCGATAGGTCCATGGTTCAACTCCGTGTGCCCCCTAATTTTTGCTTTTTCGGGCAATTTTTTTGGGAACCTTTTGCTTTTTTCTAGGACAGGGATGTAGCGAGGGTATTTTCCGGAAATTTCTTTTCTAGGGGCTTTTAGGGTTCATTTTTACGTTTTCTTTGGTAGAATCAGGGGCAAAGCAGGCAAGTGCGCCTCGATACGGCCATATTTCGACTCCCCGCGCCCCTAATTTTGTTAGAAAATTTTGCTTTTGCTAGCGTAGGTATTTAGCAATTTGTTTTCGAGAAATCGCGTTTCTATCCACTTTTTATCAACTTTCAGGATTACGTCGACAAAATCGTCCCCTGGTACCGGATCCACCTCAAATTTTTCCCGGGCGACGAGGTGGGATGGATTTTCGGAGACTTAGGCGTTTTTTAGAAAAGGAATTTGATACGACGGTCGACCCGGCACGCAAATTATGGCTGGGACAGCTGGCCGATTTATTAGAAAAGGAAGGAACCGGATATATGGTAATTTGAAACCGAAAAATAGCTTGAAATCGGGTTCAGGTTGGCGATAAGTTATCCTGGGTGGATTTGACGCTGGTGAATCACATGGACGTTTTTGAGCTGGCGATTCCGGGGTATACGAAAGAATGGCCGACGGTAGGTTAACCTTTTTAGCCTAAGGCTTGCTCCAGCTTGTCGACTATCGTAACCGGGTGAACGGGCTGCCGAAAATGAAGGAATACTACGCGCAAAGACAGACTTGTCAACGTTAAATTATGTATTTTTGTATTTTTACTAAATTTTACTAACGCTAAAGTTATAAGTTTTGGCTAATTAAATTTCAAAACTCTGATTCTTTCGCATTGTCGGGGGGAAGGAGCGGTTCTTTTTTCGCTTTTTTGGTCAAAAAAATTGATCTTTTTGTATTTGTTAATAAAAATTTGTAAAGTTTTCACGTTTTGGAATAGTAAAACACCATTTAGCAACACTTCCATTATTTTTATTAAAAAAATACAAAAATAGCTATTTTTCTCCAAAATGTCACCTAAAAAGTGTTTTTCTAGGATTTTTTGGATTGTTTCCCATCAAAAATAGAGCTACATTTAACCAAAAACACTTACATTTTACGTAAACATAAACACTTACTATTATACACACGTTACAGACATTTCTGGAAATTTCCACCCCCCCCGCTAATGCGAAAGATCCTGAAATTTATTCAAAAAGTATACTTTGATCTTTACCAAATAAACCCTGATATTTGACTACACATTCCTTTTCACACTTTATCCCCCAGAAGCTCACAAATTTCACAAGCCACATTCTTGCGCCTGGCCGCTGGGATGCAATGTGCAATCAACAGCACGCGCCCGCCCGGCCGCGACTGTACATAGGATCGTGGCGTAGCTGTCAAAAGTGTCATCTGAATGCCCGCATCGTCATCCATGCATTGGCCCGAATACGCAACGCTCCAATCGACAATCGATCGGAGGGTTAATTGGAATTCCGGTCTTTGAAGCCGCCCTCCCCCCCATTCCGCGCTACCGCATCAGCTTATCCGTCAGGACGAATGACCTGGCCGTGACCCAGGGCTTCATTTTTCCGCTCGATTGGTACGATGGAACGGTTGAAGCGCGCCTTCCGGCGTGGCAGGTCGGTTTTAAATTATAGGTTAAAGAAAACTTTAAGGTTATTAAATTCAAACCGGGTGAAATTGAAATTGGGAACCAAGCTTTTATCTTAACGGATTAATATGAATTTTTATGCATAGATTCCGCAGAACCGGCGCGTTGCCTGGAGCGCTGCGTAGATAAACCTCATTCGAAAACTCTCAGAGCACACATCACCGAGCTGCTGCGTTGATTGGAGCATTGCGTAGTGCCGTCTTGTACTACGCGCGGCGCCTTTTAACACCCCTACTTTGCGTGTGAATTACAAAGTTTTGTGGAATTTAAGGCTCGGGCGCACAGTGTAGGCGCGTTGATTGGAGCGTCGTGCAGCCAAGGCGTGTACTACGCGACGCTACGTTGTTCATGCCTGTTGTACGGACTTTGCAGTAGAAAAAAAGCGTAATTCGACGTAGGAAATTCACAAAGCAATTGCGTCTATAGGCGCGGCGAGTTGTCAGGCCCAGACTAGTGCGCATGGCTTCGCTAAAAGTCTCAGCTTTGTACTTTCGAGCTGTAGAAAATTCCTGAAGAAGTTGTGGTCTTTAAAAACTAGCGAATTTAGCGTCTGCTCCTCCCCCTCGTGCTCCATCTCCTCTGCCTCGACAGCCTCGACCTCTGGCTCGTCCACCTTCTCTGGTCGATCCACCAGAAGACCCCCAATATTCTCACTCGACAGATCTCAGTTCATCTGTCGACCCTCCATTGCCTCATCATCAACGTCATCCTTTTCATTTCCACGCGTGGTAGGTTTTGTGGTTTATATCTCGGATCTCCTTTGGGCTACGCAGTTGTAAGGTATACCAAAATGTAGCTCCAGCATGGAGAATCGAAAGATACGACCTTCTACGACAGAATTCAAGAAACAGCAAACAAAATCGAATTTAAACTTCAGAATAGCGATTTTTCATTGCCACCCCTAATGCAACAATCCCAGGAAGCCGGCGTATTCCCGAGAGCCGAGTTCGGCCTCAACGTCCACCCATTAAACGCGAGCTTTGACGATGGTTGCTCGGACATCTCCGACTTTCTCATCCTCTCCGAGCTGTTGCCAAAATATAAGAAGAAGCCGAAGAAGTTTGATGGCCATTCAACCACGACATCGAGGTAATGGATTTTTTGGCTTATTTTTTCTATGATCACCCAATTTTACACTTAAAATTTTCACAATGAAATTTTGTGCATTTCCAGACGTTCCACGGCTTCTTCCGTGATCCGGAAACGGCTTTCCATCGTCGAGCCCGATGCCTCGTCGGTGGTGTTCTTCGATGCGAATGACTATTCAAGAGCCCCGCCACTACCGCCGGAGGCAATTTCGGGCAGAAGCTTACCGAGGTTTGCCAGGGCTACACTACGCTCCTATAGACACCTGTATCGATTAGGTCAATCCTGAAAAAGCACCCCTCTGCCAATATCTACGAAGAGATTGGGGATGATGAGGGGGATTTGGAGGAACATGTCTCTGATGTACGCCCGGAGGTAACAATTAAAAAAAAAGAAGCAGCGAACGTTTTTGACGAGCTCCCAGCTCCCAACTCCCAACTCCCAGCCCCCAGCTCCCAACTTTCATTACAACATCCCCTTCCAGCTGCCAGCTCGTCCGGTGGTGACCTCTCTGCGTCTCTTCCCGCCCTGCACTCTCTTCCAGCCGCGCTCGATGCCGAATACCGACACGGAAAAGTAAAAACCAATACAGTTTAAACTTGATTTTCGAAGAATAATTCTATAATCAAAACGACATCCTCCTTTTAAGGTATCCCGAGCCGCTGCGCCGTAAGAAGCTGCCCAGTCTCCACCGGAAACGCTCAAAGCTCATCGATTTCTAATAAACCCCCACACCCACAAATTCGCGATTTTCTTGCCATTTTGCGGATAAAATTGATATTGGAGACTTTATTCCCCAGGAGACAACTTATGGAAACGCATACGAAGAGATTGTACCGAATATACCCATTTTGATGGAAATAAGATCGTCGATAGTATAGACCCGTAGTGATGAGAGTGGGAGTGAGAGAGAGAGAGAGCGAGAGAGAGAGAGAGGGAGGGAGAGAGAGGGAGAGAGAAAGGGTGAGAGAGACAGTGAGACGGAGTCTGTGAGTGAGAGAGCGAGAGAGAGTGGGAGCGGAAGAGAGACAAAGTGAAGAGGGAGAGAGAGAGAGCGAGAGAGATGGAGGGAGTCTGTGAGCGAGTGACCGAGAGAGCGAGAGAGACAAAGTGCAAAGCAAGAGAGCGAGAGAGAGAAGCGAGAGAGAGTGGGATCGACAGAGAGTGAGAGAGTGAGAGATACATAGGCAAAAGAAGAGAGAGAGAGCGAGAGATAGAGAGAGCGAGAGTGAGAGTGAGAGCGAGAGACTGAGAGAGAGAGAAATGTGTTGATTTAAACAAATAAATTTCGGCAGTATTTCAACAAATGGCAATGGCTGAATGGCGCTTGATGAGATGCCGTGAAGAGAGGAGGGCTTGGTGCGGATCGCCTTCGTGGACTAAAAAGTTGTAGAGAATGATAGATAATTTTAGAACTTTTATAACCCATTGATACTCCCAAAACTATACCTTTATTCTGCGTTGCCGACAGCAGAAGTGAAATCCAGGGGCTGTCCTGGACGGACGAGCGCCGTCGTGCCGCTTCTTTCACGGTATATTCTTGATAGGCCTAAAGGGCAGTGTTAACACTTTTTTAATGCGATAACCATCAAATTAAAGGTGCTTCCGTGTTACGAACTAGGAAATTTTTTAATATGGTGATACATATACCTTTTTAGCAGTTTCGAATCACTTTAACGGAATAAAAAAATACCTGAAAAATTTTAAAACAAGTTTTGAAATGCCTTGTAAATTAACAATAAGTATTTTAATAATTTTTTACTAAAAATTCTATATTTTATATGGGAAAAGACTCAAAAAACTTCGAAACAATTTTGGAAATTGTGAAAAATGCGCCATTTCTGGTCGAAAATCTATTTTTTTTGTATTTTTTACTATTTATTAATCTGTTTTTAATTTTTTGCAGAATGTCTTTCATTTATCATTATTTTAAATTACACTGACCTTCTCGCGCGGCTCCCCGAAAATCATGAGCGCAAACTGCTGCCGAATCTCCTTATTCGACAGGAAATGGGCGGGGAATCGTATCGCGTTCCCGACCACTGAAAGGATACGCTAGATTGAGCGTATTTCAGACCGTTTTAATAGTGTTTTTAAATCAATTTACGTGGAAAACCGCAAAAAAAGTTGAAAAAATTTTTAGGCGAGTTTTAGTCGAAAACTCGATATTTTTTGTAGTTTTCTATGAAAATGTGTAAAGTTTTACGTCTAGGAATAATAATAATTTAATATAAATTTTATTTTGAAGATTTTATTTAGAAATTAAAAATGCTATTTATTTACGGTACCTGTGAGAAGACTCGAACTGTCGGCGGCCAGCTGGTAGATTAGGGGGTGCTGAATGTGCAGGAAATCTAATTTTTTTTAAGATAAAAACATGAATTTCCAACCTGGATCGATGTACTCCACCACGGTCAGGCACAAGTTCAAGAAGTTCGACAACAAGTAAGCGCTGATGATCACCAGCAGCGTGTGCGTGGCCGCCCGGATGTTTTTACGGCTGTAATAAACTTTGTATAAATTAAAAAATTTATTCTATAAATTAAATTACCTGTTAATAAAATTAACTAATAAATTAAGAATTATTGACTAATAAAATTAATAAAAAATGAAATTAAAATCTGTTATTAAAAGACGTTGCGAAATTTATTAATTAAATGATATTAATTTAAACAAGAAAAAAAGGCTATGTCAAACTGACCGTATCTTCATCACGTCGCTGCCCATCGTCAGCTGGGTGATCAGGGAGCGGAGTTGCTAAAATGCCACGTTATTTTCGGATTTTTAATTGTCGTGAAAATTTTGTGCAAAAAATGTTTTTTTTGGGTAAAATTTACTTTTTATTTGGATTTTGTAATTTCCGTACCTGTACGTTCTGCTTCCGCAGCATCAGCACAATGCCGCCGTTCAGAAAAACCAGCGTCAAAAACGGGACGGCCAACACCAGCCCGTTCACCACGCCCATCACCGCCCCCGAGCGGAGTGTTCCAATCTAGAAATGCCTGCATATTTTTAAGGAACTAAGTTAATTATAGTCTAGAGGCGAATTCCAGCCATAAAGCCGACAGCGAAAATGCCGACATCCAAAATACCGACATTCGAAATAACCGATATCCAAAATCCCGACAGCAAAAATACCGACGAGCCAAAAACCGACAGTCATCATACCGACAGACTAAAATGCCGACAGCCACCAAAATCCCGGCAAGCAACAAAAACGATAACCAAAATCCCGACAGCAAAAATCCCGACAAGCCAAAAATCCGACAGTTCGAAATCCTGACAGCCAAATTCCCGATGTTTGAATTTTTCTCTAAAACAGCCATTTTGCGTAAGGGTATTTTGGCTGTCGGCATTTTGTCTGTGGGCATTTTGGCTGTCGGCATTTCGGCCTTTTCGCTTTAAAAAGCAAAATAATTGCTGTCTCTTTTTTCTCACCTGATATCGCTCGAACCCTGTGCAGTGGATGTACTCCTGGATCTCGACTTTCTGGAAACGGATTTTTAGATGATAAAAACAGCTAAAATAAATAAAATTGATAGAATTACGTCATAACTCCAGAAATCGTGTCAGAATTTACAAGTTGGCGTTTCTCCACGGCCTATAAATTTTTGGGGCTCCCCAACGTTTGTCGCTGAACTTCCGGCCACCTCCGACTAATCCCTAGAGCAAAAAGCGCGTGTCTGGGACAGAATTTTAGGCATAAGGGAAAGACGCTAAATGGTATCTACTTACCGAGGTGATAACTTTCAGCGAAACTGCCAAAATTAGCGCGATCGCCAGCACGATCCACCGGGTCCGGCTCTCAAAACCGGTGAATGTCCAGTGTTTCGTTAGGCAGTACCTGGAAGTGAGGTATCTTTATGATATTTTTAAGTTTAAAAGCACCATTCCTGCTTCTTAACGTTAAAATAACGTGACTTACCTCTCGAAAGATGCTACGACGAGGCAAAGCACGGATGATACTTTAAAGATTTGCCCGAGCACGTAGATGACGGGCATATACTGTAACCACAAGAGGTAGAGGCCCAAGTTTTGGTAGTATTGCGCCTCGACGGGGACCGCCTTAAAAGAAATATCAGAAAATTTACATAAATAACCGGAGCTTTTGCAATATCGGGGGGGGGGAGAGACCGAAGTTTTTCATAGAAAACAAACGCACTTAATGTAGTTAATACCGTTTTTGACAAAATTTAGTCATATTTTTGTGAAATTTGGTGCCATTTTTCATCGAAAAATCGATATATTCGGTTTTCTGTAAATAAAAATTTGTACCCTTTGTACGTCTAGGAATAGCCAAAAATAAATCTAGCTTTTACAAAACTTAGCTATACTTTAAGCACAAGAAACTATTTAGAAAAATTTTAAATTAAAAAAATAAGCAAAAATCGATAATTTTAGATGGGAAATCGATATTTTTGGTATTTAAATCATCATTTCGGTAATAAAACTGTTCCCCCCGATATTGCCAAAGCACCAAATATGGCAGCTTACCAATAAAATGACATATGTCGCGTCCAACAGCGTGTCGAAAAACGCGACGAACCCGAGGAAGAAGAACGGGGAATGCCTAAAGTTTATATATTTATTGTAATTAATTAACATCCTTAAATATACCTATAATGACTGCGCGTGAGGAAGAGGGCGGCGAGCATGGCGTTGGCCATCAACCCAAATAACGCCAGCGCGCACCCGCATACCCCGATCAGCCAGAAGCGGATGGGCAGTAGGGGAGGGGAACCCTCCACGCACATCACGGTTGCGCCCCTGCGAATTATTGGCTTACGGTAGGTAAGACAGCTTTTAGAATACAGCCAAGCATTGAAAAATTTTTGAATAAATCGAAAACTAATGATTTATCGGGGGGTGAGGGGTGAAAACTTTTAAAAACTTTTTTATTAAAAAGTGCAACATGTAAAATTCGGCAAATATAAAATTTTTATATTTTTCAAGGCTGTCTTAAATAGCCTTTCTAATTGAAATTTTGCAAATTCTGGTTCTTTTGCATTATCGGGGGGGGGTATCTGGCAGAACCATTTTTTAATGTCCAATTTTTCTAATAAAATTAAGGAAGTGTCTTAATCTATTTTCCGACTATTAATAAAGGCGAAAATTTAAAATTTGGTGTGTTTACAAATACGAAAAAATGTCGATTTTCGACCAAAATTTCGAACTTTACAAATTTAAACTTTTAAGATAGTTTTTCCGCTTGAAATGTAGCTACATTTAAAAAAAAAAACCAATTTTAATTACATTATTAGGCATTTCTTGATTGAGCTAAGAATTTGCCTGACCCCCCATAATGGAAAAGAGCATTAAATCCAACTTTTTGCGCATATTTCAATCAAAAAATATCTAAATTTAGCTGAAAATTTTCCATAGCAAGAAGAAAAACGTTTAAAGGAGCTCAATGGAGCCAAAAATGCCTCAAAAAAACCCCGAATGCCCCTCGAAAACAATCAACAACCACGGAGACGTAGCTGAACTTTTACCGACGCACGAATTATGACCGCCAAAAGCGCGTGGAAAGCGCAGCGCATGGATTAAAGGGACGGGCAAGCGAGGGCCCGAGGAAAAATAGCAAAAAACAGAAGAAGGAGAAGCGGTGTGGAGGTGGAGAAGCACACCTGAATGGGGCCCGTCTGGGGGGATTAGCTGGCAAAACGAGGCAGCTTCTGCTTTGCCTTGCCTTGCCTTCCCACTTCAACACTCAAAAAGC